AAAATAATTTATGTCTCCGTTTGTGTGAAAATGGATGTTGAATATTTTCACTGGAATTGCTTAATAAGGTATTAGAGAACCCCATGAAGAGTTAAACATTCGTTGATGTCAACATACATTGTTCAGTGCAAGTTACCTTAGTTTATTAGTGTGTTAATGATAAAATTTCCCCTCTTGCATCAGGGTTAGAATAGGTCTCCTTTTGCTTGAAGAAGGCAACTAAATTGGAACAGGTTGTCAGGCTCAGCGATTGGGTTGATTGTGTGTCCTTGTGAACCTATGGCATTGATTGTTGCTCATAATATCAACCACTGGTTGTTGGGTCCAGACTTGATTATTGATAAGTTGCTGTGATACAGTTGGAATATTGCTGACTGGGTTTACACAACACTCACTCACCAACATCCCAAATGGTTTGCTTGCTGTAAAAGGCGAATGCTTCTCGTAAGAGGCGACTAACTGGATCGGGCGGTAAAGATCGCCGACTTGATTGATGCATGTCATCGTATCCCAAGTGTATAGATCAATGCTCATGTTATCAATCACTGGATTGTCTGGTCTGATTATTTACAGACCATCATCATATAGCTGACATATTGAGTGCGGTGTAAAACAACAAAGAAACAAACAAATAGACCTAATTAGATTAAGAGATAGACAGTTAAGTATTCGGTTTACAAATTGCAGGTGTTATTGAGTATTCAATGTGTTACAATTTCTCCTTAAATAAAAAAAATGAAGTCAGAGATAAAGGTATTTTGAATAACATCTCAGTAGGTTACTTACCTTCCCATATAATTGAACTACACTGAACAGACCTGATGGAATTTTGTTCCACATTTGTGTAATTTCAGATTGACAGTTTCATAAACCAAGTAAATAGAAACAAGGCTTACTATCAGGATTGTGAAAGTTCAGAATATCAGGAATATTGCAACATATGTAGCTTGATATTACTTCCAGAAATAATCTAATTACCAAATGCAAGCGAAATAGGTGGTACGAGCTGAGTATGCATTTAATTACTGCATCAGTGTATTGCCTCGATCTCTGCTGCCACTGAGGTGATATCGCTGCATAACTCCTGCACTTATTACAACTGTTCCCCTGGGTTAGATGAGGAACTACCGGCCTGGGTTATAAAGCTTATATCCACCTGCTGTGTAGGTAGATGTAGTACATACCCTGGCTGAATGGTGGTGGTACTGGAATGTATACAATGTGGAACATTTAGCAATGGAATATTCCCTGTCTGTATGATCACATTCAGCCATCAGATACAGAGATTTTCAGCATTTTCACCCAGAAAACTTCTGTACTCTGTACTACTTTGATATATTGCTAATGCTGACAGTTTTAGCAGGAACAATATTTCATGGGTTTCACTGTATGTCTGTTATTGCTTTCCTGACTTCAAGAAAAGTCCATAAAAACTCTCAGACATTTGTTTTTCAATTAGCATAATAAACATTGAATTAACAGACAGTTTGCTTAAGTACATAAATAAATAGAGGATTCATCACAAGGGTTTATCAATATGGGAAATATCAACCATTTCTTAGTTAATCTGATTAACGGGGCGAGTTTGATGTCCAGACTACAACACACGAGTGGTGAATTCTATTTGTCTTTCCAACAATTTCATGACCCCCAGTCAGAAACAAATACACCAAATTGTTGAAATATTACGGTACATCTTGTGAAGAGATACATTTCTTGGTAATGGGAAGCAAAACAAATAACCTTAGAACTTCTTTGGGAAAGTCTATTCTCCAAGAAAAATGTTCCTGGAACAATTTGATAAAGATAATTGATTTGTGTGTTGTAGCATATTTGAAGATTGATGACATTAATTACAACAACAATGATTCATTGTGTTGTATATGTTAAATCTGTGATGTAATTTCACAACTTTAGTCATTCAAACCAAGCCACGCTCTCACTTGTTGGCAGAAAGGTAAAATCAGTACATTTTAAGTCTGTGTCATGTCACTTTCAGTGAAAATCAGGTTTGATTTGATAGGAACGGCAAGGACTTGGAGGTGTAAGGAGATTAATCATTATATTTATACAGTTACATTATAAACCAGCAAACATAGTACTGACGCCACCAGAAAAATGGATAATTTGAGATTGCTGACTGTTGTATCCTGGTGATTTGAACAGTACCCTTGTGCTTCCAGACATTATTTGGGATATTTGGGATATTTGTGCTGATCAGTTTTCATATGATTGTTGTTCTTGTAACCAGCTATCTGCTTGTTTGGATTGGATGGAATGTTGTCATTCAACTTTTGGACAAGGGGTGTACGTGATATATAAGTCGTTTTTGACTTCGAAAGCCTAGCTGCTTCACACATTTTTCATGATGGTGAATCGTGGGATTGAGTACCATTTCCGATAAACAATTGTTCGTAAGATTCAGGCACGCTGAAGTGTGTGGCGATGTAAAACAGCTCATCGTCATTTTTCAAGAAATTGGTCAATGCGCGTGTCATCTACAGACTATCCGTGACAGACAACTTGAACTTCAATACCATCTGGTAACTTTTTATAGCAATATAATAACACTGTTAACACTGTATCAACCCCTTTTATCTTTTAGAACCTTTCCAACATTTACATGATCAACGGGATCCATGTTGTTCCAAATACCAGTTCACGTGCACCAACGAAAAAAGTGCTGTTGCCGGTTTTCTAATATGCCTTCTAATGCTATAAGGGCATAACATGCATGTTTTTCAAGTTTGGAAATACGAGGAATATTTGAATATTTACAAATCTCATGTTTATGGAAATTTGTTAGATAGTTTGTACACAAAGTGAGTCTTGTAGCATTAATTTACAGGGAACAAGAAGCATTTTTACAAAGATTTAGGAACAACCCCTAAAAGAAGTGAGGATGGTGTAATGGAGGAAATTCCTAATTAGGTCTGAATGTAGGAAGCAGTTGGAAATGTCACAACAAATACTCTCACAGTGACATGCAACCTCCGGGAACAGCTGCTGTTGATTGGCTGAATTCTCCTCTACTCTCTCTCTGAACACCTTTAAAGTCTTCCCCAACCACTGCACCCATATAGAAAAGGCTTCTGCTGTCAGTGTAGAAACTGGAGAGAAATGGGGGAACCAGGTTAATCTTCATAATCCCTCCTGAAATATCCAAGACAGCTCATTGGCTGACTTGTGTTGTCTGACTTGACGCCTGTGAGTACAGTTTCAAATACAGATGTTACAATATATGGATGTCCCAGAAGACTTATACTCCATAAAAGAATCTGCTATATCTCCTTTTTCCGGTAACCATTACCAAAATAGCTTCCTGATGTCTACATCCTTAACCTATTTTTACAAGTAATTGACTAAAATACTCTTAATATACTCTAAAATACTCTAAAATACACAGTTGTCAGGATAAACTGTCTTGATTATGATTGTTCTTGGCCCCATGAGGATTTTATTTTTTATTTTTGTAGGAATATATTTAAAATAAGATAACTTTAGTTCTAGAATTAAATGTCAGTCTATGTTAAACCTGGACTGACATTTAGTCCCAGAAAAGATTCTTATGTAAAAATATATATCTACAAAATAGAAATAATAAAATCCAAATGGAGCCTAGAGTCAGGAGCTTTCCTAGAGCTGAGGCGGTCTTGACTTGCCAAATCATTCTAGACTTGAGTTGGGCTCCTTTATAAAAATAAATTCTGTAGGGTCTGGGTCTCACAAGCTGCCGTATCATCCATGTCATACGATATTACTGAAATACTGCTTGAAAGCCCAACTCACTCACTATAAGCAAGGGCTACCTTTCACACAGTATAACGTCAGAGACCTCCCTGCCTGTAGAATCTCAGTGTCGGCTGCCAGTCATACTCCCTGCAGTGTGTGGACACTATCTGTCTGCTGCTGTCATTATTGGTTGCCTTTGTGTCAGGGGTAATGTTCTCCTCTGGGCTCTTGAGCATGTTGTTAATGCTTCCTGGCAGTTCTTGCTGTGTTTGTAGCTCACCTATCTCATGTGGTCATCCTTTGTAAACAGTTTTTGACCTGTCCTGCACTGACTGGCTTGGGTGGTACTGTGTGGCATCAAAATTAATAGATTAATGGACGTTTTAAGAATAAATAAAAATGACTAAAGGTAGTTTCAGATTTGCTTGAGACATGATTGACACACAACTTCTTCATTAACATGTAAATTATTTCAACCTCTTCCCCAAATTATCGGTGGGGGGGGGGGGGCACGAGTGGCCCAGTCGTCTAAGGACCTGTAATTCGCTGTGCAGAGTTGCATCCCTTGGGCACACCAGAAACCTATGATTGTGTTAAAAACTCACTCACACTCTCCAAATCATCTTGAAGTATTTGTTACACTTAGTTACAGGCTATGGGCTGTATTGTGTTGACTGTACAATGGTGTGCCATTACTGTGGAATCGTTTGATTCAAACAATTGCAGACCAATGAAGTGATACACAGTATCCAATTTAGCGTATATTATCATATATTTAAATTATATTAATCTGCTATGTGTAAGATCCTACTGACCGCCTCTGTGTTCTAGTGGTATTGCATCTGCCTGGAGAATTGAGGGTTCGGGGTTCAATCCCTGGCTGTGTCATACCAAAAGACGGTAGAAGATGGCACTTGTTGTTACCCTCCCTAGCCTTATGGGGCTAAAACAAGGACTGGTCTGCCTGAGTTGGGTATTCATGTTAAACTGTGGCTTCATATCTCAATGGGCTGGCACTATTAACTCGGAATTAGTCCAGACTAGTAGAAGCAGACACGCACGCCACGCCATGCCACAATATAAGTGCAATAATCTTAAACCCCATTTTTACCTCACCTCACCTACAATCCCACTTCTATGATTGTGTGTTACCTGTATTATTGTGTGTTACCTGTATGATTGTGTACCATCAGACCCTACTTAGTTTCAGAGTACTGTGATACAGCTTGACATTGATGACAAAGTTCACTGACTGACTGTTGTTTCAGGTGGTGTTTGTGCTGACTGGGGACTGCGGCAACAACACACACAAGGGGTTCAAGGCCTACGAGGAAATTGCCTCTACTAGTTCTGGACAAGTCTTCCTCCTCAAGAAATCCCAAGTCAACCAGGTGACTGACACTAGTACACATCCTTGTTTTCTTTGCTTATGTAGAGGCATGGGTGGCCCAGTCGTCTAAGTGGCTGTAATTCACTGTGCAGAGTTGTGTCCCTTGGGCGTGCTAGGAACCTGTGATTGTGGGTTTGAATCCCGAGTTCACTCCGATTTTGTTTATAGGTTTGTCAGCAAGATACCCACTCTTGTGGGTTTCACCATAGTGGTTGCTGACTTTACCACCCAGTAAGCTGACATGCTGTGATATAACTGGAAATAACTCTTCAAAGTGGTATAAAAACCCAACTCTCTCTCTCTCTCTCTCTCTCTCTCTCTCTCTCTCTCCCCCACCCACCCACCCACCCACCCACCCACTCACTCACTCACTGTTTATACATCCATTGATCTTGACAATAAGACCAGGTTAATGTATTAGCTCATCAGGACCAAGGATCAGAATTCTTATCACCAGAAGGGATGAACCTGAAACTGCAGGAGGATTTCCCACACCATAATAGGCATTCTTTTCATTAGAATACATTTGGAAACAGCTTTAAAAGAATTTCTGAAACACAATGAAGTCATGCTTGTAAAGTTGCAACAACAGCCTGATTAAGAGAATTTCCCTGAAGGTTGGTTATTCCTAACATTATATTTAATTTTCTTTTGAAATAGCAATGAGTAACCTACTTGATCTCCGAACTAAGATTATCTGTTCCTGTTCCTTGTGAATGAAACCTGAAAGTCCTTTGCCAAAAGGTTCAGGGCTCATACCATTTCTTCGCTCAGAACAGATACATAATCATAATTGGTGGTTGTAGGTGCTGAACTTTGTGCGAGTGGCTGTTCAGGCTCGGAAGGTCAACCTGATGTCTGTGGACCAGGACTCGGCTCGGACACAAACCTTCCCCATCCCCATCGACTCTCAGCTTCAGGAGATCACAGTGTCAGTCAGCGGGGAGACGCCCAGAATTATACTCAGAGACCCTGATGGTAAGAGGAGACCCCCAGAATAGTTCTCAGAGACCCTGATGGTAAGAGGAGACCCCCAGAATAGTTCTCAGAGACCCTGATGGTAAGAGGAGACCCCCAGAATAGTTCTCAGAGACCCTGATGGTAAGGTGAGACCCCCAGAATAGTTCTCAGAGACCCCCAGAATAGTTCTCAGAGACCCCCAGAATCGTTCTCAGAGACCCCCAGAATAGTTCTCAGAGACCCTGATGGTAAGGTGAGACCCACTCAATAGTTCCCAAAGACCCTGATGGTAAGGGGAGACCCACTCAATAGTTCCCAGAGACCCTGATGGTAAGGTGAGACCCACTCAATAGTTCTCAGAGACCCTGATGGTAAGAGGAGACCCACAGAATAGTTCTCAGAGACCCCCAGAATCGTTCTGAGACCCCCCAGAATAGTTCTCAGAGACCCCTGGAATAGTTCTCAGAGACCCCCAGAATAGTTCTCAGAGACCCCCGGAATAGTTCTCAGGAACCCTGATGGTAAGAGACCCCCAGAATAGTTCTCAGAGACCCCCAGAATCGTTCTCAGAGACCCCCAGAATAGTTCTCAGAGACCCTGATGGTAAGAGGAGACCCACTCAATAGTTCTCAGAGACCACCAGAATAGTTCTCAGAGACCCTGATCTCTTGGTACAGGTAGTAGTAAAAGCAGCCTTTATCAGTATGTGCACTACAGCTCAATGCTCAACCTCTGCCCAAGCTCTTCTCTTGAGAACTTGTCATAGCAACATACGGCAGCAGCAGATAGTGCTGTGACCCCCCCCCCCCCCCCCCCAGAACACTGTCCTAAGACTCCTACAGTGAAACTCCATGAGTCCAGACCCTGTTAATCTGGGAACACTTACATATGTTCACAGGGACATGACTTTGTTCTCATGATTCATTAATTCTTTAATTCTGTAGCTTTTAGAGGCAATGCAACAGTCCAGATTAAAGGGTTTCCACTGGTTTTCTCCAGGCAGTGGTCTTAGTCTTCTCAGTCCATGAACCATATTATTTTCCCTTCCACCCAGCCCTTACTGTAATGGTAGCTAGATTAAGTTTTTTTAATTCAAACATAATTTATTCTCGTGAAAAGATTGTGCACAAGTTATCACAACATAGAACACCTTCTCCCATAGATTTACATGTAGGCTTATTGACAATTAATACATGAATTGACAGAAGGGAAAGAATAGAAAAGAAATAGAGAAGGGTATGTACATTAACATTGCTCATTCAAACCTTTTTGTTTTCTTTGTATATTTGGTCAGTACTTGAATGATGCTTGATCTGTCACATTGTTGTTTCAAATCCGGGGTAGAATGGGTCTACAGCAACCCATGCTGGCTGTAAAAAGCGACTATGCTTGTTGTAAGAGGGGACTAACGGGCAGTCAGCTCGCTGACTTGATTGATGCATGTCATTGTATCCCAACTGCGTGGATCGATGCTCATGATATCAATCACTGGATTGTCTGGTCCAGACTCGATTATTTACAGACCGCTGTCATACAGCTGGAATATTGCTGAGTGCGGCGTTAAACAACAAACAAACAAACAAAATGTTGTTGTTTCACCATAGTGGTAACCATATCGGACCTACGTAATCGTAGGCTTTCGTCATAACTGAAATACGTTCAAGCCCGCATTGATCTCAGCTTACTTGCTCACTGATGTCCAGGCAACCAGGTCCCTATTGGCGACTCCCTGTTCGAGTATGATGACTCCCAGAACCACATCAAGGAGCTGCTGAACATCAAGAACGTGTTGATCCACAACGTGAAGGACCCGACACCTGGCATGTGGGAGCTGGAGGTGGCCAGCGGCAGCCATCACACCATCAGGGTCACCGGCCTCAGCACTGTCGACTTCGCAGCCGGCTTCGCCAAGAAACCAGGCACTGACTTCTCCCAGACCAGCCTCAGACCTGTGGAAGGTAGATTTGTCATAATTTAGGATAGGCCAGACCAACCTAACTGATTCTTTTACAGATTTGCTGATTCAAAATTATTATTTTTTCAATAAGATAAATTCCCCTTGTCCTGTAAAACTGCCTCTATTTCCACCAAGACAAGCCAGTGTGGATTCTAGGTAAGAATACGTCCCAAGCAGCCTTACCTGGTTGTTAGAGGTGACCAAATGGATAGGGTGATCAGCTTCGGTGGTTGACTGTATGTCATCATACCCTGATGATGTGGATTGTTGATGTGAAGCTGGCCCAGAATTGATTATTTACAGACCATCATTCTATTAACTGGAAAACTGCAGAGTGCAGAATTGAACAATAAACAAAAGCCACCCAGACATTTTGGACAAAATTAATTAATATAAAGAGACTACTTTGGTTATTTAACTCTGATCTAGTTCATGTTTATACCTGCATTTTGTTATCTAGGACAAAACAATTACAGTTAATTCGTTGGCGGTTATTTTTCTGACATGTTGCTCAGGGCACTTGAAAACATCATCAGTTATTTTTATTTGATCCTTTGTTCAGCATGGCCATTGTTCTCAGGTGCCACAATTTGCTGTGCAGAGTTGAATACCTTAGTTGTGCCAGGATAGTCAGCATCATATCCGTGCCTTTTGGCTTTAAAAACTGTTACATTTTCCACGCACAATAAGCTGACGTGCCATGCTTTTTTTAACTATTGTTAGAAGCTAGACTAACTCACGATTCCTTGTTATTCTCCAGGTATTCCAACCCATGTGGTAATCAATGCATCTGACCTTGACCCTCCTGCGGTGCTGACCCGACTGGAGCTGGTCGACCTTAAAGGAGAGGCCCTCATCGAGTTCCCCGTGTCCCGAGATCCAACCAACCCTGCCCTCTACAATGTCACATCCTTCATTCCACCCAATGAATTCTTCTACCTCAAGGTTGTACAGTAAATCCTCTTATGGAGGCCTTCACCTTTTGCTTAGTCTTGTGAATCTATTTGAGCTCGGCAGCACATGTGACTCTTGTCATCTGAGGCATTACAAAATGGTGTGCAGAGTTGCACATTAGTCGTGCCAGAATCCGAGGTGGGTTCAAGTAAAAAATGTGACCTGATCATGATGCTTGATGTTTAGCTCACCTGACTGAAAGTCATGTTTCCGACATCGGCATCTTTAAACATCTTTTCGACAGAGACCAAGGAAACCATATTCTTTAACTAATCCTGCATTACGCCTTCATGCATTTACTGATTACTTTTGACAGATAGATGAAGCTGTGTGAGGTCCAGCTGAAGAAGTTGTCCCAACTACCGGTGGAAGTTGTGAGGCAGACCCTATTGCGCAGCACCTAAATGAGCATGGAAGTGAAGATGTCACATATCTCATAGATTGGGTTAAAACATTGGATTATTATCCCTTATGTTTGAGTACATTTGGTTATCGCAACTTTGCATAATTTGGAGATTTATGCTTGCCCGTTGCATCGGTTGATGTGGATAAAAGTCAATTAAGGACCCTCAACCATGGTGTCCTGTCTGCACTGGTATCTGTGTGATGGGACAGAAGTGTCACTTTTCTTCTCCCCACTCCCCACCAAAGTATCTCTAGGCATCCAGGAAGAGCCTTGCACAGCAGACCAAACAACACATGAGGAGGATATCAGACTCTCAGGAATCCATTCGACAGGAATGTTCAGACACCTATGTTGTTACGTCCCAGTCGTCCACCTACACCGCCTCCTCTGAGTGCTGCATTACCCTTGCCACCATCGCTGCCGGAGATTCAGCTGCTGCCTCCACCTACCCAGGCACCGTGTCGCTTTCAACACCTTCAACACCATATTGTTGGCCAAGAATTCTATAGAGATTGTGAGCGCTCCAGCCATAACACCAGGCTTGTACTCGCCAATCCTCCTTGTCCCTAAGAAGGACTCGGACAAGATGAGGATGATACACAATCTCACCATATTCAACGAGCAATACGCAGAGCCTCCTCCATACTTTTGCATGACAACCTTGACACTGTTCAGGACCAGAATCAATTCCAATGATTCCCTGATCAGTCTCGACATGCAGGATGTGTACCTGCATGTACCTTTCCATCCCAGTGACAGCTGATTCCTAAGGTTCCAATTCAGTGGTGTCCACTACCAATGGGTGGTCCTCCCATTCGAAATTTTTGTGGCCCTGTGACTATTTACATGCATCACCAAGCCAGTGGCCTTCTCCACCTGAGGAACATTTGGTTCGAATCCTACATAGTGATGGTATAAACGACCCGGATTTGGCAACCCTGTTCCTTCACCAAAACTTTAGGTCCATCAGCTGTGATGCATAGTCAATGAGGTGAAGTCGGACCTCACCCCATCGTACCGACTTCAGTTCATAGGAGGCCTGTTTCAGGCAGACCTGGACATTGTTCCTGTGGACATGTGGCTCAAGATACGGTGCCATCTGATACCTGCCCTTCAGCAACCCCTCACACTTTGCCAGTGGCAGGTGCTTCAGGGGCTGCTTATGTCGGCCCAGGACTTGACGATCAGAGGACGCTTCTCCAACAGCTCCTAGCGCCAGGATCACTCTACTGTCTCACCTCAGGCTGCATCTTAGGTGGTGGATGGTAGAGTCGAACGTCTCGGAGGATTCTCCTTAACAGAGCTGTCACCAATGTCACACTTGTTCAAAGACACCTCAACAGGGTAGGGGTGCGCATCTAGAGGACGAGATGGCTTCAGAGCTGTTGTCCAACGTGCAGCGCACAGGGCACATAAATGTACTAGAGTTGCAGGTGCTCATCCTGGCGATATCACACTGGCAGGATCGCCTCCAGAACACCCAGCTTGCTGTCTCAACCGACAACATCACAGTGTTTTGATGTCAACTCACCCTCACTTCTTGCTTCAGCAGACATTCCAATTCTTCCATCTGGTGGATCGCCTGGGCCTGCAGTACCTGGTCCAGCATATCCCAGGATATCAGAACCACTCAGCAGATGCTCTATTTAGGCCTTCAGTCTCATATGTCAGCATCTCGGTCATCCAAACATTAGCTCTTTGCCACTAGCCAGAATTTCCGGATCCACAGGCGTTGGCAGTCGAGGTGCTGAACATCCCTTGGGAAGGACTAATAGCATACGTTTTCTTCCACCTGTACTTCTTCCAAAGATGATGCAGAAGATAAGGGCAACCAAGAACCTCCCTCTGACTTTGATCGGGCCTTGGTGGACGGCAAGAGGTTGGTTCATGTACCTCCAATATCTTGCTGAAAACAATCCACTAGATCTACTAGATCCATCCGCACGACAGGTTGCCACACCCAACACCAAGCACATGTCATCTGCCTGCCTGGTGCATCTCAAAAGGGCTTTAGACACTAAGGGTTATTCAGCAAGAGTGGCGAAAGCCATTGCCATGGCACTCAGACCCTCAATCCGGAGATTTTATTCTTGATACTTCCAGAGCCAACAATCCTCTTTGATGGTTCTCCACAGCAATTGCTCCATCAGATCTAACATGGAAGGGTGTTTTTTTGGAAATACCTGAGGGATGTGGCCTTGGCAGATGCATTGAGGAGTAATGCATGATAAGTTAAACAATTTTTGTAAAATCTAAATATATTTTTTACATTCGTATACTTATCCTGCATTACTTCGTCTGAGGGGCCAACCCGTCACAGAACTGCCTCCCTACGATGTCTTCAGATGTTACGTTCAAGGAGTAATAGGAAGATACGTGACATCAATTCCGTGGTCATGTATGCGCTGTGTGATGGGACCTGCCTCACAACTGGTTGGAACAACTTCTTCAGCTGGACCTCACAAAGTTTCGTTCTTCTGTCAAAAGAAAGCAGTAAATGCATTAAGGAGAAATGCAGGATAAGAATACAGATGTAAAAAATAATTAGATTTTACTCATTATGGATGACTATTCTTGCTCTCAATGTAATGAAATTTGATGTATGTGTAGTTAGTAGTAGGATTCCAAATATGTGTTCCATTTATTATACCCCCGACTTCTAGGTCGGGGGTATATAGTTATACCAAGGTTCTGTCCATCTGTCTGAAAACTTTGTCCGCGCGATTTCTCTTAAACTATTCAGTGGATTCATCTCAAACTTAGTACATATAATCTTTTTCATATGTAGGGGAGCAGTCAAAAGAAAAAAAATGTTTTTATTAATTTTCCATTTTTTTATGAATTTTTCAAACCCTAACGTCCATCCGAAAACTTTGTCCGCGAGATTTCTCTTAAACTATTCAGTGGATTCATCTCAAACTTAGTACATTTAATCTCTGTCATATGGAGGGGTGCAGTCAAAAGAAAAAAATTGTTTTTATTGATTTTCCATTTTTTTATGAATTTTTCAAACCCTAACCCTATCCTAGCTATTTAATTTGAAACTACTGACACACTAGGCGGGTCGAGGGTATATGTGAGCCACTTGAAGCCTGTAAATATTATCACCACTGCCAGACTGAGGAAGCCAAATCTTGACATTTAGAATTCTTTTCTTTTTTCTTAAACTGTAGAATTTAATGTTAGTTTTTAGTTAGTTTCATTATCAGAAAATATTTGAACATCAAATATGACAGCAACTTGTAAGGGGTTCTCTTTATAGACATTTTAAACTGTCAACTTCATTTCTAGGTGAACTACACTGCTTTTGACACTATTTTGTAGCGCCATCCCAATCTGATCGCCGACAATTTTGGCTTTCCTCTCACATTAAACTGACATGCCATGATGTGAAGCAAATAGGAGTTCAACTCAACTCATTCACAATTTAAGCTCTCATGTACTGTGACAACTCTTTCCTTCATCATGGAATTCTTCATACCCGCAGGTTGATGGTATAGATGACCAGGGTTATGTATTACGGAGAACCACGCCCACAGCCATCAGCCCACGTGTTCCGACAGCGCCAACAGTGTCTATGCAAGATCTGACACGAGGGTTCTTTGACCAGACAGCCACACTGACATGCACAGTGCAGAGTTTGGTCCCCTACACTGTCCGATGGTTCCGAAGGGGGGTCCAAATGGGATATGACATGAGTTTCTAGTAAGTTGGTCGCAAATACATAGACATGTAAGTTAATATGTGCAAGCATGCACGTAGTATTATTGTAAGAGATATATATCTAAAGGAGCAAAATACTGAGGGTTGTTTGACCAGACAGCCACACTGACATGCACAGTGCAGAGTCTGGTGCCCAATATGTGCGAGCATGCACGTAGTATTATTGTAAGAAATATATATCTAAAGGGGTAAAATATTGCAAGAATGCAGTATACCGGACACCTTCCGCCATTTTGGTAAGGGATGTGCATGAGCTCATTCCTTAGGAACAGTTTCTATGGTTGCATACGCCATTTTTGTCGCCTCGCTAAAATAACCGGGGGTTTGGGGGGGCTTGCCCCCACTCAACGGCTTGAATTAAATGCTTTTGTAAGTAAATGAAATCTTTAATTACCAAAGTAGATACAAAATACTTTATTAGTAGCATCAAACAAACATGGTGGATTGGTGTCCGGTATGACGCATGTGTTTCCCCAAAATACTGAGGGTTCTTTGGCCAGACAAATGATATGAGCTTCTAGAAGGTTGGTCACAGAGAAGAGTGGTTCCAGTCGGAAACCCAGGGCAGTACTGATCACAGTATCCCATGTTGGCTTCCCATGTACTCATACTTACTTCCAAGTGGAGATTTCCCAGGAAAATTTGGTCCTCACTACCCCATTCTGGTTTCCCTTTAGTGGGATCTTGGGTCAAGTTGGTTGATTCGTCCATGGTCCATGTACCCTGATGAAGGTCGCTGATAATGCTATCAATATTGTCTTTTCTAGACAGGATTATTTTATGGTTGACTTGATATTGCTTAATTACTAAATGTTGAAAATAATTAATTATTTGCTTATTTAATGAATACGCTCAATTTCATCAACTCGGCCAATGAAAACACTCTATTTCAGTGACTCGGCCAATGAAAACACTCTATTTCAGTGATTCGGCCAATGAAAACATTCGATTTCAGTGACTCGTCCCATGAAAACACTCTATTTCAGTGACTCGGCCAATGCAACTCTTGAAGTCCCCCGTGCAGGGTCCAGCTCAGAGGGCGACTATGTCTGTAACGCCACCAACATCGCTGGCAGCGCCACCACAAAGACATATCTTGACGTCAGCGGTAAGTTTCATTGTCATTAATAATCCACTGATATGGCTAAAGTTGTTTTTGTGGAGGGTCACACGAGGTATAAGTAGTAAGCCAGATGATGTCAGTTAATGACCCCTGTGTTATGTATTAATGTGCCACTGCGATCATGAAAATAGGTAAAGTGATTCGGTGCTAAAATGTTCAGATGTCACATGCCATTTATCTTGCAAGTTGTTTCAAAACATATCAAACTCGCTTTCGCTTGTTGTAAGATAAATAGTATGTACAGCCACTTTTTATTCAATGCTAAAATGCTCAAATGTCATATGCAATTTATCTTGCAAGTTGTTTCAAAACGTATCAAACTCACTTTCGCTTGTTGTAAGATAAATAGTCATACAATACAGCCACTTATGTAGTATTCTCTATGTCATGGTCAATATATATGCTGCATTAACCAAGCTAAAGTGTTCTTATATCTGACTGTGTCCAGATTTGTATTTTGAATTACCGGTGTATACACGAATGGAATGTTTCAGATCCGCCTCCGGTGATCTCCAAGACATGGAACATCTCTGTTCTCCCGGGGGACAGTGCTATACTCACTTGTAACGCCTTCAGTACAGTGGAGTTCAACATGACCTGGTATAAGCCTGGACGTTACGGACCCGTAGCTCTGGATCCTAGAGTCAGTGTCCTGTCCAATGGATCTCTTTTCATCAGGTGAGCTGCAGTACTTTCAACAAAGACTGCCTGACCTTACTGAGATATTAACCACAGTTTGTCAATTTTGTTGACTCCCTTGGATGTGATTTTAGTAGATGTCAAACCTGGTATGAGTTCCAAACTTTATGGGAACTGCAAAGCATTGTGTGGTAGGACACCATCCATGCTTCCACAACCCACATCCATGGGATGAGCTAGAGAACTCAGCTCTACATGAGATTTTATGAGCACTTCCATCACTCTCTGAAAAAATATATATATATAATACCATATTCGACGTAATTAGCGCCCCGCTCTAATAAGCACCCACGGCGATATTTTCTAATATATTGGCTAGTGAACAATCCCAATTAGCACCCCTTCCGATTGATCAATGTACACATGACTTATTTATACATGTATAATACCTATGTTATATGCATTTTTAATTATGGGAAATTAAATTCTTGAAAAAATATATCTGTCGCATATTAACATTTCAGACTGTCAGCATAAACCACGAAATTTACGATCTTTCAACTCTGTTGTTTTTCACCATATAATATTCTAATAAGAGCCCCCTATTTCTAACTTTGAGAGCGCCCTGGGCGCTTATTATGTCGAATACGGTATGCTCAATACTGCTGATAACAGGTTGTCCCTGATTAACAACTAAGGTGTTCGGACAAGGGTGATAACATTCACTCCAGAGATGAGTTTTACCACCTCCAGAGAGTTCTGTAAGAAGACAAGTCAGGTTTGGCTGAGAACCATATGCATCTATCTGCTGTGTCCTGCAGCTTTCTCGCCCTGATGATGCGGATCATTCCAACCTGGTTTTGTCTTGTCCAGATGTGGTACTTCACTTTTATGAAGTTGTCATGTTGTAACAGTAAATGCTGAAACAAAAACTGCAAGAAAGTCGAAAATATGCTGCTTTAGTTAGGGGATTAAGCCATTGGTATGTCATACTCACTGTCACTGTCATATATACACATGCACATTCATTAAGCCCAACCTGATTCCAAAATAAATTCCTGATCAACTCAGTTGAATACCTTTTGGATTACCTTGGTCCCAAGTGTGACCTAGAGACCCTCCCGTTCAAACTCGACTGAACTGACCCAGGTACTGCACCAGGAATAACAGGATCCCAATGTTGAAAATCAGAAGTCTGATCAGCGGCATGAGGAGATGCATGAGTTTGTCATCCATGAGAGGGGTGGATACTCCAGATACTGATTGCAGAATCAGTGGTGTTTCCCCGGTTGACAGTAATCGTTTTTTACCTCATAATGCGAACATTTGCTGGTGTCAGCTTCATTATTTGTGTGATGGTGATGCCAGGCATTCTGTTTTTCAGTTTACTGATCATACCAGTCACTTTGTATTGAAGTTGGTTGGTTGGTTTGTTGTTTAACGCTGCACTCAGCAATATTCCAGCTATATGACAGCGGTCTGTAAATAATCGAGTCTGGACCAGACAATCCAGTGATTAATATCATGAGCATTGATCCACACAATTGGGATCGATGACATGCATCAACCAAGTCAGCGAGCCTAACAACCCGATCCCGTTAGTCGCCTCTTACGACAAGCATAGTCACCTTTCATGGCAAGCATGGGTTGCTGAAGACCTAATCCAACCCGGATCTTCACTCGTTTGTAATGAAGAAAGAAGTAGGTTGTGCTGAATTAATGGTCATGTTTGAAGCTGTTACCTTGCTGCTATTGGTTAAGTAACACTCACTCCTTTTAGTCTGCTGTAACCTTTTATCTCCCTATGATTCCATACATGTACATGTGCAGATTATCTGTCTGTTGAGGTTGTATTGTTGTGTAAAGGAATGTGCAGAGGGAGGACGTGGGGCGCTATGTGTGCAAGGCCAGTAACGAGGGGGGATCCACTGAGGACAAGGTATTCCTCAGGCTTCAAGGTGAGATGTTATATGTCATATTAATACCACAGGTGAGATGTTGTGTATCATGTAAATACCACAGATGAGATGTTATATATTATGTATATGCCACAGGCGAGATGTTATGTATCATGTTTATACCACAGTTGAGCTGTTATGTTTTGTATATGTACCACTTGTAAGATGTTGTATATATACCATGGATAAGATGTTATACATGGTACAAATACCACAGGTGAGATTTTATATATCGTATATGAACAATAGGTGAGATGTTATGTATCGTATATGAACAACAGGTGAGATGTTATGTATCATGTTTATACCACAGTTGAGCTGTTATGTTTTGTATATGTACCACTTGTAAGATGTTGTATATATACCATGGATAAGATGTTATACATGGTACAAATACCACAGGTGAGATTTTATATATCGTATATGAACAACAGGTGAGATGTTATGTATCGTATATCAACAACAGGTGAGATGTTATATTTTGTCAAAATACCACAGGTAATATTTATTATGTCATATCCCATTTCTAAGGGTAAGGTGAAATTGGGTTTAATGTCGCATCCAAGATTACTGCACTTATATAGCGAGTGTGTGTGTGTGTGTGTGTGTGTGTGTGTGTGTGTGTGTGTGTGTGTGTGTGTGTGTGTGTGTGTGTGTGTGTGTGTGTGTGTGTGTGTGTGTGTGTGTGTGTGTGTGTGTGTGTGTGTGTGTGTGTGTGTGTGTGTGTGTGAGAGAGAGAGAGACAGGTGAGAGATGTTTCATAACATTATTATGTGCTGCAGGGGAGATGTTTGCTGTCATTTACTTTAGATGAAGAATTGAACTAAATAATTACTAGTTACTTAACATTCCATGTTTATTTTAAAAGTAATCAAAACTTTACCATTTTTGTATTTATTTAATTCTGACCTGAATGTTTAGAACCGCCGATTGCCAGAACTATCCCCCGATCTCAGAACTTCCTCGTTGGTCGAACCATCAACGTGACGTGTATTGCTGATGGATACCCTCTGCCCAAATACAGCTGGATGCGAGGAGGGAAGTTTATAGTTCCGAACAAGCGAATCTATTTCGAAGATGGTGTGCTCATAATCAAAAAGATTCAGCGAACTGACGAGGGTGATTACGAATGCTTGGCCAAAAACCCAGCAGGAGAGGACATAGCCATTGCTCGAGTAAATTACATTGGTGAGTATCTCATTCCTTGATGTATGATTCTTGCTTTGGCCACTATGCAACTGAGTGCCAGACCAATTTATTTCATAGCTTTCCAAATGTGCCAGACCCGTGAAGATTCCGGGGTAGAATAGGTCTTCAGCAACCCATGCTTGCCGTAAAAGGCGACTATGCTTGTCGTAAAAGGCGACTTACGGGATCGGGGGGTCAGGCTCGCTGACTTGGTTGATGCATGTCATTGATCCCAATTGCATGGATCGATGCTCATGATATTCATCACTGGATTGTCTGGTCCAGACTCGATTATTTACAGACCGCCATCATATAGCTGGAATATTGCTGAGTGCGGCGTTAAACAACATACCAACCAACCAAATAACCAACCAAATGTGCCAAACCAAAATCTTTTAACATTTCGAGAGAATAGGAGTAGGTATTCTGTTAAGGTTTGCTCATGTCAAACATACTCGGGGGCACAGGTGATTGGCTGTGTAGAGTTGTGTCCCTTGGACATGCCAGAAACCTATGACAGTGAGTTCAAATCCTGGTCCAACCCTATTTTGTTTCTTGGTTTGTCAGCACCATAACCCCTGCTCATGGGTTTCACCAAAGTGATAAACATCTGAGACCGTCATCACTTCGGGCTTTCCTCCCACGTCAAGCTGACACAGCCATGATATAACTGGAATACTATTAAAAGAGGCGTAAAACCCAACTTACTCAAACTCTGACTTAGTTGTAGTTTTCATTCTCACATCTAACTCAACAGCCTTTTTGACAAATAGGGGGCGGTTGGGTAGCCTAGTGGTTAAATCGTTCGCTCGTCACGCCAAAGATCCGGGTTCAATTCTTGACATGGGTACAATGTGTGAAGCCCATTTCTGGTGTCACCCGCCGTGATATTGCTGAAATATTGCTATAAGCGACATTTAACCATACTCTCTCACTCACTCACTTTGACAAAAAGAAAACAATAATTATTATTATTCACAAGCATTTTCAAAATCTCATGTCAATTTTATGCTGTGTTTTTTCAAAAGTCACCACTCTTTATACAGTTGATCTTGCCTAATATGGAATTACCAGTCATGTGACAAGGTTGAATCATGTTTATTAACTCTTGCAGAATCACCACGTATTCGTCAGTATGAGAGGAGGATGCTGGTTGCCACCGGCGACAGAGCTCGACTGGCGTGTGAGGCTGAGGGCATCCCAGCGCCTGAGATAACATGGTACAGAGGGGAACGGAAGGTGACTAGCCACACCTCAGATATTCTTATTGCTTTGGAATGTTCATGTATCAGTAAATGTCTTAAGACCTGCATCACTTTTGGCTTATCTCCCAAGTTAAGCTGACACCATGATATAACTGAAATACTGTTCAAAGCAGTGTTAAATCCAAGTTATAGTGGAAGTTATGTCATTTGTATTCCACAAAGCGATCTTAGTGCTAAGGTGATCGTAACTCCCAAACTTGAACATATCTCTAGACTTAATCATAGTGCCTAGATCCATAGTTCAAACCTTTGTAGCTCTTTGGGGTTTTTTTTACTCTGGCTTAAATATTAATATTGACATTACAATTTTCGTATCATTATGATAATTTTGTCAAGTAGTGCCCACATGTCTACTGGTGTAAGTACTGGCAAAAAATGTGACCTACACACAAGTAGATATTCTGACAGTATTCATACTGAAATTGACTGTTTCAGCTTCAGTCTGCGTATAATGTGGACATTACACGTAGTGGACGCCTCATCATCAGGAACGTGCAGGAAATGGATGCAGGAGACTACCGATGTGTTGTTACCAATGAAGCTGGCTCTGACGATGCTAAAGTGACACTGGAAGTTGGGTGTAAGTAGCCCAGGGCCATGTTTCACCAAATGATCTGGCCCTACCATATAAGGCTTAACGGTTACTCTGAAAACATAATTTTGATGGAAACAAGCAGCTTCATTTAAGTTGAAAAGGAGCCTCAGTGAGATCAATCTCATGAAAATCAGATCTTAGTTCTCGCTGCCGCTAAACAAAGATATGAAGACATCCCATTACAGGTCACGTAAGACCGACCTTTCGCAAACTCTGACCGACCAATGGAATTACTGACAAGAAGTCGACATTAGCCAATCAGAAGGCAGCTTTCTTGTGCTTTACGGCACCAATTTCAAATTGGCGACTACGCTTCGAAACATATTTTGACAAATTCTCGATTAAAAATTTGAAACCTGAACAAAAGAATGTTCTAGAATGGCTAATATATGGTCTAGGTTGTATAGATTTAGTCGTTAAGTCTGTAACTATCGTTCGGAACACCCCGTTTTAACGTTCTCGAGGCTGCATGATTAGAAATCACATTCCGACTGTCACTTTTATGATCTGGTAAGCGACGCTCTGATTGGTCGGATGGAAGGTCGTTCTGACGTGACCCCTAATGGGATGTCCTCAGATCTTTGTTTAGCAGTAGCGAGAACTAAGATCTGATTTTAATGAGATTGCAGTGAGATGGGAGATTCTGTGGAAAATCTAGACTTGCTGTATTTAAGGCTATATTATTTCAGTAAGGCTTGGGCGGAAGAGAAAGTAATATGGTTCAGGGACTGTGAGACGGACAATTTGTGGTTGCCTAACCCTTACTTTTCCTCACAACAAGGATCTTTGAACACACTCAATACCTCTTAGGTTTATTAACCATAAATCCCTTATACCCAGCTTCACAGCAAATAGGACTCACATGACATAGCACAAGTTAACCTCAGCTCAATCAAACAGCTGTTTTCTATCAATTTTTAATTTGTGTTCATTCTTTTTCAATGTCACATTAATACATGTTGGTAAGATAAATTTGTTGTAGCAGGATAACTCGGGGTACTTTTATGCGTCCCTCGTTAGGTTTTATACCACTCTTCACTGGCGATGAATAAAACCCCATGTAAACCTCGGGATTGTGCTACAACTTATAATGTTTTGAGAATGCTAAGTGTCAATCTACACCTGGCACTTTTTACACAAGAATAACTGTCTCACGAATTAATTTTAATAGACAAACAGCCATTTTATTTTGAAATGTCAGGATGGCATTTAACACCAGATTGTGCTCCTAGTCTTTTCGTGTGGATATAGGACTGATTGTCTTCACTCAGTAGATCTTCCTCGCTTTCCTCGCTGCTCTCAAGACTATTTTTAGACTAACCACTGGCTTATATTGATATGGACGAATATGTGTGAGGTCATTGAGCGAACATTCAACGTTGTCATCGACGGCATTGTTAGATGATGCCGGGGCGAAGGCTAGTAATCTACCATACACTATTCAGAAACAGTGATCGTCTGCAAGTCAACTCTCCGCTGTGACGTCACCTCAATCATTAACTCTCTCAGTAGTTTCATGAATACGAGTAGGTTTTCAGGTGTTTTGCCTTTAGAATTTTTTCAAGATGCTTGTGTTAATATGCCTTATATAAATGATTTAATCCCATACTTTAGTTTACTGTAAATCTCCTTCAAGATTATGTTCACATCTTCCTGTTCCGTTTTACAGCATGTATCATTAATTAATGTGACACAGGCAACAGACTGGCCAATGTTTCAACTTTGATAAAAAAAATTGGACCAGGGTGCAAGCTGGTTTTGTCAGGTGTAACCTGGTTTTGTTAGGTGCAACTGGGTTTTCATGCCAACATGTACCTGGTGCAAGTTAAATCAAGTTCCTTAATTAGGGGGGCGGTCGGGTAGCCTAGTGGTTAAAGCGTTGCTCGTCACGCCGAAGACTCTGGTTCGATTCCCGACCTGGGTACAATATGTGAAGCCCATTTCTGGTGTCCCCCGCCAGACTGCTGGAATATTGCTAAAAGCGGCGTAAAACCATACTCACTCACTCCTTAATTAGAGCCCTGATCATTGACAGCAGTGTTGAGCAACAGTACCTAACTCTCTCACTCCAAGCAGCATTTTCATGTAGCATTCAATTCATGTTTGTTACAGCACCTCCAGAGATTATCCGGCCACCCGGTAATGTTGGCATTGAGATTGAGAGGAATGGCACTCTGGAGTGTGAGGCGACAGGGATGCCGCCACCAAAGATCATTTGGCGACGTGGTGATGGCAAGCCTCTCGACACCAGTGGCAGATTCCAACAGCTGCCTTCCGGCGGTCTACATGTGTCTAGTGAGTAGAATTTAGTCAAGTAATCTTCCTTTTGCTGACTATTTCTAGTGTAAGTTCAAGTCACTGCTGATTATTATTTTTTTGGCATCAATCTGTAAGGACTGAATTAGTGTAAATTAGTGTAAGTAGTTCCAGGAAAACATTGTGCTGCTGACTATAAGAGAATGGCTGGTCCTGTTATTTAAAATAATAAAGTCTCAGCACAATTATAGGATTCTGTTGTTGTGGAAATCTATCCAAACTTTGTAGGCACTGTAAGAAAATTGCATCTTATTCCTTGAGGTACCTTTTGTGACATGTTGAACCTATAATGTGTCTTGAATGTTTGGCAGACATTGGGCTCGGAGATGAGGGTATCTACACGTGCCTGGCGCAGAATGCCTTTGGTGTCAATGACGCTTCTGCCTTCGTCAGCGTCACAGGAATAGGTGAGCTAGTTTTTGGTCTTGAAACCTGGTTGAGATTGGGGTGCAGAAGAGTTCTCCAGTACCCCATGCTTGTCACCCTGTGGGGTTCCAGGGCAAAGTAGTTACCAAGTACCAAATACTTGTCTCCTAGTGGGGTTCCAGGGCAGAATAGGTCCCTGGCACCCTCTGCTCTCCCATTGTGTATCGAGGGATAAATACATCACTTACTGTTTCAATGTGGCCACTGATCACCTACTTATACCCCATCACTTACTGTTCAGTGCGGCCGCTGATTGCCTACACCTACCCCATTGTGAAGGTCCAACAAGGGGAGAAGGCAGAACTGGAGTGTGTCGTCCTGCTCGGTAAACCCACACCGAAAATCAACTGGATGAAAAATGGACGAGTGCTGACCCCTGGTGGCAGGATAAGAAAGACAGGTCCAGGGAAGATGGTGATCTCCAACATCACTCATGACGATGATGGAGAGTACGTCTGTCACGCCAGCAACATTGGTGGTAACGCCACATACTCCATCAACGTGGATGTGTTAGGTAAGAACCATCCTTCTGAGATCTCCTACCTCACCTCAGTAAATTTTGATCTTGATGCGTAAAATTTCGTCATTTTTTTCTTTCCTTGAAATAAAGTCGAATTCCACCATCTTGTTTCTGGAGAAAATGGATCGTAATTTATTTGAACTGTTCTGTGTGTACAAGTGGGAAATTATGTAAGTCTCCATGAGCGTGAGACAAACATTGATGTTGTCATGGTTAATTTGACATTGTTCAAATAAGAAAAAGGTTTAGATAGTAAAACATGTTTTATGATTATTTCTTTCAATTTCCTCAATTTATAGGAGGACAAACTAAAAACATTTTGGCTAGAAATTAATTTGAAGCAGACACAGGGAATGTTTTCAACACTTTAAATATTATCTTACTCTCAGTTCCTCCAAAGCTGATCCAAGACGACCTTGAAGGTAACCGTAACTTCAGTGTTAACCAAGGTAAAGGAATAGTGTTGCCGTGTCGAGCTGTGGGCGACCCTCGACCTACTTTCCAGTGGTACAAGGACGGCTCCCCCATCTCCCTCAGCGACATCCACTACTTCATTCGCAATGACGGCAGCCTGGAGATATTCAGTGCCGACCCTGGTGACACCGGCTCCTACAAGTGTGTTGCTTCCAACATTGCTGGCGGCACTGAGAAGGTCATGACCCTTGATGTTAGGAGTAAGTTATCGCAGCAAGAAATCTGCTTTTCAAGAACAGAAGAAAATGTTTGTTTCAGATTGATGCATGCAGACAAATATTGAAAAAAATATACAACTTTTATTAATATTTTAGAGAAATTCTTAACTAAAATATCCAGTTCCTAAAGTCCCATCTACATATTTAACCCAAAGCAAATAATAAATATATCCACATATATTGTTACTAGAATAAGTATTATTTTTCTCCTGAAAATAATTTACCACCTTTTCTAAGTTCATTTTAACAAAGTACACAAAGATTTTCTTGTTTTGTTCCTTAATTTAAGTATCTTAAGTTTTTCATGCAGTTATATGTGGCTTTTGACAAAGGATGATGTAGATTTAAAGACTGTTTTATCTGCCTGCATAGTTGCTCCCACTATTGATGGTGCACTTGATGAGACATATGAAATCTTGGAACACAAGAATATACTGCTTCCCTGTAATCCAATGGGAAAACCCAAACCCAAGACTTTCTGGAGACGGAACTTCACTCCGTTCCGCCCACGGAGTTCTAGAATCCACATAAGGGAACGAGGCCTGTTTATCAAGAAAGCCAGACTCCAAGACAAGGCCATCTATGAATGTGTAACCTCAAATGTTGCCGGCAACACAACTAAAGTCATCACGCTGATTGTCTACAGTAAGTAAAGTCAAGATAGTGTATCAAATTATGGATTGTGTTATCGATACGACAAACCAGTCCGATAAACTTGGAATCATGATGCAATAAATATGCAAATGAGGTATGTTGCAGGAAGTGCTTGGAAAGTCTATACAATGATTTAATGTATTATTGCCCAATAGACTACTTTCTGTAACTAATACCTGGAGCATAGTGGTAAAATCGTTGGCTCGTCGCACCAAAGACCTGGGTTTGATTCCTGACATGGGTACAATGTGTGAAAGCCATTTCTGGTGTCACCTGCCGTGATATTGCTGGAATATTGCTAAAAGCGAGTAAAACCCTACTCACTCACTGACACCTGGAATTATGTCTTGAACATCAATTATTTTAAGAATGATATTACATGATAAGGAGATCGAAAGAGCACTGAAAGCAAAGGTTGATGCAGATGATATTAGTTTAAAGACTGCTTTATACTCCCGGGGAACATTATGAATACCACATGAACTGTACCTCTCCCCAGGACCACCGACCATCACCGCAGGGCCGTCCTACATCACAGTGATGGAGGGGGAGCCAGTGCTGCTGGAGTGTGAGACAGATGGCGACCCAACCCCTGTCGTCACCTGGAGGAAGAACAACACCATCATGGACCTCACCGACCCAGACAGCGGCATCTTCATGATCGGAGCCGGGTCACTGACGCTGGACTCGGTTCGCCTGACGGACGCGGGGATGTACACATGTAGTGGCAAGAACCCTGCAGGGGAGGCACACCAGGACTTCAGGCTGGTGGTTCACGGTATGGGCATCATCTGTTGTCATACAAATCTATTTATACGAGTAACTGCAAATGGAATGATTGTGATGGTTTCTACTGTAAAGCTCTATATGTCTATCAATCTACTAACTGCATAAACAGCTAAACATTTGACAACACACACCTGGGTTGGTTCAGACTATTGAATATTGAAACTGTTTTATTTTATTTCATTTAGAACTGATATACTCTCCAAATGTGACATTTTGCAAAGATTTTCTGTCTGAAATTTGGAATCTGTTTAAATCACTTACTCACTCGGGGTGGTCCAGTAGCCCAGTGGTTTAAGCGTTCGCTCGTCACGCAGAAGACCCGGGTGACTCCCGACATGGGTACAATGTGTAAAGCCCATTTCTGGTGTCCTCTGCCATGATATTGCTGAAATATTGCTAAAATCGGCGTAAAACCATACTCACTCACTCACTCATTTACTCACTCACTAACCAACTGTCTGTTCCATTGCAAGATGCGTTTCTCAACAAACGACTTAAACAAGGATTGGGTGATAACAGTGTGAAATCTTGATCTTTGAACATGCTGTCAACATCTGGTTTCCCCTGAGTTCAAGACTCCATTATTTGCAGGCTGTCGTGATATAGCTGTTTTAAAGCAAACTGGGGTGTAAAACAACATTCACTCACCCACTCACTCTTCCAGCTCCACCACAGATCGCAAAAGACCTCCCGACCTACACCGAGGTCATTGAGAAAAACCCAGTGATGCTCCGATGTCCAGCAACGGGAACCCCTCCTCCGAAGATCTCCTGGCTGAAGGATGGCGTACCAGTGTCTAGCACTGACCTTGGTGTCACTCTGCGACCGGATGGGAACCTAGAGCTGGACAACGCCCTGGCAGAGGATTCGGGGGTCTACAAGTGTGTCGTAGAGAATGTGGCTGGCAATGCCAGTCATGCAGTTAATCTCAAGATACTTAGTGAGTACATATCTTTGTAAAAGTATGTATCATGAGGCACTACCACTTGGATGAAACAATATCAACAGCGCAAGGATATGTGGACTTGATTTAATAAATACTCTCAGCTTTGCTGATATTTTACACCTGTCAACACAAAATATACTCACCACCAAACGAAACGTGAATACAAGCATGTAGGTTAATATTAAAGACTTACTCATATTCAAGAGATATTAATTGGTCTGATGCACAAACGAACATACTGGTATGTTGTGTGAACCAATGCTTATGAACGCATCACATATGACGTCATAGACCCATGACTCGAGATGCACCATTTTTCTCGTACAGGATTAGCGTGCAAAGTTTGGAAATCACTGTGCAGCATGTCATGATAAGAATAAGGACACTCTGTGGTAACTCTTGGCTGATTGTTTGTTTTGTCACTAAGTGGTACACACTGGAATCATCTCTTCTTAAGGTACATACGTCCCTTGGTTTCTATGGTTCGCGTTTCTCTTGGCTGTCAGTATATAAACTTAAAAAATATATCTATATAAAATATAAAAGTATATATTTTGGTACACCTACAAAATACTGGACACCTATCCACTGTTTGTTTGATATTAGTTATAAAACAGCGCGCAAGAGTGAGACTATTTTTAGAATCAATCTTGATGAAAATCAAAATATACTGAAAAAATGAGTGGGCCTACAGTTGTATGGTTTAATGATAAATCCTCAAAATTTAATTTCAAAGCAATTCATAAGCATAAAAAATTCAGCAGCATCATAGAATCTAATTGGGCCACATTTCAACGAACATATAGTTTTTATTAACCTTGGATGCTAAGAATAATGTATATATACAATTGCATTTGTTTCAAGTTGTGTGAAGGGGCAAACCCCATGTTATTTTAGTGAGGTGACTGAATAACTTAGAAAAAGGGAGAACCTTGTGCACATTTCTTTTCCAAATCTGGTGGAAGGTACTCGGTATTCTATATGCTAGCATTTATTTTCAGTCCCTCCCAAGCTGGAAACTGATGGATCGTTTGGTAATGAGGCTGACAAGCCAACCGTCATTGTGAACAACTCCATCACCATCCGATGTCCTGTAGCAGAGGACGTTGATCCTCCGCCGATCGTCACATGGTACAAGAACGGACTGCTCCTACTGACGGATCCGGATGACCCACGCATCCTCATCTCAGACTCCGGGCTCGAACTCATCATCAGCTGGGCCCTCATCGACGACACTGCTCGGTACAAGTGCACTGCCATCAACCCCGCGGGAGAGACGGAGAAGAAGTTCGACTTGGATGTGTTAGGTGGGTGAGGGGTAATATGAGTGTGCTGCAATCTCACTGGTTGAAAATATTGACAATTTCGATTCAAAATTAGAACCTTGCCTGGATCTTTTAAGGCATATATATAAATTTATGGATCACATTTAAAATTTAAACATGACAACTGAAATATTATTCATTTTATTATGGTCCTTATGAAAACATATAAGCATTACTTTATGGCGGCCATGTTGAAAATGTCATTTCGGGGCACTACTCATTTGCATATAGACCGCCTCCATGGTCTAGTGGTAGAGCGGAAGGTCCGGGATTCGATCCCCAGCCTTGTCATATGAAAAGACGTTAAAAGATGGTACTTGTTACTCTGTCTGGCGCTCAGCATTAAGGGGCTAAAACAAGGACTGGTCGGCTCGGAGTCAGTATACTGTATCTGATTTGGGTATTCATATTAAACTGTAGGATGGTATCTCAGTGTGCCAGCACTATAAATCAGCATCAGTCCGGACTAGTACAAGCACACACTCTCTCACACGCACGCACGCACGCACGCACGCACGCACGCACGCACGCACGCACGCACACACCTCGCTTTATAAGTGCAGTAATCTTGGATGCGACGTTAAACCAAATTTCACCTCACCTCACCTCACCTCATTTACATATAATTGTTTCATTGAATGTGTGATGTCTTACTTCTTGTAAAATATGATACATTGATTCATTTATTTTTACCCTTCAGTGACCTCTATGATTTAATGTTATGTATGTATTGAGTTGTATCTGCCTGCAAGTTTAGCTTCCTTGCTCTGTTACTTTCTTTGATTTATTCTTTGCTTCGTTCCTTCCTACTAGTCCCTCCGAAGGTCGACCAAGGCTCATCTTCCCCCAACAACATGACAGTGGTGGTAGGTCAGCCCCTTTACATAAACTGTCCAGTAGGAGGCATCCCGCCACCAGTGGTCAAGTGGTTCAAGGACGGACAGCCTCTTTCCCCTGAACTTGACCCCAACATTAATGTCCTGGCAAATGGGCGGCGTCTGGAAGTGACCAATGCGAAGGTCACAGATCGGGGGTTCTACCTGTGTGTTGGGGAGAATGTTGCTGGCAAAGTGGAGGAGACCTATGAAGTCTATGTACATGGTTTGTACGCCTTGGTTCTTTTTCAATATTAGGTATTGACCTGAGGGGCGAATCTCATTCTTTTATCCAAATTTTTGGATTGGGCTGTTTCCCAAGAATGACCCCAAACTCCAACATCAATAACTACTCCAGTAAGATAACAGCCGTATCACATGAGTAAGCAACATTGACATTTATTGCACACCTATATACAGTCTTTACTCTACCAATGAATAGTTTGTCATTTCAGGTAAATGAATACTTGATTACAAACTAAATAAATGAATCAGAAGACAAAGGAAATTGCAATGTATTTACATAAAGAAATCACACGCTATATATACAGTCCAATCAAAACATGCCATTCGCCCTGAAGCAGTGCGTGGCATTGGTACTTCAATACTTGTATTAGAACAAACTCATGGGCATCGGTGTCCCTTTCCTGGTTTTTTTAGGGGCGGTTGGGTAGTTGTGGTTAAAGCGATCGCTCGTCACGTCAAAGACCCGGGTTTGATTCCCGACATGGGTACAATGTGTGAAGCCCATTTCTGGTGACCCCTGCCGTGATATTGCTGGAATATTGCTAAAAGCGGCGTAAAAACCATACTCACTCACTCACTTTCCTGGGTTTGAATCCTAGATTAGTCTGAACTATGATCCTTGGTGTTATATTGAAATTGATAACGAGAGCAGACTCACCAACAAGAAACAGTTCTCAATGCGCGACACAAGTCTTTGTTCTGGAGGTATTTGGGAATTGGAGTTTCCGATTCTGTTATCATTGACTACTGTGGTTTGTGTGTTTAGTTCCGCCTGAGGTGGAGAAGCCGGGTGAGGTGGACAGTACAGAAGTCATCATGAACGGCACACTGCGACTACGCTGTCCAGTGTCCGGCATCCCTCCGCCAACGATCACGTGGTTGAAGGATGACGCAAGTATCAAGTTCAACTCCTCCAAGTACACGTTGCTTGAAGATGGCTGGGTGCTGGAAATCAAGTTTGCCAACATCAGAGACCGAGGGAGACATTACTGTCTGGCCAAGAATATCGCAGGGGAGAACGAGAAAGCTTTTGATGTGGAAGTTTTAGGTGAGCCTCACATTCACAGTCATCAGTTTGATGATACAGTGTCATTAATAGAGTATGTTATATGAGTGTTCGTGTCATACTATATGTTTACGACACGAGTGTCTTAATTCCAGTATTACACGAGCCAGAAATTTATTTATTACCAAAGAAGATGTCTGCATACAGAGACAAATTTTAGTGTTTACCTATGAAGACAGCAAATCACAACAGCAGTGTATCCACAATTTTCTCGAATGACAATCTTCAGCTATGATGTCGTTTCTAGTGTGACGTCATTCCGACCTCACGTCACAATAAGATTTGAATGACGTCAACAATGCTGTCCAGATAACGGGAACAATACACTGTTGTCTCGTCCCTAGGTCATGTGATTTTTATGAACCCCGATCCGATTGTCCTAGTAGGTAATAATATACGATAAGACTTTCTTGACTTGAAGTATCTGGGACCATTAAAGATGTAAGGAGTTATCAGCTGTTCCAGACTGAATGATGATTACAGATCTTTTCAAGAATCATAACTGTAAAGGATGTCTCAAAAAGCTATTAATAATGCATAGATTTATCTAGGATTCCAATCTGAGTGACCTTATTCCTGTTCCTCTAGTACCACCACAGATCAACCGCACGAACACGGTGACCAACCCGAACGTCATCGTCAACAGCACTGCTGTTATCAGCTGTCCTGTGACCGGCAACCCCCAGCCTGAGATTCTGTGGTATCGCAACAATGTGCTCCTTGACGCTCGCAGCAACCCGCGATACGAGATCCTGGCCAGTGGGAGACAACTCCGCATTTACCGCACACAGGTCAAGGACTCTGGGCAGTACACGTGTGCCTCTCGCAACAGAGCAGGAGAAGATAATATCCAATTTGATCTGGATGTTTGGGGTGAGTACTGGTTAAAGTTGAATATTCATCTGTAACATTTCCTTGGTTAAGTGTATGGCCCTGTGGGTGTTTGCAGGATATATTTATCCCCAGTGCCCAGTCTCCCTGTGAGGATTTCACTGCTGAATAAATTGTCAGTACTCAATGCTTGCCTCCCCATAAAAAGTCTTTGAAAATAAAGGTCCCCTGTCTCCCTGTGAGGATTTCACTGCTGAATAAATTGTCAGTACTCAATGCTTGCCTCCCCATAAAAAGTCTTTGAAAATAAAGGTCCCCAGTCTCCCTGTGAGGATTTCACTGCTGAATAAATTGTCAGTACTCAATGCTTGCCTCCCCATAAAAAGTCTTTGAAAATAAAGGTCCCCTGTCTCCCTGTGAGGATTTCAGTGCGGAATATATTGTCAGTACTCAATGTTTGCCTCCCCATAAAAAGTCTTTGAAAATAAAGGTCCCCTGTCTCCCTGTGAGGATGTGGCAATGGCCAGAACATGTCCCTTTAACCCCAGACAGAAATTATCCTCAGTCCTTCAAACTTTAATCCCAGGATTTCAGGATAGGTCTCCAGCACCCCAGGCTTATCTCCCTGTGGGGATTCATTGCCAGAAAATGTCCCATGTTTGTCATTAGAACAGAATCAAATAAAGAAGAGGTGGACTTTATTGTGTGTCATTATTCACTGACATTTGATTGTTGTTCATGATGTCAACCACTGGTTTGCCTGGCCCTGTATTAATTATTCCCAGGCCGCCTTGATATTACAATTCAGAAATCTGATCTTGTTTCCAGTCGCTCCGACCATCAACACTCAGGGCAGTAACTTCGAACCTAAGGTCATCGTCAACAGCACCATTGACCTCGACTGCCCTGCTGAGGGCAACCCACCGCCGCAAATCCGTTGGTTCCGTGACGGCACACCCGTCAATACCAACGATCCGGATATTACAATTCTGGAGGGAGGAATGCGAATGCAGATCCAGAATGCTGCAGTGGAAGATTCGGCCCGCTACACGTGTATTGTCAACAACCCAGCGGGGGAGGATGACGTTTCCTACGATCTCAGTGTACATGGTAGGTGCGGCGCGATACAACAGACGGTTATTGACGGTCTGTCAACACCATACCTGTGCTTGTTGGTTTCACTGAAGTGGTAAACATATGCATCTGAGAACTGCTTCAGTTAGGACTTTTCTCCCGCAGTAAGCTGACACACTGTGATATAACTGGAATCCTGTTCAAGTACTACACCCAACTCTCACTCACGTCTGTCTTAGTGATTGCCATTTATCATCATTTAATGGCAGACCAATTTTTTTATTTTTTTTATTTTATGTGTTTACTAACATACCAAGAAGCAAAATCAAAATATGACAAAGGTTTTCTTGATTGATTTGTCGAAACATTCCAAGAACAAAAATAAAAGTGTAAATACACAAAAGGTTCAGTGCAATACACTTATGGTCGGTCATTAAAATAACACCTCCTTCCACAATAATTATTACCGTTAATAATCATTTTAAGCCAGACCAATCTGTTAAAGTTTTTAAGTTGTAGGAGGCAAAATCAAATCAAACATATGTTTTCATTAAATACTGCTATCCTATCTCATCTTCCCTTCTTCTTTTCTGATGCACAACCCCTATCCTATCCACCTCACCATTGTCTCACTCACTATTGAAAAACATGCTTACCATCCCAGTAACCCTTAACCACATTGGTATGGTAGGGATTGTGTTAATCATGGTTTCTTCTATTGTGAAAAAAAGAAGTTATGTAAATATATTAAATATATGTAAAAAGATATTTATAAATATTTGTAAACATTTAAAAAAAAGTATATTAACCAGTGTATTTAGTCACTGATGAGAGGTCAAGTTTTGCAGAAGTACGACAGGCTCATCCATCCATCAAACAAACAAACAAAATACTGGGTCCTGACCATTCATTTCCTCAGTCAGTTCTTGTGGACATTCACATTTTACCATTATTTATTTTTTATGACGTATGTTGATAATAAATAATCATTCAAAACTGGCTTCCACAGGAGATATTGCTTGGTTGAGATCAAGCGACCTCTCCTTGGGCTATGATGAAACTGCATAACAGTGCTTTAGAAACCATTGGTTTCCTTGATGTCACTATTACATGACATAACGAATCTCTCTGCCACTGAAGCTTGTTAGTTGTACATTTTACACTCAAGACACTGTTTATTACCATGTACAAAATGACAAGGAATCAATTTGGATAATAAATAGAATATCACCTGGGTGGCTGTTTATATGAAATATATAACGCACGTCAGGAAATGTTTACCAGTACAATTCCCTTCTTTCGGGTGAGATTCTATGTTATATATGTTGAGGAGAACAATATCAGTTTGGACATGTACACTCGCCCCCTCTCTCATGTTTAATTCAGTCCCTCCGGAGATCTCGTCAGAGGGAGTTGTCACCGACCCCAAGGTCATTGAGAATGAGACCTTGACCCTGGACTGTCCTGCTGAGGGAGTTCCAGTGCCGGACATCTTGTGGCTGCAGGAGGGTCAGCCAATCGACTTTGAAGCCAACCCTCACATGATTATACAGGACCATGGTCGCCGCTTAATAATCCGAGGTGTCCATGTGCCGGATGCCGGTAACTACTTGTGTGTGGCCTCAAATGAAGCCGGGGAGGTAGAGAAGAGTTACGATCTGGAAGTTTGGGGTATGTACAAAGGGGGTTTGTCCCCAAAAGATTGGTCTAAGTGCCTTGAAACTGTTTTCACTTGAAGAGATTTTCAGTAGATTTGTTAACACTATTCTCCCTTTGAATCCCAGATGAACCTAAATTAATACACTTGATCTGTCAGAACCATATCAGGGCCCAGTTGTACCATGCAATCTTAGCTCAACGGCTATCGTAAGCCCATGTTAAAGTATGGGAGTTACAATCACCTTAGCGCTGGGATGGCTTTTGCAATGGGGCCCAGTGTGACCTCATGTTGACTCAACACAACAGAAGTACTTCTGAATGTGGTTTCAGCACACTCACACAGACAGATGCTTTGGTTCATCATTATGTACATAGTGAACTGTTCACTGGTTCCTGGTTTACCATATCAGCTTTACGAATTGTGAAATCCGGATTGTAATTTATCGTTTGAATTTGATATGTATATAATTTCAAATCAAGATGTCGGCTGGTCGGGCTCATTGACTTCGTTGATGCATATCACGGTATCCCAATTGTGTAGATTGATGCTCTTGATGTCAATCACTGGATTTTATGGTCCAAATTTTGTTATTTTCAGACTGCTGTCATATAGCTGGAATTTTGCTGAGTGCGGCGTTAAACAACAAAAATAACAATGTTGCATTTAGTGATTTAAAGAGGTATAACAACATGGATTGATTAACACCCTATCATTTCAGTACCACCCCACATAGATGACACAGCACGCGAAACCCACCCTCGGGTCATAAAGGGCCTAACAGCAACAATGACCTGCCCTGTGTCCGGTATTCCATTCCCGGCCATCAAGTGGTTACGAGACAATCGTGATATCACGTATGACTCTCGCGTGGAGGTTCTGAATGGCGGTCTCCAGCTGCGAGTACAGAACTCGACTGAGTTTGATGCAGGAGTCTACAGCTGTATCGCCTCCAGCCCAGCAGGGGAGGACAGGGCTGACTTCGATCTAGTTGTGCTTGGTAAGAGAAACACAGATGTTTCATCACCATCAGTTTTGTAGTCTAGCAGTTGTCACACATGGTCAAATCACAAGATTTAGTTATTTGTTTTAATTGTAACAGAACTACCTTCAAACCCATATGCCTTCAGGGCATTCTAGCTGAAATTCATGTACTAATCTTGGCTTACCAATAGTACCTATGGTCCCCAGTATTGTGCCCCAATTCTGTCTGCTGGTGGTCTATGGCCTGTTTCATAACAAATGTTATCTCATATGACATCTTTTCATGATTGAACTGCAGTCATATAGCTGGAATATTGCTGAGTGTGGTGTTAAACAACAAAGAAACAAAATCTTCATGGTGGCATACCAGTTTTAAATACAAATTTGTGATAGTCTCTTTGTGATGTCCTTTGTCTACAAGTTTTATACAGTCAATTTATTTATTATTAATCTATTAATCTACTGCAAGTGACTATACAACTGAAATACTGCCAATGTGACTTTAAATTTTAACTCACTCACTGTTCTTGGCCAACTGAAAAAGCTTGTAAGAAGTAAAAATCAGTACAGATTCATGCTTGTATATTGATGAAAAGAGACCTGCATGGCCTTATTGAGACTTTGTTGCCCTTGACCAAGACCATGTTTTCCTTGACCAAGACCGTGTTGCCCTTTACCAAGACCGTGTTGTCCTTGACTAAGACCTTGTTTGTCCTTGACCAAGACCGTGTTGACCTTTACTAATAATATGTTGCCTTGGCCAAGACTGTGTTGCCCTTTACCAAGACCATGTTGTCCTTGACCAAGACCTTGTTTGTCCTTGACCAAGACCGTGTTGTCCTTGACTAATAACATGCTGTCCTTGGCCAAGACCTTGTTTGTCCTTGGCCAAGACCGTGTTGTCCTTGGATAAGACCGTGTTGTCCTTGGCCAAGACCGTGTTGTCCTTGGATAAGACTGTGTTGTCCTTGACTAAGACTGTGTTGTCCTTGGCCAAGACCGTGTTGCATTTAACCAAGACCTTGTTGTCCTTACTAAGATCTTGTTGACTGAGAGCATACCCCAAAGTAAGGCCTTGTTGTCCAGGGTCTAGTCCTTTGATATGTTACGAAGTGATTACTAGTGTGATAGGGTAGAAAAGATACCAGATTGTACTCCCAACTGTGTATGACCCTGACTGAGTTTTCTTATTGGATATAATATGTAATATTGATCACAAAGCATAATCTACTTATCTCTCACTTTCACCCTATTTACAGTGAAGCCAGACATCGACGAGTCAAATGTGGTGTACAACCCCAAGGTGACCGAAGGGCGGCGAGTGCTGCTGGAGTGCCCCGTGTCTGGCATCCCGATCCCGGAGGTGGAGTGGCTCCTCAATGGCAGTCCCCTCATCCCGTCTGATGAAGTCAGGATCCTCAACAACAACCATCATGTAACTAGCTTCCTGTTGACTGATGGTCAGAAACCACCATGTAACTAGCTTCCTGTTGACCGATGGTCAACAATCCCCATGTAACTAGCTTCCTGTTGACTGATGGTCAACAACCACATGTAACTAGCTTCCTGTTGACTGATGGTCAACAACCACATGTAACTAGCTTCCTGTTGACTGATGGTCAATAACCACATGTAACTAGCTTCCTGTTGACTGATGGTCAACAATCCCCATGTAACTAGCTTCCTGTTGACTGATGGTCAACAACCACATGTAACTAGCTTCCTGTTGACTGATGGTCAATAACCACATGTAACTAGCTTCCTGTTGACTGATGGTCAACAACCACATGTAACTAGCTTCCTGTTGACTGATGGTCAATAACCACATGTAACTAGCTTCCTGTTGACTGATGGTCAACAATCCCCATGTAACTAGCTTCCTGTTGACTGATGGTCAACAACCACATGTAACTAGCTTCCTGTTGACTGATGGTCAACAACCACATGTAACTAGCTTCCTGTTGACTGATGGTCAACAACCACATGTAACTAGCTTCCTGTTGACTGATGGTCAATAACCACATGTAACTAGCTTCCTGTTGACTGATGGTCAACAATCCCCATGTAACTGGCTTCCTGTTGACTGATGGTCAACAACCACCATGTAACTAGCTTCCTGTAGACTGATGGTCAAAAACCACATGTAACTAGCTTCCTGTTGACTGATGGTCAACAACCACATGTAACTAGCTTCCTGTAGACTGATGGTCAATAACCACATGTAACTAGCTTCCTGTTGACTGATGGTCAACAACCACATGTAACTAGCTTCCTGTTGACTGATGGTCAACAACCACATGTAACTAGCTTCCTGTTGACTGATGGTCAACAATCCCCATGTAACTGGCTTCCTGTTGACTGATGGTCAACAACCACCATGTAACTAGCTTCCTGTAGACTGATGGTCAATAACCACATGTAACTAGCTTCCTGTTGACTGATGGTCAACAACCACATGTAACTAGCTTCCTGTTGACTGATGGTCAATAACCACATGTAACTAGCTTCCTGTTGACTGATGGTCAACAACCACATGTAACTAGCTTCCTGTAGACTGATGGTCAACAACCACATGTAACTAGCTTCCTGTTGACTGATGGTCAACAACCACATGTAACTAGCTTCCTGTTGACTGATGGTCAACAACCACATGTAACTAGCTTCCTGTTGACTGATGGTCAACAACCACATGTAACTAGCTTCCTGTTGACTGATGGTCAATAACCACATGTAACTAGCTTCCTGTTGACTGATGGTCAACAACCACATGTAACTAGCTTCCTGTAGACTGATGGTCAATAACCACATGTAACTAGCTTCCTGTTGACTGATGGTCAACAACCACATGTAACTAGCTTCCTGTTGACTGATGGTCAACAACCACATGTAACTAGCTTCCTGTTGACTGATGGTCAACAATCCCCATGTAACTAGCTTCCTGTTGACTGATGGTCAACAACCACATGTAACTAGCTTCCTGTTGACTGATGGTCAACAACCACATGTAACTAGCTTCCTGTTGACTGATGTTCAACAACCACATTTAACTAGCTTCCTGTTGACTGATGGTCAACAACCACCATATAACTAGCTTCCTGTTGACTGATGGTCAAAGAGAACATTTTTGAATATTTGTTTTAACTAAAATTACGTTGACATAATTAAGCCTCCAATCAAAATTGTTTTATTGTGGAAAGGGGGACTCCTGGCTGTTGGCATAATGACAAAAACAAAGAAATATTTTTGGTCAGATTATGTTTAGAGTATTAAAATTCAATGGTGTAATTATCTCTCCTGCATGTAGTAAGTCTGAAAACTGGCTAAAAATTGTAAGTTTATGTATGAGTTCAAGAAGGTTATGCTATGTGTCAATTGTTATTTTAAGAAGGCATTATTTTTATTCAAATTAACGAAATACTATATTTTCTTGAGTATAGTGCGCACCCAAGTATAATGCGCACCCTCCTCCAGTGGATTCAGTATTTTTGGCGAAAAGAAAAATTAGAATATTATGCACTGAAAAAAATTACACCATACCCCTTCAGCGAATTCCAGTAAACAGGTGGAACGGGTGATAAGAAACTTGGTCAGTACAAATTTGAAATTTGAGATAAAAAATCACCAGACATGTTGATTTACCATTTAAATTGTATTTTTTGTTCTGCTAGGCATTGTTTTACATCCAGGGATTAAGATTACCTTGTGTATTTTCTCGTAACCTAAGCTGGAAACAGCAATCAGCTGTACACACGTTTTCTTGGAATCTACTGGTTATTCGTCTAACCTTACCCAATGATATGACTTTAAAGGATTTTGATGCAAGGATCGGGAAAAATTGTATCTGAAACTATTTCTTATCAGGAATAATATATACCAATATTTTGTTATTTTATTCATGATAGTTGCAGCTTTTACGAAATATATTTAAAATAATAATAACCCTAAGCGTAGCACTTCAGTGCAGCTGATCCCTATCGGCAGGTATTTTTTTTCACATGGAACAATTTGACCAGTCACTGTTGAGGCTCCCACGCATGTGATCGCGAGAACTACATGTTGACATAGAATCCGCAAACTACAACAAATATGACTTTTAATGAGTCAAAGTTTGGCATTTATGATATATGTATCCATTCTCTGTCAACTAAAGTTCATTTCAAGGCGTCAGTAGCAGTAATTTGACCGTGGTTGCTCTTAATAACGGTGAATTTTGCGATCGTTTCACACACGATTTTGCCAAAATTTATTAAAACAATATTAGAAGGAATTTTGAATAAAATTAATGAAATAAGTTTCAAACAAAAGTCCAGATATACTATGAACACTTTTTATAACCTGACAGCCTAATTACATGATTAATTTGCGTGCTTCACTATAGATTTGTTGACATGATATTTCCGTTGTTACGTGCTCACGGTAATGTCTTTGCGTTGGGGGAAAAATACATCAAAAGTCATTATGGTGTGTATAATGCGCACCCCCTTCTACCCAGCTGTGTTTTGTTTTTTTAAAGTGTGCACTATACTCAAGGAAATAAGGTATAAACCCTGTTGTTGTGCTGACTCTCTAATTCACCCTGCCTGCAGCTGGAGATCGTGAGGGCTCTGGTGAAGGACACCGCCCAGTACACCTGTATCGCCACCAACGAGGCTGGCCAGTTGGAGAGGACATTCAGTCTCGAAGTTCTTGGTACGTCAGCTGAGGATAATAAACTGCTTGTATGAGAACTAATTCCCTTCAGTTAATCTCACATACAAAAGAGTCGGGTGACATTGTTATGACATGAAAGTGCTCTTAATTAAAAAAACACACAATTTAGTCCTAGTTTTAATTCTTTTTGTTTATAGTCTTTATTTTAGTCACTAAAAACTCTAAGTTACAGGAGATCAATTGTCAATTTGCTGTTCAGAATTGCAGTGCTTAGCCTGACAGGATCCACTGGTTGTTGTTTCAAATCCCCAATTTAACCCAGTTATGGTCCTTAGTCTATTGTGGGTTGCCCATGCTGGTGGGAACATTTAGAACTTGCATCCCCTTCCCCTCATACTATCATAATGATGAAATGCTGTTCAAAGAAGCGTAAATCTAAACTCACGGTTTCAGTTCCACCGAGCATCGATCGCAACCTGATACAAGAGAACCCCTCAGTGCACCAGAACAAGACCGTGTTGTTGAACTGCCCTGTGGATGGTGTGCCGACCCCCAGCATCTTGTGGTTGAAGGATCGTGTCCCACTGCTGGACTTCCCATACCGCGACCTGCGAGTCCTGAATGAAGACACCACCCTGGAGGTGAGCAACGCACAGGTGGACGACGCGGGGAGCTACACCTGCCGCGCCCTCAACCAAGCCGGCACAGACGAGGTGGTCATCAAGCTAGATGTGTTTGGTGAGTGGATCATTGTGAATGTATGTCAGTATATCAGAGTATCACTATATCGTGTTACGTGCCCACTTCCAAACTGAAACAATAAGTTGACGCAAAAGAATTCAGTGTGAAAACATCAAAGAAATGGTACACAGTTAACAATTGTATTATAATGTTAACTAGGTTTACAAATCAATACAAATTACTGCAGAGTAATTATAATAGGAGTACAAAATACAAAAGCAGTGGTGATAGAAATAGGCCAAGGCTAGATATCCAGGGTGAAAAGATGATCTTTACACAACCACTGGTCTTGATGTAATGTGAGATGAGAGAGGCACACCCTTGCCCCCTTATATAGCCTAATCCCTTCTGGAAGTTTCTATGCAGTGCTGGATTAGACTGGCTGTTCTAGAAGATTCCAGATTTCACTTGAATCCAAAAGCATCTAAATGTAGTAACTTTCGTATCAGTGCTTACATTAGATAGTACTAAATTCCTGACAACTAACCATTGTCAAAACACAATGGTATAAAATTCTACTGAATCTCAGCAAAAACAACATTGTTTAACAATTAACTACACTGCTATATAACAACAGTATATAAATGAGTATCACTATACAGTATATCAGATTGTCACTATAAAGTATATCACATTGTTATACAGTACATCAGAGTATCACTGTATAGTATATCAGATTGTCACTATAAAGTATATCACATTGTTATACAGTACATAAGAGTATCACTGTATAGTATATCAGATTGTCACTATAAAGTATATCACATTGTTATACAGTACATCAGAGTATCACTGTATAGTATATCAGATTGTCACTATAAAGTATGTCACATTGTTACACAGTACATCAGAGTATCACTGTATAGTATATCAGATTGTTACTATAAAGTATGTCACATTGTTACACAGTACATCAGAGTATCACCATGCAGTATATCACAGTATTGCTTATGAAGTATAGCAGAATACAGCCTTTGTTGAACTAAAAGTAAAGCTCCCCAATTACCCCATGCCTGTTGCCTTCAAAACTTGATTCACCCTGTGCTAATGTTATGTGTCCAGCGCAGTAAGTCAACTGTGATATGTATAGGTTGCCAAGGATTGATTCACCTTGTGTTCCAGTCCCGCCTGTGTTCAACGGTAACGAGAGCCCCGAGACCCTGGATGTTGTGACGACCCAGCCAATTACATTACCGTGTAACATCAGCGGTGTCCCCAAGCCCTCGATCCTCTGGCTGAAAGATGGTGCCATCATCGTGGCAGAGGAGAATCCCAACATTATCATAGAGAATGGCGGCAAGGTACTGAAGATCCTACAGGCGTCCACCCTTGACACAGCCAGATACACCTGTCATGCTGAGAACCAGGCTGGCTTTATAGAGAAACAGTATGATCTTCAAGTGCTGGGTGCGTAGTACTTCTTATGCCAGACTAATTTGGGTGTGGTTTCTTTACAGATTAGCCTTCTCCAAAGCTACAAATTTTGCAGTATTTGATTCTAAATACATGTTTAACATCATTATGTTTGTATTTTTGTGTACATTTTTAGTTCAGGAGTTGAATTAAGACTAACTCCATAAGTGACTGATATTTTATAAATAATGTCCTTATTTCTTTACATATAAAATGTTTCTGTCTCTATATACTCACTGATAAAAAGCAAGAAATAAGTATTAAAAAAAACAGATTGTGCAATTTAAAACAAAGTATAAAGAAATGTTATCATTTATTCCCACTGTGTAGCAATAGAATCTTGAGAGAACAAAGCCATATGATAGACACATTTGCTTAACAAAAATTGAGTTGGAGAGTGCCCGTCAAATGATGTAGTTCATAGCTGTATACCAACAAATGAATTAAACTCTTGCAGTTCCACCAAAGATCAATGGCTCCGAAGTGACTCAAAGTGTTCCTGTCATTCTGGACCAATCAGTGACCCTGGAGTGTCCAGCAGTGGGAATACCACCTCCGGACGTAAGGTGGTACAGGTCAGGGGAGATAATCCCTCAGTATGGAATCCCCAATATCCGTATCCTTGACAATGGCAGGAAACTGTACATTATCAGTGCTCAACTCTTGGACTTTGGCGCCTACAGTTGTCAGGCGATTAACACGGCTGGAGAAGCGAGCCTCAGGTTCGAAGTCTCTGTTATGGGTAAGGAGAGAAAAAATATAATCTGTTTTTGCAAAGTCGGACCAAAAAGATGTTTTTTATGATTGACAAATTTTATTCTCAGAGTAGAAATGGCCTGAAAATATAGATGTACATTAGTGGTTACTTGATATTTGACAGTTCTGTAAGATGTTGCCCCGACCTCAAGTTACAGTGGAACTCTTTGACCCTTTGACCAAACAAATCTTATGTCAGGCCAGATTTATTGTCTTCATATTTTTAAGTAATAAAAATAATGCCATTTATGCATTGTATCACCATTTGACCCGTGAAGATCCAGGTTAGAATTAGTCTTCAGCAACCCATTCTTGTCACAAGAAGGGGCGGTCGGGTAGCCTTGTGGTTAAAGCGTTCGCTCATCACGCCGAAGACCCGGGTTCGATTCCCGACATGGGAACAATGTGTGAAGCCCATTTCTGGTGTCCCCCGCCGTGATATAGCTGGAATATTGCTAAAAGCGGCGTAAAACCATACTCACTCACTCTTGTCACAAGAGTGGACATACTCTGTGATTTAGTTAATGCATGTCATCTTATCCCAGTTGTGTAGATCAGTGTTCATGATATCAATAACTGGATTGTCTGGTCCAGACTTGATTAATAACAGACTGCCATCATATAGCTAGAATACTGTTGAATGTAGCTTTAATCAAAGAAACAAACAAAATCTCACCTCACTTTTTGGTCAGTTCCACCGGAAATTGCGCCTGGTGCCACCCAGATGGCAGCAGAGGTCAACACGCCCACAGTCCTGCAGTGTGAGACAAATGGTCAGCCCCAGCCCAACGTCACCTGGACCAAGGATGGCTCCCCCTTCCCATCCACCGGGCTCCGGCACCGAATGTTAAGGTCAGGGTCACTGGAGTTCTCACGGATCATGATAGAGGATGCTGGCAATTACCAGTGCACGGCATCCAACAGTGCAGGCAATGCCACCCGCACAATCAGCATTGACGTTCAAGGTAAGAAAAAAAAAAAGTCTGGCACTCCAATAAGGTGGAGCTCAGTGGTGGTGCTGTATACTCAAATATCAAGGTTACTATAGATGATAAATACCCGGACCTATTCGCTACCCCAGTTTCATTTAGGAAGTGTAGTCACTATCTGTCTTATTTTTAATTTTGCACTGATTTACCCTTGTTCATGTTTAATTTGATTGGACAACTATTTTTAGCATCACATATTTCAAACCAGTGACTGGACCCTTTTTGCCACCATAACTTTGTTTAGGATCTTTGCCATCGATTATGAATCATGAGGCTATCATTTCCTCCTCATCCTGTGATTGACCAAATGCACTGTACATGTATAACAGGGAATCTCAGTCTTCATCATGACATGTTCCTTGTCAGTTCCTGCAAAGATCCTGAACGTAGGCCCAGCTGTAATGAAGTCTCCACTGTCCACCGGCATAACCCTGCCCTGTGAGGTGGAGGGCACCCCCACGCCTAGGATCTTCTGGCTGAAGAACAGGGCTCTCCTACGTGAGGATGAGGGTGAGTGAGGGGTGGGAGGGCTGAAGAACGGGGACCTCCTACTGGAGGGTGAGGGGTGGGCTGAAGAACAGGGACCTCCTACTGGAGGGTGAGGGGTGGGCTGAAGAACAGGGAGTGGGCTGAAGAACAGGGACCTCCTACTGGAGGGTGAGGGGTGGGCTGAAGAACAAGGACCTCCTTCTGGAGGGTGAGGGGTTGGCTGAAGAACAGGGAGTGGGCTGAAGAACAGGGACCTCCTACTTGAGGGTGAGGGGTTGGCTGAAGAACAGGGACCTCCTACTGGAGGGTGAGGGGTGGGCTGAAGAACAGGGACCTCCTACTGGAGGGTGAGGGGTGGGCTGAAGAACAGGGAGTGGGCTGAAGAACAGGGACCTCCTACTGGAGGGTGAGGGGTTGGCTGAAGAACAGGGACCTCCTACTGGAGGGTGAGGGGTGGGCTGAAGAACAGGGACCTCCTACTGGAGGGTGAGGGGTGGGCTGAAGAACAGGGAGTGGGCTGAAGAACAGGGACCTCCTACTGGAGGGTGAGGGGTGGGCTGAAGAACAGGGAGTGGGCTGAAGAACAGGGACCTCCTACTGGAGGGTGAGGGGTGGGCTGAAGAACAAGGACCTCCTTCTGGAGGGTGAGGGGTTGGCTGAAGAACAGGGAGTGGGCTGAAGAACAGGGACCTCCTACTTGAGGGTGAGGGGTTGGCTGAAGAACAGGGACCTCCTACTGGAGGGTGAGGGGTGGGCTGAAGAACAGGGACCTCCTACTGGAGGGTGAGGGGTGGGCTGAAGAACAGGGAGTGGGCTGAAGAACAGGGACCTCCTACTGGAGGGTGAGGGGTGGGCTGAAGAACAGGGACCTCCTACTGGAGGGTGAGGGGTGGGCTGAAGAACAGGGAGTGGGCTGAAGAACAGGGACCTCCTACTGGAGGGTGAGGGGTTGGCTGAAGAACAGGGAGTGGGCTGAAGAACAGGGACCTCCTACTGGAGGGTGAGGGGTTGGCTGAAGAACAGGGAGTGGGCTGAAGAACAGGGACCTCCTACTGGAGGGTGAGGGGTTGGCTGAAGAACAGGGACCTCCTACTGGAGGGTGAGGGGTTGGCTGAAGAACAGGGAGTGGGCTGAAGAACAGGGACCTCCTACTGGAGGGTGAGGGGTTGGCTGAAGAACAGGGAGTGGGCTGAAGAACAGGGACCTCCTACTGGAGGGTGGGGGTTGGCTGAAGAACAGGGAGTGGGCTGAAGAACAGGGACCTCCTACTGGAGGGTGAGGGGTGGGCTGAAGAACAGGGAGTGGGCTGAAGAACAGGGACCTCCTACTGGAGGGTGAGGGGTTGGCTGAAGAACAGGGAGTGGGCTGAAGAACAGGGACCTCCTACTGGAGGGTGAGGGGTTGGCTGAAGAACAGGGAGTGGGCTGAAGAACAGGGACCTCCTACTGGAGGGTGAGGGGTTGGCTGAAGAACAGGGACCTCCTACTGGAGGGTGAGGGGTTGGCTGAAGAACAGGGAGTGGGCTGAAGAACAGGGACCTCCTACTGGAGGGTGAGGGGTTGGCTGAAGAACAGGGAGTGGGCTGAAGAACAGGGACCTCCTACTGGAGGGTGGGGGTTGGCTGAAGAACAGGGAGTGGGCTGAAGAACAGGGACCTCCTACTGGAGGGTGCGGGGTGGGAGGGCTGAAGAACAGGGCTCTCCTACTGGAGGGTGAGGGATGGGCTGAAGGACAGGGACCTCCTTCTGGAGGGTGAGGGGTTGGCTGAAGAACAGGGAGTGGGCTGAAGAACAGGGACCTCCTACTGGAGGGTGAGGGGTTGGCTGAAGAACAGGGAGTGGGCTGAAGAACAGGGACCTCCTACTGGAGGGTGAGGGGTTGGCTGAAGAACAGGGACCTCCTACTGGAGGGTGAGGGGCTGGCTGAAGAACAGGGACCTCCTACTGGAGGGTGAGGGGTGGGCTGAAGAACAGGGACCTCCTACTGGAGGGTGAGGGGTTGGCTGAAGAACAGGGCTCTCCTACTGGAGGGGGAGGGCTGAAGAACAGGGCTCTCCTACAGGAGGGGGAGGGTGAAGGGTGGGTGGTGAATGGGTTGGCTCTCCTTCGGGAATATCTAGAGTGTAGGAGTGTTGAGCGATGTGTGATGTTGGGATGAAGAACAGTATTCCAGAATTCCAAGACGATATTCAGTCTCCCCTTCTTCAGATGAAAAATGGGGTGTATTATCCTACAAGCCCTGGCAATGGATGGCGCGAGAGCGTCGAGCCACACTTATACTTTACTTTAAGGGGAGTCATGCTGCAATGAGTCGGAGTGTTGCGAAGTGAGCATGGAAGCTTGGGGTGAGAGCCCAAAAGGAACTGCCTCAGAGGTATATTTTGGTCGTAGTAATTATTGAAAAATTCTTGCAGTTCATAAATCAAAAGGCAAAAAAGTGGCTTGTCTGTATAACATGTACTGGGCATAAGTTTGACTGCATGTTAAATAAACCTTTGTTTCTTTTAGAAATATAACTGATCTCTCCTGTGTGTATTTCCTCTGTCCAGGCTCCTACCAAGTGCTGTCCAACGGCTCACTGCACATCACGGACCTGCAGCTGTACCATCGAGGCGTCTACACCTGCATCGCGCAAAACAGGGCTGGCTCCTCCAAGAGGGACATCACCCTCCAAGTACAAGGTGGGTCACTGCATGGGGCAGGTAGTGTACTCAGAGGGCTCCAGTACGGATGCCCAGTACCTCATGTGAGGCAGACGAGGTCGCAGTATCTCAAGTGTGTCTTCAAGTTAGAAGTCCAGGGCGGAATAGCTCCCCAGCACCCCATGCTTGTCTCCCTGTGGTGATTCTGGGGCAGAGTAGCTCCCCAGCACCCCATGCTTGTCTCCCTGTGGTGATTCAGGGGCAGAGTAGCTCCCCAGCACCCGATGTTTGTCTCCCTGTGGTGATTCTGGGGCAGAATAGGTCCCCAGCACCCAATGCTTGTCTCCCTGTGGTGATTCTGGGGCGGAATAGGTCCCCAGTATCCCATGCTTGTCTCCCTGTGGTGATTCTGGGGCAGAATAGGTCCCCAGCACCCCATGCTTATCTCCCTGTGGTGATTCTGGGGCAGAATAGGTCCCCGGTACCCCATGCTTATCTCCCTGTGGTGATTCTGGGGCAGAATAGGTCCCCAGCACCCCATGCTTATCTCCCTGTGGTGATTCTGGGGCAGAATAGGTCCCCAGTACTCCATGCTTATCTCCCTGTGGTGATTCTGGGGCAGAATAGGTCCCCAGCACCCCATGCTTATCTCCCTGTGGTGATTCTGGGGCAGAATAGGTCCCCAGCACCCCATGCTTGTCTCCCTGTGGTGATTCTGGGGCAGAATAGGTCCCCAGCACCCCATGCTTATCTCCCTGTGGTGATTCTGGGGCAGAATAGGTCCCCAGCACCCCATGCTTGTCTCCCTGTGGTGATTCTTGGGCAGAATAGGTCCCCAGCACCCCATGCTCATCTCCCTGTGGTGATTCTGGGGCAGAATAGGTCCCCAGCACCCCATGCTCATCTCCCTGTGGTGATTCTGGGGCAGAATAGGTCCCCAGCACCCCATGCTTATCTCCCTGTGGTGATTCTGGGGCAGAATAGGTCCCCAGCACCCCATGCTTGTCTCCCTGTGGTGATTCTGGGGCAGAATAGGTCCCCAGTACCAATGATTGGCCCCCTTTCTGTAATTGGTACAATTCTGAAGTTCATTTATTCTGAAATAGTACTTTTTGAAATCACACTTTTACTTTACCTCAAATACTGACTTGGTGCTGTCAACTACATGAAACCAAGTTGATTTAAGTCATTATCTGTGTCTTCAATGTCACTCATTGCTTGTAGTTCCACCGACCATCAGTGTGGCACAGCGGAACTTTGTGGTGCTCCAGAACCGGACGGCTGTGATGCCCTGCAGCGCTACAGGCATCCCGAGGCCCAAGATCCGGTGGGAGAAGGATGGGAAGGAGATTACCGCCACCAACTACGGCCACTCCTACAGCCGCGTCCACTACATCACGCTGCAGAATGGAGGACTCGCCATACCTCATGCAAGGTAACGTCACTCCACTCTCCCATCCGGTCAGGAAAGAACATGTGTTTTAGCATTAATTAACTGATGTGACTATTGGGAGGTGGGGTTTTCTTGTCAGAAAACTAGAAAAATGAACTAGATTTTGTAACTTATCCTATCTCACACAATGCGGTCCTCTTTCTTCTTTCGATCCTAAGGGAAAAAGTGCCTGGACAAGGGTTTCCAGCTTCTAAAATTAATTCACCCAGACATACCTCGCATCACCTTGTTCACCTCCCAACATCTGGGCCATGCACGTTGCATGCTAGTTAATCTACATGCACTGATCACGTGGTTTCCCCAGCCAATTCATTCTCTTTTAAATCACCGTCTTCCCAAGGCAAGGGAATTAACTGACTTTAAAAGTCCAGTTTTCACCCTTGCCGAAATAGGCTGGAATGTCTGGGCTCGATCGTAACGCCACCAGTGACTATTACAAGTTATGTCCCTTCTATGTACCACCCCACCACCACCACCCCACATCTACTGACCAATCAGATTCCACCTCTCATATCACTTGCATTTGCTTTAAACAAAATGGGACCCGTGAAGATCCAGGGTAGAATAGGTCTTCAGCAACCCATGCTTGCCGCTAACTTGGTTGGTGCATGTCATCGATCCCAATTACGTAGATCGATGCTCATGGTGTCAAATCACTGGATTGTCTGGTCCAGACTTGATTATTTACAGACCGCCATCATATAGCTGGAATATTGCTGAGTGCGGCGTAAAACAACAAACCAATCAACCAAAACCAATTAAGCAAAATGGGGGCACCCAGTCAAGACAAACTCCCTTGCTTCGGGAAGATGTATTGCCTGCCATCAACTTTGCATTTTTGTTGTGAAGTCTTCACTTGTTTGCCGACCTTCAATTTGCCAGACTTCATCTATATTTTTGCTTGGTATGCCTTTTTCCTTACACACCTCGGCAGCTTTGACGGGCTTGGATGTTCACTGAGTACTCTCGCTGGATGTCGGTTTGGCTGAACCTATTACATCATCTTGGCCTCTTCGGAAGTGTTTCATTCCTCTTCACAAGCTTTGTCTTATGACACTTAACATTGTTACTTTAACATTGATTGGTATCACTGTTAAGCTCCAGCTTCCTTGTGTATAGCCTTAGGTTGTTATCTATGTAGAATTGGGAGTAGCGCCCCACCATCCCACCGTGGGATAATGCATATTGTGAGATAGGATAAGTTTAAACATTTGTAAATTTTACAATAAATTGTATATATATATACTTATCCTATCTCACATGTTATGTACCCACCCGTTCATCCTCAAACCACAATTTCCTTTGCCTATAACACTGTTGAACGAGAATGAATTGGCTGGGGAAACCACGTGATCAGTGCATGTTGGTCCACCAGCATGTAAGCATACATGACCCAGATGTTGGGAGGTGTCTGGGTGAATTAATTTTAGAAGCTGGAAACCCTTGTCCAGAAACTTTTTCAATTAGGATCGAAAGAAGAAAGCAAAATCCACAGTGTGAGATAGGATAAGTATATAATTATACAATTTATTGTAAAATTTACAATATTGTAATTCTGTTGATAAAAAAGACCAAACTTATTTCATTTTTGGATAAAGTAAAGAAAATGATAATTGTGACATTTATATAATTTTGACACTTGAGGGGAAAAAAGAAAATTGTCATGGGTAAACTCCCTGTTTCTCCCCTGAAATAATATGTCTATTTCTGAAAACAGTAACTACTGTTCATTATGACAATCTCTCACTGTTTGTGACAGAGCAGTGGATGCAGGGACACCCAATACATACCAAAACATACCTGAAGACACTCAGACTCAACTGTGACAGAGCTGTGGCATCAGGGAAACATGTAACGCACCTGTACACACCTGTACACACCCAGGCTCACCCGAGACAGAGCTGTGAATGCAGGGGCACCTCTTACACACTTGTACACACCCAGGCTCACCCGGGACAGAGCAGTGGATGCAGGGGCACCTGTTACACACTTGTACCCATCTGTACACATCTGTACACACCCAGGCTCACCCGGGACAGAGCTGTGGATGCAGGGGCACCTGTTACACACTTGTACGCATCTGTACACATCTGTACACACCCAGGCTCACCTGAGACAGTGCTGTGGATGCAGGGGCACCTGTTACACACTTGTACGCATCTGTACACACCCAGGCTCCCCCAGGACAGAGCTGTGGATGCAGGGGCACCTGTTACACACTTGTACCCATCTGTACACATCTGTACACACCCAGGCTCACCTGAGACAGTGCTGTGGATGCAGGGGCACCTGTTACACACTTGTACGCATCTGTACACATCTGTACACACCTAGGCTCCCCCAGGACAGAGCTGTGGATGCAGGGGCACCTGTTACACACTTGTACGCATCTGTACACACCCAGGCTCACCCGAGACAGAGCTGTGGATGCAAGGGCACCTGTTACACACTTGTACGCATCTGTACACACCCAGGCTCACCCAAGACAGAGCTGTGGATGCAAGGGCACCTGTTACACACTTGTACGCATCTGTACACACCTAGGCTCACCAGGGACAGAGCTGTGGATGCAGGGCTGTACACCTGTTAACACCAGCACATATCGATACTCTCCTAAATACACCTGCACTCAGCTGTTGCACATGTATGTATGTGTGATAAGAGCTGTGGATGCAGCATGGTACCCCAGTCCTCAATGTTTACAAATATACACACCTGTACATAACTGTACAAACCTGTGCACCCTTGTACTCACCTGTGTGTTTGTGTGACAGAGCTGTGGATGCAGGGGCACCTGTTACACACTTGTACACACCTGTACACACCCCGGCTCACCCGGGACAGAACTTAACTGTATGAACCTGTGCACCCTGCACACACTTGTACTCACCTGTGTGTTTGTGTGACAGAGCTGTGGATGCAGGGACGTACACCTGTATAGCTGAGAACCAGGCTGGCAATGCTACAGAGAGTGTCTCCCTCACAGTGGAAGGTAAGCATCAACCCCCACACTGGCTGGTGGCACAGTGGGTAGTGCCCTGACTTGCAATTGTCATGTGGGGTATTGTTTTGTTTTTGTTTTTTCAGGGGACTTTGAAAATAAATTTCAGTGTAGTTTGTTTCCCCCTTTTTTCACAAATTTAACCCAACTGACCACACAGCATTCAGTGTATATATATATATATCCTGAACAAAACAGGTTTTGGATCATGAATTTCTTTACATATTTTTATGAAATTTTGTGCTCCATCTTCACTAGAAAAACATATCCTCAAAAATATTCATGATCCCTGACTTTTATTGTTCAGTGTATTATTTACAAACTGGTCACTGAATAACATGGTTCATGCTTCATTGTGGGTGGTGGGGTAGCCTAGTGGTTAAAGCGTTCATCATGCCGAATTCCTGGGTTTGATTCGTGACATGGGCACAATGTGTTCAAGCCCATTTCTGGTGTCCCCTGCCATGGTATTGCTGGAATATTGGTAAAAGCTGCGTAAAACCATATTTACTCACTCCCTCACTCACTCATTCTTAATTGGAAACATTTCAGTTGTCTAATAATATTTGATTGTGTGAAAAATAATATGGGTACATTGACAATAGAAAGAGCAAGTTTTTAAATGTTGATGTTGTTATTACAGTCCCTCCAAAGATCAAATCTGCAGCTCCCCAATTCGTGGTAACCGTTGGCGACCGGGCCACCATGCCCTGTGAGGCAGGAGGAAACCCTGCACCAAGGATCTCCTGGACCAGAGACGGCAGTTGGATCAGTCCCAGGGACCCCAAGTATACCCTCACAGATGAGGGTTCATTGATCATTGAGCGAGTGGAGGCAGAGGACACGGGCAGCTACGTGTGCACGGCGGACAACAAGGCCGGCCGGGACTCCCAGAGCAGGCTGCTCAGAGTACAAGGTTGGTCAACTGCTTGGAATCAAAATATACTGCTGGGAAAAAAGTTAAAGTATACGCAATGTTTTTTACAATAGTTATTCTGTCATGGCTGGTGGGTATTGCATTCCAAGCATTCCAAATGTGGGTGTTCTTGGTATTTGACTAGCATGAGTGCAGTAATCTGTTTTTTATACACCCTAACATTGCACCATTTTAGTTTAAGTTCCATCCCTTCCATATTTTCATATATCCTGAAATGTCTTTGGAAATATCGACATATGACATCGAACACATTTAAATAAATGTCCAAGATGCCACCAATAGCTGTTGGTCCCATTGGTACAAGGTGTATGTTCCGCCGGACTGTTACATGTACTAAGTTCTGGCAATATGCGGTATAAGGAACCGCCTCCGTGGTCTAGTGGTAGATGTCCGTCCGGAGAGTGGAAGGTCCGGGGATCAATCCCTGACCGCGTCATACCAAAAGACGTTAAAACTTGTTGTTACCCTGTCTGGCGCTTGGCATTAAGGGGCTAAAACAAGGACTGGTCGGCTCGGAGTTAGTATACTGTGTCTGAGTGGGATATTCATGTTAAACTGTGGCATGGTATCTCAGTGAGCTAGCACTATAAATCGGCATCAGTCTGGACTAGTACAAGCAGACAGACACACACACACACACACACACACACACACACACACACACACACACACACACACACACACACACACACACACACACACACACACACACACACACACACACATCGCAATATAAGTGCAATAATCTTGGACGCGACGTTAAACCCCACTTCACCACACCTCACCGGTATAAGGAAGCAGAGGACCAGTCCAAAGGTTGGCTGATTGTACTCATAAAACCCCAGTAAGCCAACTGTAGATGTTGTTCTTGCCTTGTGCTCTTCATCAATCTCCTTCTGATGATACCTGGACTACATATCAAAGGCAAAAAGAAATTTTTATTCAGCAAGATGACAAAAAAATATCTTCCATTCTTGGCAAGGCATATACATCTTTAACTGTCTGTCAGTTCTGAAGTCATATCTTGCAAAACTAAAACATTAGAAGCCCATGGACTGTGTGATCTTCTAATGATACCACATCTAAGCAGTTGTTGTAGATGGTCCTCCACCTCTTGGCACGTTGAATGTGGAATGTGTCTATGTCATTGCTTGAATGGCATATTGTCTGCAAGTTCAATTCGGTGTTTGACTTCTGTATAATGTCCAATATCTAAGTCCCCAGTTGAAAGAATGTTGCTGTATATCTTCAGTAAATCTTCACCAAGCTTCATCTGTGATCTTGGGAGCAATGTCAATCGCTAATCTAGATGTTTTGCAGGTTCTCATCAGTCCCAGTTGCACATATACACTTCTGTAGAAGATGGGGCCTGTTGTACATAGCCAGTGAGGAATTATTGCTGAATGCAAGTAGGGAGGTTAAAGCAACCATAACACTGACATGGTTGTGTGGTACGTCATGATGCATGGCCTGATCATGCTGTATTCTGTTGCAGTTCCTCCCCGACTCCTCATCATCCCCCGGGACAAGGAGGTGACCATCAACAATAGGCTGGAGATGGAGTGTGCTGCAGATGGTGTGCCCATCCCCACCATCACCTGGCTCCTCAATGGCAAGCCTATCGCATGTAAGTGTCTCCACCATCACCTGGCTCCTCAATGGCAAGCCTATAGCATGTAAGTGTCTCACCCATCATCTGGCTCCTCAATGGCAAGCCTATCGCATGTAAGTGTCTCGCCCATCATCTGGCTCCTCAATGGCAAGCCTATAGCATGTAAGTGTCTCCACCATCACCTGGCTCCTCAATGGCAAGCCTATCGCATGTAAGTGTCTCGCCCATCATCTGGCTCCTCAATGGCAAGCCTATCGCATGTAAGTGTCTCCACCATCACCTGGCTCCTCAATGGCAAGCCTATCGCATGTAAGTGTCTCGCCCATCATCTGGCTCCTCAATGGCAAGCCTATCGCATGTAAATGTCTCGCCCATCATCTGGCTCCTCAATGGCAAGCCTATAGCATGTAAGTGTCTCCACCATCACCTGGCTCCTCAATGGCAAGCCTATCGCATGTAAGTGTCTCGCCCATCATCTGGCTCCTCAATGGCAAGCCTATCGCATGTAAGTGTCTCGCCCATCATCTGGCTCCTCAATGGCAAGCCTATCGCATGTAAGTGTCTCGCCCATCATCTGGCTCCTCAATGGCAAGCCTATCGCATGTAAGTGTCTCCACCATCACCTGGCTCCTCAATGGCAAGCCTATAGCATGTAAGTGTCTCCACCATCACCTGGCTCCTCAATGGCAAGCCTATCGCATGTAAGTGTCTCGCCCATCACCTGGCTCCTCAATGGCAAGCCTATAGCATGTAAGTGTCTCCACCATCATCTGGCTCCTCAATGGCAAGCCTATAGCATGTAAGTGTCTCCCCCATCATCTGGCTCCTCAATGGCAAGCCCATAGCATGTAAGTGTCTCGCCCATCACCTGGCTCCTCAATGGCAAGCCTATCGCATGTAAGTGTCTCGCCCATCATCTGGCTCCTCATTGGCAAGCCTATAGCATGTAAGTGTCTCCACCATCATCTGGCTCCTCAATGGCAAGCCTATCGCATGTAAGTGTCTCCACCATCACCTGGCTCCTCAATGGCAAGCCTATAGCATGTAAGTGTCTCCACCATCATCTGGCTCCTCAATGGCAAGCCTATAGCATGTAAGTGTCTCCACCATCATCTGGCTCCTCAATGGCAAGCCTATAGCATGTAAGTGTCTCCCCATCTCCCCCATCACCTGTAAGTCCTCAACCATCACCTGTAAGTCCCCCAATCACCTGTAAGTGCCCCCCATCACCTGTAAGTCTCCCCCATCACCTGTAAGTCTCACCCATCACCTGTAAGTCTCCCCATCACCTGTAAGTGCCCCCCATCACCTGTAAGTCTTCAACCATCACCAGTAAGTGCACCCACCACATCACCTGTAAGTCTCACCATCACCTGTAAGTCCCCCTATCACCTGTAAGTGCACCCACCCCATCACCTGTAAGTCCCCCCATCACCTGTAAGTCTCACCCATCACCTGTAAGTCCCCCCCATCACCTGTAAGTCTCACCCATCACCTGTAAGTCTCACCCATCACCTGTTAGTCTTCAACCATCACCTGTAAGTGCCCCCACCCCATCACCTGTAAGTCTCCCAATCACCTGTAAGTCTCCCCCATCACCTGTAAGTGCACCCACCCCATCACCTGTAAGTCTTACCCATCACCTGTAAGTCTCACCCATCACCTGCAAGTCTCACCCATCACCTGTAAGTCTCACCCATCACATGTAAGTCTTCAACCATCACCTGTAATGTCTCCCCATCACCTGTAAGTGCACCCACCCCATCACCTGTAAGTCTCCCCATCACCTGTAAGTCTCCCCATCACCTGTAAGTCTCACCCATCACCTGTAAGTCTCACCCATCACCTGTAAGTCTCACCCATCACCTGTAAGTCTCACCCATCACCTGTAAGTCTTCAACCATCACCTGTAATGTCTCCCCATCACCTGTAAGTGCACCCACCCCATCACCTGTAAGTCTCCCCATCACATGTAAGTTTCCCCCATCACCTGTAAGTCTCCCCATCACCTGTAAGTGCACCCACCCCATCACCTGTTATTCTCACCCATCACCTGTGAGTCTCCCCATCACCTGTAAGTCTCACCCATCACCTGTAAGTGCACCCACCCCATTACCTGTAAGTCTCACCCATCACCTGTAAGTCTCCCCATCACCTGTAAGTCTCACCCATCACCTGTAAGTCTCACCATCACCTGTAAGTGCCCCCCCCCCCCATCACCTGTAAGTCTCACCATCACCTGTAAGTCCCCCCATCACCTGTAAGTCTCACCCATCACCTGTAAATCTCAACAATCACCTGTAAGTCCTCAACCATCACCTGTAAGTCTCCCCCATCACCTGTAAGTCTCGCCCATCACCTGTAAGTCTTGCCCATCACCTGTAAGTCCTCAACCATCACCTGTAAGTGTCCCCCATCACCTGTAAGTCTCTTCTTCCCCCCCCCCCCCCCTTCCATCACTTGTATGTGTTCCCCTACCATCATCATGCTGAAACTCAGACAGCCACCAATCTTTACGTTTGTGTCTTCAGCTCCTGTGAGCATCAATGGCCGCAGCTTGTATTTTGTGAGGAATGCCATCCGCGCCGACAGCGGCGAGTACACCTGTGTCGCCACCAACCCCGCCAACAACCAGCAGGTGTCGGCGACCGCCAGTGTTGTCGTTAAAGGTAAGCTTTCCCCTCAGTCAGGGAGGTATTTCTTACAATGCTTGTTCCTGAGGGAACTACCATTTGATGTGCATAGGCATCAGTCTGATTTGTTTGCAAAGCAACATTGTTCCAGAAAAATGTTGTGGTCCCGAAATCAGTGTTTGTTCTTCCTTCCAGAGGAAACAGTATTGAAGCAGTGACGAAAAATGGTCAGGTCCTTAATCAGATCATTTAGTCCAATATGATATCCCTCTGCTTTATGGTTTGAGAACACCTCAATCAATCAATCGCGATGGGGGAAGCATGGGTTCCTGACCCGTCTTTTCTTTACCAGCTTCATTGAGAAAATTTTGATTTTAACGAAAGGATGAATGGTTTACACCTTGGTTCTGGAACAGTTGTCTCTAAGCATGACATTGCCAGTTATGTTTTTGACATGAAACAGAATGGGAATGCAAAATGTTATGTAGGAGAAGTATTAAAAATTAAATATTGTAACATGCTTATCAAGGATGAGCAATGGAGTTGTCTGTTGTCAAAGGGCTCACTTGTGAAACAAAAGAACATGTTTAAGTTCATAAAGTTGACATTTCAACTCGGTGCTGTGTCCCTTTTAAATTAGCAGCTTTGTCAGGTGTCTCAATGAGATAAACATGTTGTTATGTGAAAGATAAGCAAAATATCCACTATAAATTCAGCCTGACTATGTGATGCTGTTCCAGTTCCTCCCAGGATGCTTGTTCCCCCCGGCAACAAGGCAGTGAAGATCGCGGAGAAGGTCGTCCTGGAGTGCTCCGTGGGTGGGGACCCGATACCGGAGATTCTGTGGACAAAAAATGGCCGTCCTGTCGAGCTAAGCCACAGAATACAGCAGCTGGCTAATGGATCTCTTGTCATATATGATTCTACAGTGAGTAGTAGCTTTCTCATGTTGTCAACTATGCTATAAGAGTGGTCCATTAAAAATATCATATAAGGCAACTAACCTTTAATTAAATCTGGATGTGAAACTGTTAAAGAAGTTGACTGGAGCATGGCAACAATTCTTTTGTTTGTTTGTTGTCTAATGCTGCACTCAGCGATATTCCAGCTATATGATGGCTGCCTATAAATAATCGAGTCAGGACCAGACAATCCAGTGATTGATCATGAGCACCGATCTATGTAATACGATGACATATATCAATGCAAGAAAAATTTCAACCTATGAGATTGTGGCACATTGTCCTGCAATGACAGAGTTCCAATCAGTCCTCCATTGACATATTCCCTATCAGTCCTCCATTGACGTATTCCCTATCATCCTACATTGACATATTCCCTGTCAGTCCTCCATTAACGTATTCCCAATTAGTCCTACATTGACATATTCCCTATCATCCTACATTGACATATTCCCTGTCAGTCCTCCATTAACGTATTCCCAATTAGTCCTACATTGACGTATTCCCTATCATCCTACATTGACATATTCCCTGTCAGTCCTCCATTAACGTATTCCCAATTAGTCTACATTGATGTATTACCCATCGGTCCTCCATTGACATTTTCCCTATCAGTCCTCGATTAACGTATTCCCAATTAGTCCTACATTGACGTATTACCCATCGGTCCTACATTGACGTATTACCCATCGGTCCTACATTGACGTATTACCCATCGGTCCTCCATTGACATTTTCCCTATCAGTCCTGCATTGATGTATACCCCATCAGTCCTGCATTGACATATTACTTATTTGTCCTCCATTGATGTATTCCCTATCAGTCCACCGTAGACATATTACCTATTTGTCCTCCATTGATGTATTCCCTATCAGTCCTCCGTAGACATATTACCTATTTTTCCTCCATTGATGTATTCCCTATCAGTCCTCCGTAGACATATTACCTATTTGTCCTCCATTGATGTATTCCCTATCAGTCTTACAATGCAGTATTCCCTATCAGTCTTACAATGACGTATTCCCTATCAGTCTTACAATGACATATTCCCTATCAGTCTTACAATGACGTATACCCTATCAGTCTTACAATGACATATTCCCTATCAGTCTTACAATAACGTATACTCTATCAGTCTAACAATGACGTATTCCCTATCAGTCTTACAATGACGTATTCCCTATCAGTCTTACAATGACATATTCCCTATCAGTCTTACAATGACCTATTCCCTATCAGTCTTACAATGACGTATTCCCTATCGGTCTTACAATGACGTATTCCCTATCAGTCTTACAATGACGTATTCCCTATCAGTCTTACAATGCCGTATACCCTATCAGTCTTACAATGACGTATTCCCTATCAGTCTTACAATGACGTATTCCCTATCAGTCTTACAATGACGTATTCCCTATCAGTCTTACAATGACGTATACCCTATCAGTCTTACAATGACGTATCCCCTATCAGTCTTACAATGACGTATTCCCTATAGGTCTTACAATGACGTAGTCTTACAATGACGTATTCCCTATCAGTCTTACAATGACGTATTCCCTATCAGTCTTACAATAACATATTCCCTATAGGTCTTACAATGACGTAGTCTTACAATGACGTATTCCCTATCAGTCTTACAATGACGTATTCCCTATAGGTCTTACAATGACGTAGTCTTACAATGACGTATTCCCTATCAGTCTTACAATGACGTATTCCCTATCAGTCTTACAATAACATATTCCCTATCAGTCTTACAATGACCTATTCCCTATCAGTCTTACAATGACGTATACCCTATCAGTCTTACAATGACATATTCCCTATCAGTCTTACAATAACGTATACTCTATCAGCCTTACAATGACGTATTCCCTATAGGTCTTACAATGACATATTCCCTATCAGTCTTACAATGACGTATTCCCTATCAGTCTTACAATGACGTATTCCCTATCAGTCTTACAATAACGTATACTCTATCAGTCTTACAATGACGTATTCCCTATCAGTCTTACAATGACGTATTCCCTATCAGTCTTACAATGACATATTCCCTATCAGTCTTACAATGACCTATTCCCTATCAGTCTTACAATGACGTATACCCTATCAGTCTTACAATGACATATTCCCTATCAGTCTTACAATAACGTATACTCTATCAGTCTTACAATGACGTATACCCTATCAGTCTTACAATGACATATTCCCTATCAGTCTTACAATGACGTATTCCCTATCAGTCTTACAATGACGTATTCCCTATCAGTCTTACAATGACATATTCCCTATTAGTCTTACAATGACGTATTCCCTATCAGTCTTACAATGCCGTATTCCCTATCAGTCTTACAATGCCGTATACCCTATCAGTCTTACAATGCCGTATTCCCTATCAGTCTTACAATGACGTATTCCCTATCAGTCTTACAATGACATATTCCCTATCAGTCTTACAATGACGTATACCCTACAGTCTTACAATGACATATTCCCTATCAGTCTTACAATAACGTATACTCTATCAGTCTTACAATGACGTATTCCCTATCAGTCTTACAATGACATATTCCCTATCAGTCTTACAATGACGTATTCCCTATCAGTCTTACAATGACGTATTCCCTATCAGTCTTACAATGACGTATTCCCTATCAGTCTTACAATGACGTATTCCCTATCAGTCTTACAATGACGTATACCCTACAGTCTTACAATGACGTATTCCCTATCACTCTTACAATGACGTATTCCCTATCAGTCTTACAATGACGTATTTCTTATTGCAGGCTTCGGATGCAGGCGAGTACAAATGCATCGCCGTCAACACTGCCGGGACGTCAGAGAGCCGAGCGACAGTCACAGTATGGTGTAAGATAACACGTCTTCTGTGGTCAATGTAGTACTAATCCCATTCAACACAATACTGAAATTTGTATCAGTTCTTTGCTGCGTCGGCTTAACTATTTCCGGTCCCCCAGCAATATCTTAATGATGAAAGATAATAATGTTTTTATGAAATGATCAGCATTGGAATGTAATGTGAACTGATACTTTGTTGATTCAAGTGAAACTTGTTGACATTACAGGAAGCTATCAAGCTATACCCAAAGACTTGAAGACCTAAAGTAATGGAATTCTCTTCTTGCACATGCTACTAGAGTTATAAATACTGCCACAACATCTTGTGTCTTGCAATAGATGGGTAGAAATAAACATGATGCTTATGATAGCACATTGGTTTAAGCTTTGGGCATAAAGCAGCTCTTAGAATGAGTGCTTGATGGCCTCAAGAAAGGATTCACTGCAGCATTTTGTACAGATGCTATACTTCAGAGCAATAGATAGTATACAACCATGTTCATCTTCCCGAGGCAAAGGAGTTAACAATAAAAGTTCAGTTTCCAACCTTGCCAAACTAGGCTGGAATTTCATGACTCTGTCATAGTGCCACCATTGGTCCCTTCTATGTCCCGCCTATTAACCAATCAGATTCCCTTCTCTGATTAAAAAAAATGGCAACACCAAGTCAAGACGATCTGAACAATAATCAAGATCTGTATTGTAATAAAATGGGTCTTACCCCATGAAGTGCATCAAGTCACTTGAGCACCTTGATTAAAAACATGAAAAGATTTGGAAAATATGTGTTGATGCCAGGGTACACATGCTTTGCAAATCCTGCAGTCGGCTGAAATCTGCATGTTGAAATCCATGTTGACAATCCGGATGTCGATTTCGTAACACAAATTTTATTGGACTGTGCGGTAGTCCCGTTAGTCCAGCCAAAACACAACTTCGGAATTCCAGCACAGTTCAGAAAGGGTGGAAACTGCACTTTCATTGTCAGTCAACTCTGGAAATACCCATGATAGAAACAAGAAATTGTGATTTGATGGTGATGTTTTTTATATCTGTTTTGAGCCTAGTAATGTTTCAATAACGTTTCTAAGTTTTGGGTCAAATCGAATTTCAAGTAAATTTTCTTTTGTCACACAAGAGGAAGCAACATCTGTACTGAAACATCACATGGACATAATAAAGAAGTCGAAAACCATAAGTCAACGCTGTCTTTATTGATACGACAGTTTGAAAATTTCCTTGTAACACATAGCAGAGATGGAAGGGTCACTATGAATCACATAGGATTCTCAGTCCAGTGACTTGATGTTGCTCTGGCTGTGGGGGGTCCCCAGTGTATAGTATAGATTGTTCTTATGTGTCTCAGTTTGTGTGTTTACTCTTTCCAGCTGAACCCACATTTAAGATTGAACCACCAAAGAGTCAGAAAGTCGACCAAGGGGAGACAATCATTATAGACTGTACCGCAAGTGGTGACCCCAAGCCTGATATGTATTGGTGGAAGGAGACCACGCCCCTCGTCTCCTCCGGACGCATCACTGTACTGCCAAACAACTCACTCAGGTAACCTGATTTTGGGTCAGAGGATCCAATTATTTAAAAGGAAAGAAAAAAGGCCTAGAAATGTTGTTAAGTGCACATTTCTATTGGTTCAGTGTTTTGGGCTTAAAGTGAAAAGCATGAATGCTGAACATTCCGGGAACGGTGTGAATGCTGAACATTCCAGGAATGGTGTGACCAATGAAGACCTGGGGTAGAATAGGTCTTCAGCAATCCTTGCTTGCCAGAAAAGGCGACTATGCTTGTCGTAAGAGGTGACTAACGGGATCGGATGGTCAGGCACCCTGACTTGTTCGATGCATGTCACCGTATCCTAATTGGGTAGATTGATGCTCATGATACCAATCACTGGATTGTCTGGTCCAGACTCGATTGTATACAGACCGCTGTCATATAGCAGGAATATTGCCGAGTATGTTAATACAAAGAAACAAAACACACTTTATGTATATCTGGTTAAACATTTTGTCTTCTGACATGTTCCATTGTTCCCGATGTAGGATCGTGGCAAGCCAGTTAGATGACTCTAGTCTATATCGCTGCTTTGCCACCAACAAGCTTGGCAAGACCTTCGTAGAGACGGATTTGAAAGTGGTAGGTGAGTAGATGACTTTGTCACGTCAGATAGTCAGACAGACAGCGGTTCTGTTGTAGCAGCATCTACGTCATTAGTTTCCATATGAAAACATCATAAAAGAACTACTTGTTTGTGTATCATTAATGACTTCATAAAAAAATGGAATCCATTAAAAATTAAACTGTCATGACACAGGAGATTCATCATGGACTAGTTAGTAATTAAGATTTGACTGGATTATATTTGTAATATTTTGGTTACATCCACAAGACTTGCAACTTTTTGAGAATTATTTTATTTCTTTAAACTGAGATTAAGTTGTAATATGTTTAGTCAGAATTTATTTTATATTACTTAAAAGGAACACCCGATTCTGTCATATAACTATAGTTCATCTGGCATGGCATGACAGATCAACTATAGTAATATAATCGGGTGTTCTTTTACTTCTTTTTAGTAGTTTGTATATTATGACATCAAGGAAGCCAACTGGACAAGATTTGTCCAATCAGCAAATTATGTCTCCTCTTCCTTCAGTGCACGGCGGCTTCTCGGAGTGGGGCGAATTTGGCGAGTGCAGCACCACGTGCAGTGTTGGGCTGCATTTCCGCACCAGATCATGTGACAACCCTCCTCCAACCAATGGTGGCCATCAATGTATTGGGGCTGCTCGGGAAAGCAAATCCTGTATAATGGGGGAATGTCCAGGTAGGTAGAATTAAGTCTGAATGGTATGTTTGGCCTAGTTGTGTATTTACTAAAAGGCGTGAATATTCTCTGTGCAGAGTTGCTTCCCTTTGGTGTGCCAAAAGGCTGTGATCATGGATTTGAATCCAATATTCAGCATGATTATGATTTTTGATTTGTCAGCACCACACCTGTGCTTGTGCAAAGTGGTGAACATCTAAGACATGTGCCACTTTGTGCATACCTCACACATAAAGCTGACAACCAATGCTTGCCATATGAGGTGACTGCGTGACGTAAGAGGCAACTAACGGGATCGGGTGGTCATACTCGCTGATGGTTGGTGATGCATGTTGTCATATCCCAATTGCCTAGATTAATGCTCAAGATGCCAATCACTGGATTGTCTGGTTCAGAGTTGATTATTTACAGACCACCGTCATATAGCTTGAATATTGCTGAGTGCAGCGTTAAACAACAAACAAACATTGAGCTGTGGTATAACTGAAATCCTGTTGTGTTAAACTCAACTCAGTTTAGAGACACGACACCAGCAGACCACCTTACTGTTGTATGTTACAAGTAGGCTGAGACAATTCACACATCAGTGACTGTCTGGAGGTCAGTATGTTTTGGATTGATTTGTAACTGTTTGAGTTCAGACACCTTAACAAAGGCAGTAGTCCAATAGTCTACAGACACTGAAAACCTTGAATCTATACCCGTTAATTATTGTACATGCACCACCCCGACAGACCCGGGATAGAATAAGGGATAGTTGAAGATTCCGGGGTAGAATAGGTCTTCAGCAACCCATGCTTGCCGTAAAAGGTGACTATGCTTGTCGTAAAAGGCGACTAACGGGATAGGGTGGTCAGGCTCGCTGACTTGGTTGATGCATGTCATCGATCCCAATTTCGTGGATCGATGCTCATGTTGTCAATCACTGGATTGTCTGTTCCAGACTTGATTATTTACAGACCACCATCATATAGCTGGAATATTGCTAAGTGCAGCGTTAAACAACACAACCAACCAACCAACCAACTTCCCGACAATGTCTCTATGTCTCTATCAGCACCATACCCGTGCTTGTGGGTTTCACCAAAGTGGTAAACCTCTGAGACCTGCATCACTTCGGACTTTCCTCCCACATTAAGCTGACATGGCATGATATAACTGGAATACTGTTGAATCCAACTCACTCACTCACATACACTACTTGTCAGGATTTAGCTGTGGAATATGTCTAATCAAGACTTGTGTCAGACTGATGTTTAAATTGGTTTACTCGTGATATGAAAACTTAAAAAGACATGTACATGTACAACAGTTTATTTGTGAAACACTGGTTACTAAAACAGATTTATTAATGTGTTGTTTTAGTTTGGGAGCTCTTGAACATTGACACACACATGAAAATCCAAGACAGAAACTGAAGGTAAACAAGTTTTGAATTCATCAACAATCAATCTCTGTGTTGCAGTGGATGCCAGCTGGGGAAACTGGGGTGCATGGAAGTCGTGCAGCAGTTCGTGCGGCCCCGGCCAGCGGACCCGGTCCCGTCGGTGTGACAACCCCCCACCACAGTTTGGGGGACTCCCCTGTGAGGGGGCCGGAGTTGACGAGTCACCTTGCAATGTCAGGTCCTGTCCAAGTAAGTTCTGCATTGACATAACCATACCCCATGCTACTGTGTAATGTTGATGTATGTGATATGTATGACCCTGCAAGGAGTCTGGACCAGACTAGGTCTCCAGTAACCCTTGCTTGTCTCCCTGTGGAGATTCTTGGGCAGACTAGGTCCCCATTACCCAAGAATGTTTACCTTTCGGGATTCTGGAGCAGAGTAGGTCCTCAGGCACCCCTGCTTGTCTCCCTGTGGAGATTCTTGGGCAGACTAGGTCTCCAGTATCTTTGCTTGTCTCCCTGTGGTGATACTTGGGAAGAGTAGGTCTCCAGTATCTTTGCTTGTCTCCCTGTGGTAACACTTGGGAAGACTAGGTCTCCAGTATCTTTGCTTGTCTCCCTGTGGTGACACTTGGGAAAAGTAGGTCCCCACTAGCTTGTCTTCCTGTGGTGACACTTGGGAAGAGTAGGTCCCAACTAGCTTGTCTTCCTGTGGTGACACTTGGGAAGAGTAGGTCCCAACTAGCTTGTCTTCCTGTGGTGACACTTTGGAAGAGTAGGTCCCCACTAGCTTGTGTTCCTGTGGTGACACTTGGAAAGAATAGGTCCCCACTAGCTTGTCTTCCTGTGGTGACACTTGGGAAGAGTAGGTCCCAACTAGCTTGTCTTCCTGTGGTGACACTTGGGAAGAGTAGGTCCCCACTAGCTTGTGTTCCTGTGGTGACACTTGGAAAGAATAGGTCCCAACTAGCTTGTCTTCCCGTGGTGACACTTGGGAAGAGTAGGTCCCCACTAGCTTGTCTTGCTGTGGTGACACTTGGGAAGAGTAGGTCCAAACTAGCTTGTCTTCCTGTGGTGACACTTGGGAAGAGTAGGTCCCCACTAGCTTGTCTTCCTGTGGTGACACTTGGAAAGAATAGGTCCCAACTAGCTTGTCTTCCCGTGGTGACACTTGGGAAGAGTAGGTCCCCACTAGCTTGTCTTCCCGTGGTGACACTTGGGAAGAGTAGGTCCCCACTAGCTTGTCTTCCTGTGGTGACACTTGGAAAGAATAGGTCCCAACTAGCTTGTCTTCCCGTGGTGACACTTGGGAAGAGTAGGTCCCCACTAGCTTGTCTTCCTGTGGTGACAGACCGCCTCCGTGGTCTTGTGGTAGAGCGTCCGCCCGGAGAGCGGAAGGTCCGGGGTTCGATCCCCGGCCGCGTCATACCAAAAGACGTTAAAAGATGGTACTTGTTGTTACCCTGTCTGGCGCTCAGCATTTCCCCATTTCACCTCACCTCCTGTGGTGACACTTGGGAAAAGTAGGTCCCCACTAGCTTGTCTTCCTGTGGAGAGCTTTGGGAATATCCCATGCCCATGCTTATCTCCCTTTAGAGATTCTTGGGCCGAGTAGGTCCCTGTATCCAGTATGTCTATCTGTTGGGATTTCAGGGAAGAATACATCCCCAGTATGCATGCTTGTCTCCCTACTTGGATTCTGAACCATAATCTATCCCTAGTATGCAGTGCTTGTGTAAGCAAGGATTATATCCTACCTAAATATTATCCCGGAGAAAGTTTTACTCGAGAGTATAGTATCCTACCTTAGTGCCACACTGGTATGGGTTCAAATTCACAAGGGAGAATCATCCTGATACTAGAGAATATTATCCCCGGGATAGGATAGGATAATATTCACTCTTACACTTGTCACCCTATGTGGATTCCGAACCATAACAGGTCCATGTATCCAGTGCTTATCCTCCAGTGGGGATTCTTTAGTTGGGGATACTGAAGTTTCACGAAGCATTCATGAAGAATTATAAATATAGAATTCAGGACACCTTTCCCTTTTACAATTAAGAATATTAAAATTAGTTATAACTTTGAAATACTGAGTCCATCACTATATGGCTGAAATGATACCTCTGTGGTGATGAATTTTTACTCACTCACTCAAAATTTCTTGCATTCATTTGCTTTTACAATGTCTGACGAAACGGTGTTTGAAAAACTCTTAATTCGCAAATTAGTTGATGGCATCTGGGGAGAGTGGGATCCATGGAGTCCTTGCAGCGCCACCTGTGGGGAGGGGCAGCAGGCCAGAGAGCGCAAGTGCAACAACCCTCGGCCTCAGTTTGGGGGACTGCCTTGCCCAGGGGCAGGCATCGACAGACAGGCGTGTCGAACACAGGCCTGTGCAGGTATGCTTGGACATAGTTATTTCAGGAAGGACCTGTCATTGTGCCCTGATGGTGTGTCAGTGTGCCCTGATGGTGTGTCAATGTGCCCTGATGGTGTGTCTGTGTGCCCTGATGGTGTGTCATCATGCCCTGATGGTGGTTCAGTGTGTCCTGATGGTGTATCTGTGTGCCCTGATGGTGTGTCAGTGTGCCCTGAAGGTGTGTCAGTGTGCCCTGATGGTGTGTCAGTGTGCCCTGATGGTGTCAGTGTGCCCTGATGGTGTGTCAGTGTGCCCTGATGGTGTGTCAGTGTGCCCTGATGGTGTGTCATGCCCTGATGGTGGTTCAGTGTGTCCTGATGGTGTATCTGTGTGCCCTGATGGTGTGTCAGTGTGCCCTGAAGGTGTGTCAGTGTGCCCTGATGGTGTGTCAGTGTGCCCTGATGGTGTCAGTGTGCCCTGATGGTGTGTCAGTGTGCCCTGATGGTGTGTCAGTGTGCCCTGATGGTGTGTCATGCCCTGATGGTGGTTCAGTGTGTCCTGATGGTGTATCTGTGTGCCCTGATGGTGTGTCAGTGTGCCCTGATGGTGTGTCAGTGTGCCCTGATGGTGTGTCAATGTGCCCTGATGGTGTGTCTGTGTGCCCTGATGGTGTGTCATCATGCCCTGATGGTGGTTCAGTGTGTCCTGATGGTGTATCTGTGTGCCCTGATGGTGTGTCAGTGTGCCCTGGTGGTGTGTCAGTGTGCCCTGATGGTGTGTCAGTGTGCCCTGATGGTGTGTCAGTGTGCCCTGATGGTGTGTCAGTGTGCCCTGATGGTGTGTCATCATGCCCTGATGGTGGTTCAGTGTGTCCTGATGGTGTATCTGTGTGCCCTGATGGTGTGTCAGTGTGCCCTGATGGTGTGTCAATGTGCCCTTGTATTTTGTCAGTGGTGGTTTGGGGGGGGGGGTGTAAGGGTGAAACCTGTCTTGTGTTTCGTCCACTCTAAGATTTGTGTCTTGTGCTGTGCATCCCCCTCTGATGAACCCATACACCTCTAACACAAAGGAGATGTGAATCCTTGTTCCTACCATCAACAAATGGTTTGCCAGGCCAAGATAATCAACATGCCGTGTAAAGTACCTTACAATAATCTAATAGACTGTAGTCCTACCAAGTTCTTCAGGAGCAAGAATCCTATGGAAGAAATGATGGATCTGTTTCTCTTCAGTTGATGGCAACTGGGGTCAGTGGATGGACTGGACATCATGCAGTGTGTCCTGTGGCGGAGGGTCCAGGACACGGGTCCGTCGCTGTGACAACCCTCGCTCGCAGTACGGGGGCGCGGACTGTGTCGGCCCGGAACAGCAAGTGGACTACTGCAACAGTGAACACTGTCCAGGTAAGCTACGTTGACCACATGAGTCACACTGTGCGGGTAAGATACACTGCCCACGTGAGTGACTTTTGGTAGTGATGATGTGTTCGTTGCTGTAGTGACAGTGTAGTTCTTGTTGCTGTGATGGTGGGGTTGTAGTTGTTGTAGTGATAGTGTGGTTGTTGTAGTGATAGTGTGGTTGTTGTAGTGATAGTGTCATTGTTGTTCTCGTGACAATGTGGAGGTTGTTTTAGTGATGGTGTTGTTCTTGTTGCAGTGCATGGCAACTGGGCGCTGTGGAGCACCTGGGGCGAGTGTAGTCGGAGTTGTGGCGGAGGACAGATGAAGAGGTTCCGCACCTGCACCAACCCGATCCCCGCCAAGGGAGGGAGGCCATGCACGGGACACGGAGAGGAGATCACCGAGTGCAACCAACAGCACTGTCCTGGTCGGTATCTGACACTGTTCAATGTCATATGCCTGGAATAAGTCCATCACTTACATCTCCCGTTGTAATAATCAGATTTAAGCCCATGGTATATTACCACTGTAGACTGGAATATCTCTGATAACGCCCATACAGTAAACCAGGAGAATCATATCTGGTCCATATCGCTCTTATTGCGATGTCTTGGATATAAGCCCAAGATTGAAACCATGTCTGGTTTGTGAATACACATGCCTTTTAGACAGTGGTCAAATGTTACAAATATCATATTTGTGATAACACATTCTTAGTAAAGTACAAGTTCTAATACTTTTGGGGGTTGAGTCTAGTGCTAGAACTTGTACTTAACAAAGAAATTGTTATCCCAAATATTACATTTGTTACATTTGACCACTTTCTTAAAGCCATTGTGTATTCATAACTTTCAGCTGTGCGAGCAATACCAGTTTTGTAGTTTACTAAGAAAGTGTTATCCCAAATATAACATTTGTTACACACCTATTTTGGGCTATTAGATCTTGACTCTAATCCCAGGGTATACTTGGGGCACGGGTGGCCTAGTCTTCTAAGGCGCCGCGATTCGCTGTGCAGAGTTGCGTCCCCTGGACACGCCAGAAACCTATAATTGTGGGTTCGAATCCCGGTTCACCCCGATTATGTTTCTAGGTTTGTCAGCACCATACCCGTGCTCGTGGGTTTCACCGAAGTGGTAAACGTCTGAGACCTGCATCACTTCGGGCTTTCCTCCCACATTAAGCTGAGATGCCGTGATATAACTGGAATACTGTTAAAAGCAGCGTTAAACCCAACTCACTCACTCACTCACCCCAGGGTATACTGGATTGAAATATTGTTACAGTTAACATCTCCTTAGCTATTTGGATATAAGCCTGGAGACTGATACAAAGTGAATGTACATTGATCTTCTCTTACTGAACAAGTTTGTGCGGATTCTGTCAGTATTAAGTTTTGGTGTCAATAAATGCATCATGATTATGACTTTTTTTTATTATTATGTGGAAAATAGATTAATGGGCAAGTCCTCATCTTTCACCTCAAAATTTCCTCTTCCTGTAGTCGACGGCAACTGGGATCCATGGGCAGAGTGGGGAGCATGTTCCAAGACATGTGACTACGGGACGCGGGAGAGGAGGCGGCAGTGTCTACAGCCGCAGCATGGTGGACGTCCTTGTCTGGGCAACGGTGTCCAGGTGGGCGAGTGCATCACCACGGCTTGTGACAGTGAGTACTGACTTTATCAAGGAGGGGTAGTCGATGCTTCACCATGGTGTATGAGAGTAGTCAATGTATATGGGGGTGGAAAGATGAAGGTTGGTGGCAATGTTATGGGTTTTTTTTCTCTGAACTTTTTACTTCTTTTTCTGAAAAGTTAGAGAGATAAACTGAAATACATTCTCTTCTATTTCTTGGGGAAAAAAATGGTCACAGTATGGGTATATATTTATTCATTGATTTTGTAGTAGAAAATCCGAAAGATTCACAATACAGTTATATGTACTTGTTGGTAAGGGATGTTTCTTGGTCTTGAGACAATCAGATGGTACAGGGCACCTGTTTGTTCCAGCCTCCCCCAGGACTGCTGAGGGCAATCTTGTCGGCAACATCAACAACATCGACATCGTGGAGTCCACCATCGTATCGGAGATGACCCCGACTGACTCGGGCATCAGGATTAGGGCCAGTATCAGGAATGTCCCCAGAACTATCGGTAGGCATAACCAGACCAACAGATAGATGTGTCACAGAATGCCCTACTTTATTTGCAGTTTCCATAGTGACTAATGTCAAGTGAATATGACCACTAATACAACTTTGTAATTGCTGCCATGACTTGATATACCACCCCCTCAAAACATCTGCGGAATCTGTTCTTCAGAAGCTTGGTTTGAATTGGTCATCTATGTGAAAGTTGGGGACCAGTTCAAAAGTTTGTAATATATATTTATGAACGTTTCAGAATGATGTTTTTATATGATATGCTGGTAGTAGCTGTATATTTGTAGCGTCCGCCCAGAGAGCGGAAAGTCCGGGGTTCTATCCCCGGCCGCGTCATACCTAAAGACGTTATAAGATGATACTTGTTGTTACCCTGTCTGGCGCTCGGCATTCAGGGGCTAAAACAAGGACTGGTCGGCTCGGAGTCAGTATACTGTGTCTAAATGGGGTATTCATGTTAAACTGCAACATGGTATTTCATGGTATTTCATGCACGTCGCTATATAAGTGCAATATACTTGGACATGACGTTAAACTCCATTTCACCTCACCTCACCCATTAATGACATGCCAAGAGCAGCCTTTTGAAAGTTGCATGAAGTGGCAGTAAAATCCTTACCTACCTACTGCACTAACTGTTTGATTGGCATTTAAGCTAGAGTGACAACCAAGTGATGAGAGGTATTTATGCATGACATGTTGTGATAAGCAGCATACTAACATTGACAACAACAGGTAATAGATAACAAGTAGCACACAGATAATTGGATGAAGCCAAATGTACAGTATTAACAAATAGTACACAGGTAATGAGTGAGTGGTTTTTTTTTCTATGCCACACTCAGCAATATTCCATAATAATAATAATAATCAAGTCTGGACCAGACAACCCAGTGATTGACTTCATGAGCAAATGGGATACTATGACATGCATCAACCAAGTCAGCGATCCTAATTAAAATAGTCTTTTACTAGATTAGATCTTCCAAGGCAGACAAGATGTAATACCCTTGATCTCTGTTGATCCAAGGTTTCCTACAAGCAACCCCCCAAAGGAGTAATGCTTAAAATACCGCCCAGTAGATATCCACACCAAAGAACAACAAGACAGCAAACCAGCCCTCCTAGCCATCAAATTCAGTTTGACTGAGTCCAAATCCTCTCAACCAAACATCAGGACTTCACCCAAAGAAACTCTTATAAGGTATAGAAATCTGCTTTGATCAACAATCAGGGGTATTACATCTCATCTTCCTATGAAGATCTAATCAAGCAATAGACAATTTTGATTAGGATCTAATCAGCTTGTCACAACTGTTTAATCCTTATCCTTACTGAACATCTAGCTTCAATACCTGTGAATAAAGTTCTTGAGCGTACAGCCTCTAAAAAACAATTCACCCGAACACACCCCAGCATCACCATGGTCACCACCCTGTCAAATGGGTCATGCACTGTAATCCCGTACATTGCCACCCACAAGACCTGATCACATGGTTAACCCTGCCACATTATGCTCTTTCTCATTGCCATTCAGTTGAGACGTGTACTGTCAAGGTTAAAGAATATAGTTGTTGGAATCTTTTTTTTAACTGATTTCACTACTACATGATGGTGATTTCGATATTACATCTGACCCGTGAAGATTCCAGGGTAGAATAGGTCTTCAGCAACCCATGCTTGCCTTAAAAGGTGACTATGCTTGTCGTAAAAGGCGACTAACGGGATCGGGTGGTCAGGCTCGCTGACTTGGTTGATGCATGTCATCGATCCCAATTTCGTGGATCGATGCTCATGATATTAATCACTGGATTGTCTGGTCCAGACTCGATTATTTACAGACCACCGTCATATAGCTGGAATATATGAGCAAGAACGATCCTCTTCACCTAGCCTGTCTGAAGTGGAGGCACACTTTTTCTATGTCAGACCCTCACAATTTATGCTGCATTTGCCTGGGCCGGTGTAGTTCTGACGATTGCTCTTCCGTCAATGGTGACGAACAAAGATTCCGCTGCTACTAGTCATCAGGGTTCACCTTCTGCTATATTTCGGATCAGTTAGTATCAGTCCCAAGCATCAATGCTCCAAGGATAGTCAATCATACGATCAACACTTAAAAGACCGCCTCACCTGGGGATCGACATTCTCAAGATCAGCTATCTGAGGATTGACTTTCTCAGGTTCAACTGGTTGCTCTCAGGATCGGTCTCTGTCGGATCACCATCATGACAGAGATTCGGCTGCTATGATTATAGGCATCAATGACAGGACTTTCCAGTTTGTGATTCCTCTCAGTATTCCGGGGTAGAATAGGTCTTCAGCAACCCATGCTTGCCGTAAGAGGTGACTATGCTTGTCGTAAAAGGCGACTAACAGGATTGGGTGGTCAGGCTCGCTGACTTGGTTGATGCATGTCATCGATCCAAATTGCGTGGATCGATGCTCATGATATTAATCACTGGATTGTCTGGTCCAGACTCGTTTATTTACAGACCGCCGTCATATAGCTGGAATACTGCTGAGTGCGGCGTTAAACAACAAACCAAACCAAACCAAAAACCTCATGGGACTATAGAGACTAGGCTAATGATCCAGCACCGAGCCTTGAATGACTTTTGCAAGCTGTCACCACTGTCCTCCAGCATCGTTTCTGACTACCGGCGGGCAACGGCCTGGATAGCTCGACTTACTCTCCGACTCTCACACTTTCTGCTCCTCCTGGCACTGCTTTTCCAGTTCCTCTGATTGTGGATCATGTGCTTGCTGACAAAGATATGGATCATTAACCCTCAACTGCATCCTCCTCCGAGTGCTTTGAAACCCTGCTGACCCTGCGCTGGTCCTTCATTGGATCACAGACCATCTTTGACGTCAACACAGTACTTCGTCCAATGATTGGTTATCATGCTTTGCCATACCCTCTAACAGCTCTATGAACATTACGCTCCCTCCCAGGCCTTTCCATCGCCTGCATTCCCCTTGATTTCCTGTGGAGGATTCCGGGACCCATGGCATGTCTGAGAATGTTTCGGCTCCAGAACTCGATCTCTCTACCCTAAGCTTTGGTTGACTGCATCGACTATGGAGAGTTGTGACCTGGCTCATCTCGACTCTACTGTTAGACGGTAACTTCTTCTGTTATCCACCATCCTTTCGACAACAAAGGCTATCTTGACTTTGATGTCTCACACTAAATCACACGACGAGGCCTTTATTCGTGGATCGGTACTTTTGATTCAGGATAAGATCATGGCTACCTTGGACCTCATTTCACATCATGCTGGTTCGGTCAGGGCCAAAAGATGCAGGGGCGTTCTTCAACATTGCCATTGTCACTATCATTTCAAAACCTGTTTGTACCAGCTCCCCTTGTCACCTCAGAGTCTCTTTGCAGACAACATTCAGGACGTTGTGCAGGATGTTCAAAGGGATGCCCATCTTCAGGTGTCTGTCAGTCTCCTGCGTCTGCATCAATGGCACCCTAGAGGTCCCTCTGCATTTCTGTATGACATCATTTGCTCTTCTTCGTACAATCATTCAACCTGGCGATTTAATGGTCAGTCTCGGCTGACAGGATGCGTACCTTCATGTTCTCATCCATCAGGAGCACCACCATTTCCTTTGGTTCTTTTTCCAAGGCAGCCACTCCCAATGAAAGATGCTCCCATTTGGAATTTCTTGGGGGGGGCGGTCGGATAGCCTAGTGGTTAAAGCGTTCGCTCGTCACGCCGAAGACACGGGTTCGATTCCCGACATGGGTACAATGTGTGAAGCCCATTTATGGTGTCCCCCACCGTGATATTGCTGGAATATTGCTAAAAGCGGCGTAAAACTCACTCACTCACTCACTCACTGTAATTTCTTGGCCTCACCAAGCCAATCATGAAGTTCCTTCACATCTTGGGGATTGTGTTCGAGTCCTACAAAGATGACTGCATTCAGGTTAACACAGATCCAAACATACTCCTACAGCATCTCGTCGTCTCCATCAACTTGTTTGGTCAGCTCCTGTTTATCGAAGCTCTTTTCGACACCCACATGGCAAGATGTTTGTTCCTCCAGCTTGATGGTCAAAGATCAAGCGTGTCACCCCGGCAGCGTCATACCAAAAGACGTTGAAAGATGTTACCCTGTCTGGCGCTCGGCATTAAGGGGCTAAAAACAAGGACAGGTCGGCTCAGAGTCAGTATACTGTGTCTGAGTGGGGTATTCATGCTAAACTGCAGCATGGTATCTCAGTGAGCTAGCACTATAAATCGGCATCACACAAACACACCCACGTCGCTGTATAAGTGCAATAATCTTGGACACAATATTAAACCCAATTTCACCTCACCTCACCTCAAAACAAACACCATAGGAACCTCCCACTCATTTTGTCCTACGTGTAATAACTTCGTACTACCGGAGCGATAATTCACCTTAAAACCATAATGGTGTATCCCAATATTCAATCTCAAGTTCAGACACAGAACGGGTAAAAACTCTTCCACGGAGACGATCTAATTGAGTGGATTGGTCTCAGGTGCAGATCGGATGTTTTTAGTCCAGACAAGCTGCGAGTAGCACTTTGCAAAATGTGTAACAAGGATTTATCTGCACCCAGATTGTAGCAGTGATGGTTCCAGCTAATTACTTTGTTGTGTCTGATCAGCTGATTGGGAGGAGAAGTGTTGGCTGTCGCTTGATCAAAATATTTTTCAAAAGTTATTGATTAAAAGTTATTGATTTTCTGTAAAGGCTGGAAGCAAATACAATAAGTGTTGGAAAAGTACAATGGCATGTGCGTTGGTCAATACTATTAAGGTGGGGGGCATGGGTGGCCAATTTGTCTGAGGTGCTGGAATTTGCATCTCTTGGCGTCCCCAGAAACCTATGATTGTGGGTTCGAATCCCGGTTCGTCCTGATTATGTTTCTTAGGTTTCTCAGCACTCTACCTGTGCTCATGGGTTTCAAAAAAGTATGAATCATCCTGTCTGGCTTTCCTCTCACATTAGGCTGACATACAGTGATATAACTGTAATACTGTTCAAAACCTTTTAAGTAAGGTGATAAGTATCTGTGACTTGCATCACTTCGTGTTTTCCTCTCATATTATTCTGACACTGTGACACATGTGGAATAGTTATAAAAAAAACCAAAAAAAACAACTCGCTCACTCTCACCAGAACTATTTTCTGAAGCATATTGGATACTTTGTTTATGTAGCTGTTACACATTCTCCAGACTGAGATCGGGTAACAGTGGCCCAATTAGCTGTGTGCTTGTATTCTTACAGTTGCGTCCCTTAGCTGTGCCAGGATCATGTGATCTCAGAACCACTCAAGCTATGATATCTGTGTTTCTCTGTATCCATGCTCATGTGTTTCACCAAAATGGTAGTATGGTATTTGGGTTTTAGGGCGACATGGAACATTAAAGGTCTAGTTGGGCCCATACCAAAGTGGTGTATGTGGTCTCCCCCTGTCTGCATCACTTTCTCTCCTCCACCTTAAACTGACACGCTGTGAAAAATGTGAGATAGATGTCTTCGTTCAGCCTCCCCCCACCCCCCCATCACAGGATTGTCTGCTCCAGACTTGATTATTTGCAGACCACTGTCAATTAGCTGGAATATTGCAGAGTGTGGCATTAAACATCAAACACTAGACTTGTCTCCCTTCATCCCCATTCTTACTAGAGTTGTCTCCCTTCAGCTCCCCACCTTCAGCACCTGATCTCGCTGCTGACCCCTGTGTACTGGACGACAGCCATGGAGGTGGACGGAGCTTACAACGGATATACTCTAACAAAGGGTGTCTTCAACAGGAAGGTGCAGGTCGAGTTTGCAACAGGTCTGTAGTTACCTCCCCTTAATTTGTTACAAGCAAGAATGTGCCTGTTACTTGATGTACTAGAGTTCATATTAAGCTAAAAGTTATTTAACATCTATTGATAGATAAATGCTCCATAAAGTGTATATTTCAATCAAAGTGTTTATTTATTTGTTCTTTTGTAATGTTAGATGTTATTTTGTTTTTTAGTGGAAAGACTAGAACCAGCTTTGAATCACTTACCTTGTGAGAGTGATATGAAGTAATTAGTTGCCCATGTTGGGCTCAACCCCGTTTACAAAACATACATAGTGTAATATCTGTGTCAGTGTGTGAAATATATCAGTCAAAGTGTTGACCTTAACCTTAACTTGTAGGGGAGGTCTTGAGGATGACCCACTATGCAACTGGTGTGGATGACAAGGGGAAGCTCAAGTTTGACATCGTGGTCAGTGGACATGTGCCTGACCTGGGCCAGATCAGGAACGTGTACATCCACCCCTATACAGAACAGTATGTGCAGACTGGGCCAGGTGAGATCAGGGTGGATAGGGAGGTTAACATGATACATCCACCCCTATACAGAACAGTATGTGCAGCCTGGGCCAGGTGAGATCAGGGTGGATAGGGAGGTTAACATGGTACATCCACCCCTATACAGAACAGTATGTGCAGACTGGGCCAGGTGAGATCAGGGTGGATAGGGAGGTTAACATGATACATCCACCCCTATGCAGAACAGTATGTGCAGCCTGGGCCAGGTGAGATCAGGGTGGATAGGGAGGTTAACATGGTACATCCACCCCTATACAGAACAGTATGTGCAGCCCGGACCAGGTGAGATCAGGGTGGATAGGGAGGTTAACATGATACATCCACCCCTATACAGAACAGTATGTGCAGCCCCGGCCAGGTGAGATCAGGGTGGATAGGGACGTTAACATGATACATCCACTTCTATACAGAACAGTATGTGCAGACTGGGCCAGGTGAGATCAGGGTGGATAGGGAGGTTAACATGATACATCCACCCCTATACAGAACAGTATGTGCAGACCGGGCCAGGTGAGATCAGGGTGGATAGGGAGGTTAACATGGTACATCCACCCCTATACAGAACAGTATGTGCAGCCCGGACCAGGTGAGATCAGGGTGGATAGGGAGGTTAACATGGTACATCCGCCCCTATACAGAACAGTATGTGCAGACTGGGCCAGGTGAGATCAGGGTGGATAGGGAGGTTAACATTATACATCCACCCCTATACAGAACAGTATGTGCAGACCGGGCCAGGTGAGATCAGGGTGGATAGGGGCGTTAACATTATACATCCACTTCTATACAGAACAGTATGTGCAGACCGGGCCAGGTGAGATCAGGGTGGATAGGGAGGTTAACATGGTACATCCACCCCTATACAGAACAGTATGTGCAGACCGGGCCAGGCGAGATCAGGGTGGATAGGGGCGTTAACATGGTACATCCACCCCTATACAGAACAGTATGTGCAGACCGGGCCAGGTGAGATCAGGGTGGATAGGGAGGTTAACATGGTACATCCACCCCTATACAGAACAGTATGTGCAGACCGGGCCAGGTGAGATCAGGGTGGATAGGGGCGTTAACATGGTACATCCACTTCTATACAGAACAGTATGTCCAGACCGGGCCAGGTGAGATCAGGGTGGATAGGGAGGTTAACATGGTACATCCACCCCTATACAGAACAGTATGTGCAGACCGGGCCAGGTGAGATCAGGGTGGATAGGGAGGTTAACATGGTACATCCACCCCTATACAGAACAGTATGTGCAGACCGGGCCAGGTGAGATCAGGGTGGATAGGGAGGTTAACATGGTACATCCACCCCTATACAGAACAGTATGTGCAGACCGGGCCAGGTGAGATCAGGGTGGATAGGGGCGTTAACATGGTACATCCACTTCTATACAGAACAGTATGTCCAGACCGGGCCAGGTGAGATCAGGGTGGATAGGGAGGTTAACATGGTACATCCACCCCTATACAGAACAGTATGTGCAGACCGGGCCAGGTGAGATCAGGGTGGATAGGGACGTTAACATGGTACATCCACTTCTATACAGAACAGTATGTGCAGACCGGGCCAGGTGAGATCAGGGTGGATAGGAACATTAACATGGTACATCCATCCCTATACAGAACAGTATGTGCAGACCAGGCCAGGTGAGATCAGGGTGGATAGGGAGGTTAACATTATACATCCACCCCTATACAGAACAGTATGTGCAGACCAGGCCAGGTGAGATCAGGGTGGATAGGGGCGTTAACATTATACATCCACTTCTATACAGAACAGTATGTGCAGACCGGGCCAGGTGAGATCAGGGTGGATAGGGAGGTTAACATGATACATCCACCCCTATACAGAACAGTATGTGCAGACCGGGCCAGGTGAGATCAGGGTGGATAGGGGCGTTAACATTATACATCCACTTCTATACAGAACAGTATGTGCAGACCGGGCCAGGTGAGATCAGGGTGGATAGGGAGGTTAACATTATACATCCACCCCTATACAGAACAGTATGTGCAGACCGGGCCAGGTGAGATCAGGGTGGATAGGGGCGTTAACATTATACATCCACTTCTATACAGAACAGTATGTGCAGACCGGGCCAGGTGAGATCAGGGTGGATAGGGAGGTTAACATTATACATCCACCCCTATACAGAACAGTATGTGCAGACCGGGCCAGGTGAGATCAGGGTGGATAGGGGCGTTAACATTATACATCCACTTCTATACAGAACAGTATGTGCAGACCGGGCCAGGTGAGATCAGGGTGGATAGGGAGGTTAACATTATACATCCACCCCTATACAGAACAGTATGTGCAGACCGGGCCAGGTGAGATCAGGGTGGATAGGGAGGTTAACATGGTACATCCGCCCCTATACAGAACAGTATGTGCAGACCGGGCCAGGTGAGATCAGGGTGGATAGGGAGGTTAACATTATACATCCACCCCTATACAGAACAGTATGTGCAGACCGGGCCAGGTGAGATCAGGGTGGATAGGGAGGTTAACATGGTACATCCACCCCTATACAGAACAGTATGTGCAGCCTGGGTCAGGTAAAATCAGGGTGCAGACCGGGCCAGGTGTGAGATCAGGGTGGATAGGGAGGTTAACATGGTACATCCACTTCTATACAGAACAGTATGTGCAGCCTGGGCCAGGTAAAATTAGGGTGCAGACTGGGCCAGGTGTGAGATCAGAGTGGATAAGGAGGTTATATGGAGCAGAATGGGCAGACAACTGTATAGTATGCCTTAGTGTGAATTCTGACAATGATAAACACTACCCTTTTTCAGGTGAAATCTATGCCTTCTCCTCACGACTGTTCCGAGTTGATGGAAACAGGATGCCATATGCATGGAACCACACCATCACATATGACCCGTCACTGGGCAAGATGCCGTTCCTGGTGCAGCGACTCTATGCTGAAGGCATGGAGGTCAATGTTGAGCCCGGGGAGGAGGATGTGCGCTTCCAGCTGTATGCCAGCATTGCACCAGGTGAGCTAATGTTCCAGTTTCCTGTCAGCATTACACCAGGTGAGCTAATGTTCCAGTTCCTTGTCAGCATTGCACCAGGTGAGGTAATGTTCTAATGTTGCACCAGGTGAGCTAATGTTCCAGGATTGCACCAGGTGAGCTAATGTTCCAGTTCCTTGTCACCATTGCACCAGGTGAGCTAATTTTCCAGTTCCTTGTCAGCATTGCACCAGGTGAGCTAATGTTCCATCTGTGCCAGCATTGCACCAGGTGAGCTAATGTTCCAGTTCTGTGTCTGCACTGCACCAGGTGAGCTAATGTTCCAGCTCTGTGCAAGCATTGCACCAGGTCAGCTCTATACACTCATAAACTTAAACATGAAGATATATCTGCGCAAATTTGTATAACCTTTTCTTCAACTGTTTAATCACTATTTTATGCATTTAGCCCACAGGAATAAACTTTATATGCATAAACCTGGAAAAACACTCACTGTTTATTTACTTTTACTTCAGGTAACCCCAGTAATCGATGTCCCAGGGGGTTCTTCCACGATGAAGAGGGATCCTTCTGCCGAGGTAACAATCACATATGGAATCTGTCTCTTTCAAAAAATCTAAATTGAAACGTGGGAAACAATCTCATGCATTGTTAACATGTTTATCGTTTGTTGAATATTGAATGTCTTCTCTAACTACATTTACATATTGAGGCTGCTGCTGTTTTCAGATGACAATGAGTGCACACGCCTCAAGCCATGCAGTCACTTCTGTCACAACGCACCTGGTAGCTTCTCATGTTCCTGTCCTGTAGGATTCACATTGGAGTCTGACGGCCGGTCCTGTAGAGGTGAGTAGTGGTATATAAATGCCCTGTAGAGGTGAGGAGTGGTATTAATGTCCTGTAGAGGTGAGGAGTGGTATAAATGGCCTGTAGAGGTGAGTGGTGGTATATAAATGCCCTGTAGAGGTGAGGGGTGGTATATAAATGCCCTGTAGAGATGAGGAGAGGTATAAATGTCCTGTAGTGGTATATAAATGTCCTGTAGAGGTGAGGAGTGGTATTAATGTCCTGTAGAGGTGAGGGGTGGTATATAAATGTCCTGCTGAGGTGAGGAATGGTACATAAATGTCCTGTAGAGGTGAGGAGTGGTATATAAATGTCCTGTAGAGGTGAGGAATGGTACATAAATGTCCTGTAGAGGTGAGGAGTGGTATATAAATGTCCTGTAGAGGTGAGGAATGGTACATAAATGTCCTGGAGAGGTGAGGAATGGTATATAACTGTCCTGAACAGGTGAACGGTGGTTAAAATGTCCCGTTGAGGTGAAATGTAGTATAATGTCCTGGGGAGGTGAGGGGCAGTATGAGTGTCCTGTGGAGGTGATAGGTAGTATAAGTGTCTTGTAGAGGTTAGGGTTGGTATAAGTGTCCTGTAGAGGTGAATGGTGGTATAAGTGTCCTGTGGAGGTGAATGGTGGTATAAGTGTCCTGTGGAGGTGAATGGTGGTATAAGTGTCCTGTAGAGGTGAATGGTGGTATAAGTGTCCTGTAGAGGTGAATGGTGGTATAAGTGTCCTGTGGAGGTGAATGGTGGTATAAGTGTCCTGTGGAGGTGAATGGTGGTATAAGTGTCCTGTAGAGGTGAATGGTGGTATAAGTGTCCTGTGGGGGTGAATGGTGGTATAAGTGTCCTGTGGAGGTGAATGGTGGTATAAGTGTCCTGTGGAGGTGAATGGTGGTATAAGTGTCCTGTAGAGGTGAATGGTGGTATAAGTGTCCTGTGGAGGTGAATGGTGGTATAAGTGTCCTGTGGAGGTGAATGGTGGTATAAGTGTCCTGTGGAGGTGAATGGTGGTATAAGTGTCCTGTAGAGGTGAATGGTGGTATAAGTGTCCTGTAGAGGTGAATGGTGGTATAAGTGTCCTGTAGAGGTGAGGGGTGGTATAAATGTCTAGTAGAGGTGAAAATGTTTGATAAGAGTCATGTTGATGGTGAGATTGTGCTAAAGATGCCTTGTAGAGGTGAAGGAGTGGTATTACCTACATACTGTTCAAGGCTGTGTTTAAACAAACTCTCTCTCTCTCTCACTTATCTTAACCAGGAAATAATCTTCCCATTGTTCTGTAGACATCGACGAATGCCAGAAGAACATAGCTGGATGTCCCATAAACAAGGAGTGTGTGAACACCATCGGGTCTTACCAATGTCTGGCCCAGTGCTCTGCTGGCTACAAGAGGGCTCTCAATGGGCTGGAGTGCCAAGGTTTGTAGTGCATTCCTCCTTGATGCTCCCCCTGTTGGGTTCCTAGGTAAGAAGGAAAGTCCCAAGTAACCAATGTTTGCCCCCAATGGAAATTCTGGCTAAGAATATAGGTCCCCAGCAAAATCTGTTTGTCTCCCTATGGGAATTCTGGCAAAGAATATAGGTCCCCAGGAACCTATGCTTGTCTTGACATGAGGATTCCGGGTCAGAATATAGGTCCCCAGTGAACTATGCATGTCTATCCATACTTGGTAAAAATGTAGGTCCTCGGCTCACTCACTTGGCTGATGCATGTCATCATATCCCACTTGTGTAGATCGATGCTGATGATGTCAATCCATGTATTGTGTGACCTTGATTCGATTATTTACAAACCGTCACCATATAGCTCCTATGGCACACAAAAAACTTCCTTCTTTTCTGTCTGTGTGTAGACATCGACGAGTGCAAGGCACAGCCAGACACATGTGAGCATGTTTGTGAGAACCTGGTGGGAAGCTTCCGGTGTTCGTGTACTCAAGGCTACAGACTCTCCCCTAACGGAAGATGTGTGGGTAAGTTGTGGCAGTTTGTCAGTTGATGAAGGAAAACACAGGGCCCTTTGCAACCCAGAGGGGTTGGCACTATCTGTGTAACTGCAGTGTAATTTTGGAATGAGACTGTTCATTTACATTTCTGAACATTTTCTCTGTTCGTCCAGTTGCAGTCTTGTGAAAACCCATACAAGTAGACCAGGTGGCCATGTTGGACATGGCAATATTTCATGTACAACACTTTTGTCATCAACTTGAGCTTTGTAATTGTGAATCCATCATGATGAATTCATTACAAATGTCATGGAACAGTGTGTACAGGAATTTACGTTATACTTCAGATGTAAGGTTTTGATTGAGGTCAAGGTGTTACATTTTCAACCAAAACTCAGAGTGATTAACCACTTTATGATCCATCTAAGTGCAAGAAATACCAGAAAGAATGAGACAACATTGGAATACCTTATTGCGAAACAATACAGTAGTCGTGGTAAAGAACAAATAGGATGACAGCAGGTGAGAGAAAGACCATGTGCAGCATGCAGACAACTGAAGTGATGACATGTGAGATTGAACACCCTTCTATCACCCTCCCTAGTGGCTCAGTGGGAAAACAGTGGGTTACAATACTAAATATGATATGTGAAGATGCAGGTTTAATTCACGTTCTGGAATGTTCATGTCAATATATTTTGGACTTTTAACCAGTCGAAAATCAACATTAGATGCATATTAAAAGGCTGTTTATACAACCTGGGTCTTACAATTCTAATGTATAACTTCCAAGCAGGTCTTACAATTCTAATGTATAACCCCTCTGCAGTTCTCACTTGAAACTAGTACCTCTCACAAGGTTATGATAAGATAGTAAGATACCTACAATACTTTAGCCAAAAGTGGCAGAAGAATTATAAGAGTTGCCATGATCTCGGGGTGTACATGCTCACTACTTCACACACTGTTGATGCCATATGTCATTGTGACTTTGTGTATCAGATGTGGACGAGTGCAAGCGCCCCAACTCGCCCTGCCCTCAGCAGTGCCTCAACACCAATGGCGGTTACAGATGTGCGTGCAGGACCGGCTACAAACTGGTTGGTGGACAGCAGGGTGCCTGCAGAGGTGAGACATCAAGGCAGCTTGTGTCACTTCTTCATTGTTTTGTAGGGGCGGTCGGGTAGCCTAGTGGTTAAAGCGTTCGCTCGTCACGCCAAAGACCCGGGTTAGATTCCCGACATGGTTACAATGTGTGAAGCCCATTTCTGGTGTCCCCCGCCGTGATATTGCTGGAATATTGCTAAAAGCGGCGTAAAACCATACTCACTAACTCACTCATTGTTTTGTATATTTATACTTGGTCCACTTGTACAAAGCGATCTTTGAGCTACGACAAACCTAACTCCCATACTTTAACATACTTACAAAGGTCATAGTACTAAGATGCTTTGTGAACGTGGGCCGTGGTATACTGCAATTTGATAAGAGTCTCAATGTGATGTTTTTCCCACTATAGATATTAATGAGTGCATCGTGGGAAGTCACAACTGCCCACGAGACCAAGAGTGCGTCAACACTCGCGGAAGCTACGAATGTATCAACATTTGTGAGCCAGGATTCCGGAGGATTCGAAGTGGCCAGTGTATCGGTAGGTGCACCAAGTACATGGTCACAATGTTGCAGCCCTTGGCTTCCAAATTCATCCTGATTATGATCCTTGGTCTGTCATCATATTCTGGCTGTTTCATCAAAGTGGTAAACATCTAAGACCTGCACCATTTGGGCCGTTACTCCTATATAAGGCTGACATGTGAAACCATGGTAACGTAACTCAGTTTGACAGTGTAGGGAGCAATGGTGACCCAGCCGTCTTAGGTGCTGCAAGTCGCTGTGCAGAGTTACGTCCCTTTGGCACGCCAAAGAGTTCACTGTTCATAGTGGCGTAACCCCAACTCACTCTCTCAATATGACAGCGTAATCATCTCGATTCTCTTACTAGTATTCAGTTTATGGAAAACACACATATTTTGGGTAGTCTCTTGGACTTCGAATTAATGAGTTCATAACCTGTATTTCATGTTGAAATGTTGATGAAAGTTGATCTATACCCCATTTCACTCACTCACTGACTGGCTGCTGCAGACATTAACGAGTGTACTAGCCGTCGCCATCGATGCTACTACAACCAGAGGTGTATAAACACCGCCGGCAGCTACAAGTGCACATGTCCTCAAGGCCTGGCATCCCGAGGACCAGGGCAGCCCTGTACAGGTAGGTGGTGCATTGTGGGTAGCTGTAGCCACTTCCTGTCCGCTGGTTGTTCCTCTCAGTGTGTCTTTCTCTTCAATGTTTATGCAACAGATAATGTCCACCTTGCATGCCCTATGTCCCATATCCCAATCATCATTCTATTAGTAGCTTCTCATGAGTGTATTTCAGTCTTCTTTTACAGTCTATGAAAAATATTCTCAAGCAGTAAGTGTCCTCAACAGGGAGATCAATTATTCATAATAAGCAGTGTCAGAAATTAATGTTAGGCTACTATTAAATGCTAGTAAGTGTTTCAAAGGGCTTGTAGGGAAGAAACTTTGAGGTTACTAGTCATCCTCACCAGTTCCAACTCAAACAAATATTTCATTTGATGTTCATTACACTGTATTCTGTGATCAACCATTTAATATTTTTGTGTCACTGCTTAAATCATTTCCTTACCGACAATGCTATTTTTTCAAGACATTATTGACCCATGAAGATACGGGTGGAAAAATTTTCCTTCTGCAAACCCATGCTTACCGTAAGAGGTGGCTAATGGGATCGGGTGGTCAGACTCTCTGACTTTGTTGATCCATGTTATCGTATCCCAATTGCATAGATCGATGCTTATGATGTCAAATACTAGATTGTCTGGTCCAGACTTGATTATTTACAGACCATGGTCATACATCTGTGGAATATTGCAGAGGGCAGCGTTAAACAACAAACAAACAAGACAATATTTTATTGTTTTAATAAGACTACTGACTCGCTCGTGGTCATTGGTATGGTCTGGTTTATTACAGTGGGGCACAGGTGGCCCAGTTGTCTAAGGCGCCGCGATATGCTGTGCAGAGTTGCTCCCTTGGGCATGCCAGAAACCTATGATTGTGGGTTTCAATCCCGGTTCGCGTCGATTATGTTTCTTGGTTTGTCAGCACCATACCCGTGCTCGTGGGTTTTACCATAGTGGTAAATGTCTGTGATCTGCATCACTTTAGGCTATCCTCTCACATTAAGCTGAGAAGCCGTGATATAACTGGAATACTGTTAAAAGCGGCGTTTAACCAAACTCACTCATTGGATTATTACAGGTCACCATGACAACAACAAGCAACTTATGAAGAGGGAGGGCTGACACTGATACATTCTGATGTGTTTTCATTGAGTTTTAAACAGAAAATCAATAGATCTATCTTCCTTTTTTACCCCCTCAGTCACTCAGTCAGTTTCTCCAATATCGGTTGGGAGTCGTCTCCAAATATTGGCAACCTCTGGCCAGTAATAATTTACATATAAACGAGAGTGTTGTGTTGAGATATCATGCTGTGAGTGAAGTTCTGATAATGTTCTTTCCTGAAGAGAAATGCCCTCCCCTGTCTGTGTCAGTGTTACTGTATGTAGTGTGGATAATTTCTCGTGCTATCAACTGCTTGTTTATCAGGCCAACGGAATAAGCTGCAATATTTCTGACTGTATCTTTACATTCACACCTCTTTCTCCTGTAGGCCAAAAGGGACACTTTGTACTTCATAATACTTTGTGATGGAGGCTTGAGAGGCCAAGTCATCTAAGGCGCTGCAATTCACATTCATTAGTCAGGCCTTTCTGAAACCAAGGATCATGGGTTGAAATCCTATTTCACCCATACCTGTGCTCGTGGCTGTCACCAAAAGGGTGAACATCAAAGACCTGTATCACTGAGAGCTTTCCTACCACATCCAGCAAATTGAAATACAGTTCAAAGCTGTGTTGAAAGCCAAACTCACCCCTCTCTTTATGCAACATTATTCTTTCATCTTGGTGAAAGCCATGTCATCCTTCCAAATTTCAAAAGTCAGTGGGAGCTACTGCGATGGTCTTGTCAACTCAATTGAATTAAGCTCATAGTGCTGTTGTACAAAACAACCTTAGCACTACAACTGTCGTAAGTCTATGTTGTGGTAGCAGTTCCAATCACCTTATTGCTGAGATCGCTCAGTAATGCAGCACCCAGGAAATTAGAGGTCATACTATGACATGGACCAAGGCCATGGTACTTAGACCTACATTTGTCAAATACAGAACATAAAATCACCTGCTCTGTTTTAGTAACTTATTCACAATCGATGTGGTTTGTATTTCTACATGAGGAACATGTATCCAGCGGGTGGTCGTACATCAGGACAATACATCCTCACCTTCATGCCCAACTCTCATCAGCTGGTTTTATTAGTGGTCGTACATTACAATCTGTCCTGTTCGGGGAATACTGGAACATCACTTCCAAGGATGCATACGCAATATACAGTTATGAGTAAAGGGGGAAACACTGAATACAACACAGGCAATGACTGCAAATAATTTGAGAAACAATTTATATTTGAAAGTCGCTATTTTTGTTAAAATTGTTTCACCAAATGACTGGCTTATTGTTTACGCGTTAGTATCTTCATAATTGAAGGGTGTGTGCATCAGCCCCCTGGATCCTTCATTGTCTAAGACAGTCTAGGTCCCGTCTGCTATGAAGACCTAGGTTCACCATGTTGTCAGGACTAAGGTTCTGTGTTTGAATTGAAGACATCTGTCTTTATTCTATCGGGGGAGGTTTATATCACCCTCCAGGTCCTTTGTTTGGTTGTAAGATAAGGAAGCCTCCATTTGGATTCTGAGGAAGACGTCTGAGATCAGTCTGAAACTATTTACAGTAGAACATGGATAAATGAACTACAAGGGACCAGAGAAATCAGTTCGTTATATCCATTGTTCGTTATATCCGTTGTTCGTTATATACGTTTTCGCTCGGAAATGTCCGCCATCTTGTATAAAACAAAACACAATACACATTACAAGTAATTGCAGCATTGACTTGTATTAGCAGTGATCACTTCATAGCATTCAATTTATAACATTTCATAACATTCATTTAAGTTTAACAAGGTTGATCCTCACAGCTGATTGTGTTGATTCACTGCTGATTGCACACAGCCTATTGTCAGTGACACTTGACACTGCGTGAGATTTCTTAGTTCGCTATACACGGAAGTTTAGTTTGCTGTACCCGTTAGTTCGCTGTAGAGAGTTTGTTATATATGTAATTTTTTATGATATTATATTGGAGATAAATCAGGGAGTTTGTTGTATCCGTTTGTTCGCTCTATCCGTGTTCGTTGTATCTGTGTTCTACTGTATGTAAGAGCCAAAGAGGAAGATGGAACATGACTGAACACTGTCACACTTGGGCGCTCAGACATTTTCCTTCGTTGTTGCACTGGACCGCCTCCATGGTTTAGTGGTAGAGCGTCAGCCCGGGGAGCGGAAGGTCCGGGGTTCGATCCCAGGCCACGTCATACAAAAAGACGTTAAAAGATGGTACTTGTTGTTACCCTGTTTGGCGCTCGTCATTAAGGGGCTAAAACAAGGACTGGTCGGCTCAGAGTCAGTATACTGTGTCCGAGTGGGGTATTCATGTTAGACTGCGGCATGGTATCTCAGTGGGCTAGCACTATAAATCAGTCCGGACTAGTACAAGCAGCCACACACACACACACACACGTACATGCATGTCGCTATATAAGTGCAATAATCTTGGACGCGACGTTAAACCCCATTTCACCTCACCTCGTTGTTGCACTGAGCATGATGTTTAGCACTGGTCGACCAGTGAATGTTTCAACGTATGGCAACTTCCCACACTACACATGCCAGTGGCCTAGATCCTATTCACCTCAGCATCATGTGACATTGTTCTGGCAATTGACTAACAATGTCCCAATCTGCATTTATAGGGCCTTGGTGAATAGAACCCGATTGTCAAACCTGGCAGCCCTGTCACACGATCCCGTTTTGTTAATGTTCATGGTGTTTTTAACATAGTGGGCCTCACTTCTGAAAGTCAATGGATATGAACATCGACACCACAGCAATCATGCTCTTTCAATATACAGGAACTACAACTTGAAATTGAACGTTATGCGATTTTGTCAACCAAACATAGCATTGCATTTTTTCTGCCTCCGTGTATAGTTTGTCTGGTCCAGATTCAGATATTAACAGACCACAATGATCCAGCTCTAGTATTGAGGGACCCCATGAAGATTCCGGGGTAGAATAGGTCTTCAGCAACCCATGCTTGCCATAAAAGGCGACTAACGGGATCAGGTGGTCAGGCTCGCTGTCTTGGTTATATGCGTGGATCGATGCTCATGATGTTAATCACTGGATTGTCTGGTCCAGACTCGATTATTTACAGACCGCCGTCATATAGCTGGAATATTGCTGAGTGCGGCGTTAAAAAACAAACCAACAAACCAAAAATCTTATATTCAGGACTGTGATGTAAAACAACTTTCACCCACTCAAATCCCTTTTGTACAAAGTGGATAATTAAATCAGTTGATACTTTTGTTCAGTCCTCAATGTGTCCTCCTTCATTCGTCATCATATGAAACCAGCTAACAAGAATGGTTTAAGTAGAAAAATGCTTACCGTATTCAACGTAATAAGCGCCCCGCTCTAATAAGCGCCCACGGCGATATTTGCTAATATATTGGCATGTGAACAATCCCAATTAGCACCCTTTCCGATTGATCAATGTACACAATACTTATTTTTTCGCATATAATATGCACTCGTGTGTTATATGCACCCTTAATTATGGGCAATTAAATTCTGGAAAAATATATCTATCGTACATAAACATTTCAGGCTGTCAGCATAAACCACGGAAACTCTGGGGTCTTTTGACAAAATAATATTCTCATAAGAGCCCCCTATTTCTAATTTTGAGAGCGCCCTGGGCGCTTATTACGTCGTATACGGTAAGTAGAATATCTCCTTTGATCTTTGAGTCATTTGAATCAATTAATTGTTATTCTTGAAGGAACGTATTGTACAAACTCTCCGGAAACCAAAACATAAGAGACATAGTTCAGTAACCAGTCAATGGCACTTTCAACCTTCAAAATACATGCCAAAGGCAGTTCTATTTAAAATGTCTGTCCCAGGGATCTTCAATATGGCTACCACAACAGTTTCAGCAACAAACCAAAGACTTGGTTCGCTGGGTTTCACTGGGATAACTTGAGTTTATATGTTATGCAATTTTACAGATGATTGGATTTCCAGTTTGATGTCCATGTAGTTTATATCAGATCTTGATAAAAGTATTTCTTTTCCTTCAAAAAGTGTTACTTTTTTTTCCTACACTGCTAATAGATTGACCAACATGGTGTGTCACATATCTAGGCCATACACAGCTTGTGTATCTTGATGTATTCATCCAAGCCTGTTTGATTCCAGATATTAATGAGTGTGAACAAATCCCGCCTGTTTGCAACTTCAAATGCCGAAACTTGTGGGCCAGTTTTGAGTGCATCTGTCCGTTTGGGCAGGTCCGCTTGACTGACAAGAAGACCTGTGCTGGTTAGACATTTTTTGTGTCAAACTAAAACTTCTTTGAGGCATCTTTTACATTACTTGGTTTACAGATCCAACTACAGATATATACTACTCAAAAGAAGTTGAAGGTCATGCAATTCTTTTATATTGCTATAGTTAATATGTCATGGCATGACAGATTAACTTTAGTTATATGAAAGAATTGGGTGATCTTTAACTTCTTTTGAGTAGTATATTTAGAATTAGATTAAGATTTGAATTTCTGGGATTTCTGTGATGGACAAAAAATCAGGTCATCATCTAGGCCAATGGGAAAGGGTTTTCCTTTTGAAAAAAATATCTTTATTTTCACAAGATTGATAATTAAGAAACACTTTTTCAAGTTTTATGTTTTTTTTGTCCATTTTTAATACCTCAATTTGTAAGCCAAGTAATTAAGAGACATTTGTATATTTTAATGTGTTTTCAAATGAAAATATAAGCAATGTTAAAATTACTCTCAGTATTTCCTAATCAATTAACTGAATCAAAAAAGATGTAAATATAAGTGTACATAGTTTCAAAAACAGTGTCATGTTTAAAAATGCTTTATTAATATAATTCTCCTTCATAAATCTTATGGTAATTTGGGTTTAGCCACAAAAAGGGCTCCAGTAATTAGATTCACAATTAAGTGACTGTCACAACCAGGCCTCACTCTCTTTGTTAACGACCAGCTCCATCAATCCCTCGCTAAGCCTTGTTCGGACCTGATTTGATTCCAGGACTGGAGTTTGTAGAGCCTGCCAAAGTGTACTCCACCGACACTCAGGCTGACCAAGGCTACCCAGTGGCACCGGCTAGGTCTTGCAAATATGGTTTATGTGCATTGAACAGACCCCGGCTTAGATGCCCCTCAGGAACCCAGTTTGATAGAACTCACCGGGATCGGTGTATTGGTAGGCATTGTGTGATCCCTGTGTCTGCCGGTGTCCAGTAACTCTGATATTGTCCTTGTGAATCGTATATATCCTATATCTAAGTGTTCACTATATCCATGGTATAACTGGCTATATTGCATATACAACATACTGTCAGCATGGCTTCTCATATATCGGATGACTAAAACTGCCAAGTGCTGTATAACTCACAGAGGGCCAAATGTTGTCTTACACGTATCTCACCCAGTGACATGTCTAATCCTACCTACATATTCAAATAAGGTTTGAGTCAATATATTGTGTCGTGTACATGTTGTCTTCGCATATTGCATAGCGGTTCCTACAGATAATGACTTACGATAATTGAAGACAGAGTTGACTTGTGGGTTTCAAGTTCTTTATTTCATTCATTGCAATGTTTCGGTACCGCTGCTAGTACCTTTATCAAGCAGGTGATCAACGACTGGGAAGGACACAGATATGTTGCAAAGAAACAAACAGATTGGATGAAGCCAAGGGACAAGCGTGTGTAACTTCGCTATAGGACCATTTCACAGTGAAAGAGTAAATCAGACATCCACAAACCAACCCTGTCTCAACTAAAACTACACTTTCATAATGACACTTAGAGATATATTATTATTAGAGGTGCATGGTATAACTGTTATGGGGGGCACGGGTGGCCCAGTCGTCTAAGGCGCCGCGATTCGCTGTGCAGAGTTGCATCCCTTGGGCACGCCAGAAACCTATGATTGTGGGTTCGAAAATCCTGGTTTGCCCCAATTATGTTTCTAGGTTTGTCAGCACCATACCCATGCTCGTGGGTTTCACCGAAGTGGTAAACGTCTGAGACCTGCATCACTTCGGGCTTTCCTCCCACATTAAGCTGACACGACGCGATATAACTGGAATACTGTTAAAAGCGGCGTTAAACCCAACTCACTCACTCACTATAACTGTTATGCTGGTATATCACGATTTGAAATACTAATGAATAGGTATCTCAGTATGTTTGGAAAAATATTGTGGGTACAATGTGTGAAGCCCATTTCTGGTGTCCCCCACCTTGATGTTGCTGGAATATTGCTAGAAGCAGCGTAAAACCATACTCACTCAATCACACTGGAAAATATTGGTTTATTGCACATTTAAAAGTCATGTATATTTTCATCTTGTTGGCAAAGTTTACAAAAGTGAGAAATCAATGGCAGATGACTACGAAGTTGTCAACAAAATTGTGGGGTGGGGAAGGGAGTGAAGTTGGATGTATGTGCACTCTGTGCACACATCCTGCTTGGAAATGTTTTAACAGATTTAGTATGAAAGTCAAGGAGTATGATTTTCAATCCAGTCATCAGGTTCTCTCAAGGATCTAACAACTGAGACAGTGTCTGTTGATTACAGGGGGCGGTCGGGTAGTCTAGTGGTTAAAGCGTTCGCTCATCGCACCACACACATGGGTTCGATTCCCGATATGGGTACAATGTGTGAAGGCCATTTCTGGTGTCCCCTGCTGTGATAGTGCTGAAATATTGTTAAAAGGAGCGTAAAACCAGACTCACTCACTCACTGTTGATTACAGCTTCATACAAATGTATCAGACATGTAATGCTAGGTACAACTGTACTGATGAAGTGCTTGATATGGGCCACAGGGTCAGTCGGTTATATAGATGTCTTGCAGGGTCTGGCTTAATGACTGTCTCCGTGGGCGAATGGATAGTGCATTTGGCCAGAGAAGGGAAGGTCGGTGGTTCGATTCCTGGTTGTGTCATACCAGAAGACGATACTTCTTGTTACCCTGCTGGCATTCACCATAAAAGGCATAAAACAAGACCTGGTTGGTTTGAAGTCTCTGTACCGGAACTGTCTGAGGGGGGCATCCATGTTAAAGTGGCCCCCAAACAGCAGGAGGTTGCACCTGTACCCCAGTGTGGATGCTCCAATGTCTACTCCACAGTTTAAAGATTTCATTGTGTATCCTCTCATGGAATTGATGTGATGATAGATCCAACATCTTCTTAAAACTTGCATTACTTGTTTGGGAAAATGTCAATTCTTTACATCTTCTCTCATCCTGAACCAGCGGCAAGGGTGGCCCAGTTGTCAAAGGCGACTACAATTCACTGTGCAGTGTTGGTTTGAATCCCAATTGGGGGCACGGGTGGCCCAGTCGTCTAAGGCGCAGTGATTCGCTGTGCTGAGTTGCGTCCCTTGGGCACGCCAGAAAGCTATGATTGTGGGTTCAAATACCGGTTCGCCCCGATTTGTCAGCACCATACCCGTGCTCGTGGGTTTCACCGAAGTGGTAAATGTCTGAGACCTGCATCACTTCGGGCTTTCCTCCCACATTAAGCTGACACGCTGTGATATAACTGGAATAATGTTAAAAGCAGCGTTAAATCCAACTCACTCACTCGCTTGAATCCCAATTCATCCAAGTATGTTTCTAGGTCTTCAGCTCGTGGGTTTCAGCAATGTGGTAAATGTCTAAGACCTGCATCACTTCAGGCTTTCCTTCCACGTCAAGCTGACACGCCATGATAAAAGTGGCATTAAACCCAACTCACTCACTCATTCACTCCAATCATGAACCAGTTATAACCTGTGTACCAAATCATATGGCATCCATATTGAAAATCTCCTCCTGTTGTCCAATACAGTAGAACTTGGTTGTCTCGATCTCTTTTCTCTACATCTTGGTTATCTCCAAGGTACCAACATCTCAAACAAGGCATTGATGGAGTGTGTTGCAAGTTGTTGTTCAAGTGAACATCATATCAAAGTCCTAGTTGTGATTTCCATCATGGAAATGAAATTTCAAGATCAGTGTTTTCCTGAGATGGGACTTAACAGATATTTCATGTTTTTCTGAAATTGATATTACTTCACATTTGTTTTCAATGCAGGAGGAATTATTCTTCATAGTCTGATTCTGTGCTGTATCTATGTCTCTGTTCCTTAACTCATCACCTGGCCTGCAGTCACTCCTCGTATTTAACACCCATGCTGTATGTCACGTAATAACATTCATGGTGTATCTGGTATATGGTCTCTGCTAACACCCATGCTGTATATCACACTAATGCCCATGCTGTATATCACACTAACACCCATGCTGTATATCACACTAACACCCATGCTGTATATCACACTAACACCCATGCTGTATATCACACTAACATCCATGGTGTATGTGGTATATGATCTCTGCTAACACCCATGCTGTATATCACACTAACACCCATGCTGTATATCACACTAACACCCATGCTGTATATCACACTAACATCCATGGTGTATGTGGTATATGATCTCTGCTAACACCCATGCTGTATATCACACTAACACCCATGCTGTATATCACACTAACACCCATACTGTATATCACACTAACACCCATGCTGTATATCACACTAACACCCATGCTGTATATCACACTAACACCCATGGTGTATGTGGTATATGATCTCTGCTAACACCCATGCTGTATATCACACTAACACCCATGCTGTATATCACACTAACACCCATGCTGTATATCACACTAACACCCATGCTGTATATCACACTAACACCCATGCTGTATATAAAACAGTAACACCCATGCTGTATATCACACTAACACCCATGCTGTATATCACACTAACACCCATGCTGTATATCACACTAACACCCATGCTGTATATCACACTAACACCCATGCTGTATATCACACTAACACCCATGCTGTATATCACACTAACACCCATACTGTATATCACACTAACACCCATGCTGTATATAAAACAGTAACATCCATGGTGTATATCACACTAACACCCATGCTGTATATCACACTAACATCCATGGTGTATGTGGTATATGATCTCTGCTAACACCCATGCTGTATATCACACTAATGCCCATGTTGTATATCACGTAATAACACCCATGCTGTATATGGTATATGATCTCTGCTGACACCCATGTTATATATCTCTATGTTATATACATGTAGCATGCTAGCACCGGTTTCTGTCCCAATAATGATGTGGTATATCATATCAATGCATCTTATGTCACATGTCAAGCAGCATTCACTGTGTACTGTCCATGACAGTTCATTCTCTGTGAATCTGGTGTAACTTGATCTGATCCAGATGAGGGCATATTTTCCAACACAACTGTATTCTGTGGATTCCAACACCTTGTTTAATTATTCAGTTTACTGATTTTTTTCCGAACCCATAGGATCAAAAGTGGAAACAAAAGCTGAAAACATTTTGAAATACAGTGCCAGTTGAGTGAAGGAGGAGGATCATTGTTCTTCACTATTGACTCATTTTTTCATAGGGGATGTGAGGTAGCCTTGTGGTTAAAGCGTTTGCTCATCACGCGAAGAACCGGGTTCGATTCCCACCATGGGTACAATGTGTGAAGCCCATTTCTGGTGTCCCCCGACGTGATATTGCTGGAATATTGCTAAAAGCAGCATGAAAAATTATACTCACTCACTCATTTTTTCATAACGGAATTAGTTTAGTGGGCAGAGAATAAGACTATTCTCTTTTCTTTGTTAGTGGATCTAAAAGCTATGTTAGACACAGGTTAGAATGGTTTCCAATCTGCACAAACAGATGTTGCTCTTGCAGTATGTGGTATTTATCTGCTCTGTGACTGGTAAATTTGAAATTACACTAATTCTTGTTAATTATCAATCTTCAAGTTGGAAACAAAGATCTTTCATGTTATTGCAATATTTAACTACCTATAGTTTCCTAATAATATTTGACTAATAATCTTGACAAATTTGTTTAAATATTAAATATTAAGTGAAAATTTGACAAAAAAATGATAAATTCAGTAATTATTTTGCACGAAAGAGAATGATAAAAATATCTAAATATCAATTTAAATATTGACAGTATAACAGTGAGAATATTCCCACAGGTAGCTAGATCTCCTGTTTTCTGTGGGTTACAGACGTTGATGAGTGTGCCATCGGGAAGCACCAGTGTCAACACAACTGCACCAACACCAACGGCTCCTACCGCTGCCGCTGTCCACCCGGATACAGACTCGGAAAGGATGGCTTCTCCTGTGTCGGTAAGAAGTCACATGTAATAAGACCACATGACCACATGGTGATCACCTCACAAAACCTATGTTCGTCTTATGAGCTGATTGATTAGGTGATGAGGATTGGATGGTTCCAGAATGTGGCCGAGAGTGTCATTGTTGTGCTGCATTGATGCTCATGCTGTCAACCTCTGGTCTACCTTGCCCTGGGTAGAATATTAAAGCCAGCTGTGATATGCGAACATTAGTCACTTATAGTGGAACCATGGAAGTTCAAGATAATTTTTGCCATTGAATAATATATCACGTGACCAACTACAGGTCCAGGTAGTCCTGTGAGTATCCTGGTCCTACTCAGGAACCACCCTACCCTAGTACCTGGGTACTCGAGTTACCTGTCCCAGCCCTTGTGTACACATGCCTTACTAAACAGCTGTAAGCCAAACCCTTCAACACACTTCTCGTCTCCATATCAGCCGAAAATTTCCAGGTTAATATATCCCAATTCTTACTTGATAAATTTCCTGGACCCACTTTTCCAATCAAATTGCTCTCATGAGTTGGAGAAATCTCTGTGCTAAATTGGGGATAGGAGCAATGGACGTTGGAACATCACTTCCAAGCTTGTGTGTCATTGTACCTCAATGCGTGATGTGTCTGAATGTGTGTCATGTACCTCAATGTGTGATGTGGCTGAATGTGTGTCATCGTGCCTCAATGTGTGATGTGGCTGAATGTGTGTCATCGTACCTCAATGTGTGATGTGGCTGAATGTGTGTCATTTACCTCAAAGTGTGATGTGGCTGAATGTGTGTCATCGTACCTCAATGTGTGATGTGGCTGAATGTGTGTCATGTACCTCAATGTGTGATCTGGCTGAATGTGTGTCATCGTACCTCAATGTGTGATGTGGCTGAATGTGTGTCATTTACCTCAAAGTGTGATCTGGCTGAATGTGTGTCATCGTACCTCAATGTGTGATGTGGCTGAATGTGAGTCATCGTACCTCAATGTGTGATGTGGCTGAATGTGTGTCATTTACCTCAAAGTGTGATCTGGCTGAATGTGTGTTATCGTACCTCAATGTGTGATGTGGCTGAATGTGTGTCATGTACCTCAATGTGTGATGTGGCTGAATGTGTGTCATCGTACCTCAAAGTGTGATGTGGCTGAATGTGTTATCGTACCTCAATGTGTGATGTGGCTGAATGTGTGTCATCGTACCTCAATGTGTGATGTGGCTGAATGTGTGTCATGTACCTCAATGTGTGATGTGGCTGAATGTGTGTTATCGTACCTCAATGTGTGATGTGGCTGAATGTGTGTCATCGTACCTCAATGTGTGATGAGGCTGAATGTGTGTCATCGTACCTCAATGTGTGATGTGGCTGAATGTGTGTCATCGTACCTCAATGTGTGATGTGGCTGAATGTGTGTCATCGTACCTCAATGTGTGATGTGGCTGAATGTGTGTCATCGTACCTCAATGTGTGATGTGGCTGAATGTGTGTTATCGTACCTCAATGTGTGATGTGGCTGAATGTGTGTCATCGTACCTCAATGTGTGATCTGGCTGAATGTGTGTCATGTACCTCAATGTGTGATCTGGCTGAATGTGTCATCATACTTCAATGTGTGATGTGGCTGAATGTGTGTCATGTACCTCAATGTGTGATGTGGCTGAATGTGTGTCATCGTACCTCAATGTGTGATGTGGCTGAATGTGTGTCATCGTACCTCAATGTGTGATGTGGCTGAATGTGTGTCATGTACCTCAATGTGTGATCTGGCTGAATGTGTGTCATGTACCTCAATGTGTGATGTGGCTGAATGTGTGTCATGTACCTCAATGTGTGATGTGGCTGAATGTGTGTTATCGTACCTCAATGTGTGATGTGGCTGAATGTGTGTCATGTACCTCAATGTGTGATGTGGCTGAATGTGTGTTATCGTACCTCAATGTGTGATGTGGCTGAATGTGTGTCATGTACCTCAATGTTTGATGTGGCTGAATGTGTGTCATCGTACCTCAGTATGTGATGTGGCTGAATGAGTGTCATCGTACCTCAATGTGTGATCTGGCTGAATGTGTGTCATCGTACCTCAATGTGTGATGGGGCTGAATGTGTCATCATACCTCAATGTGTGATGTGGCTGAATGTGTGTCATCGTACCTCAGTATGTGATGTGGCTGAATGAGTGTCATCGTACCTCAATGTGTGATGTGGCTGAATGTGTCATCATACCTCAATGTGTGATGTGGCTGAATGTGTGTCATGTACCTCAATGTGTGATGTGGCTGAATGTGTGGCATCGTACCTCAGTATGTGATGTGGCTGAATGTGTGTCATCGTACCTCAATGTGTGATGTGGCTGAATGTGTGTCATCGTACCTCAATGTGTGATGTGGCTGAATGTGTGGCATCGTACCTCAATGTGTGATGTGGCTGAATGTGTGTCATCGTACCTCAATGTGTGATGTGGCTGAATCTGTGTCATCGTACCTCAATGTGTGATGTGGCTGAATGTGTGTCATCGTACCTCAATGTGTGATGTGGCTGAATGTGAGTCATCGTACCTCAATGTGTGATGTGGCTGAATGTGTGTCATGTACCTCAATGTGTGTCATCGTACCTCAATGTGTGATGTGGCTGAATGTGTCATCGTACCTCAATGTGTGATGTGTCTGAATGTGAGTCATCGTACCTCAATGTGTGATGTGGCTGAATGTGTGTCATGTACCTCAATGTGTGTCATCGTACCTCAATGTGTGATGTGGCTGAATGTGTCATCGTACCTCAATGTGTGATGTGGCTGAATCTGTGTCATCGTACCTCAATGTGTGATGTGGCTGAATGTGTGTCATTTACCTCAAAGTGTGATCTGGCTGAATGTGTGTCATGTACCTCAATGTGTGATGTGGCTGAATGTGTTATCGTGCCTCAATGTGTGATCTGGCTGAATGTGTGTCATTTACCTCAAAGTGTGATCTGGCTGAATGTGTGTCATCGTACCTCAATGTGTGATGTGGCTGAATGTGTGTCATCGTACCTCAATGTGTGATGTGGCTGAATGTGTGTCATCGTACCTCAATGTGTGATGTGGCTGAATGTGTGTCATCGTACCTCAAAGTGTGATGTGGCTGAATGTGTGTCATCGTACCTCAAAGTGTGATCTGGCTGAATGTGTGTCATCGTACCTCAATGTGTGATGTGGCTGAATGTGTGTCATCGTACCTCAAAGTGTGATCTGGCTGAATGTGTGTCATCGTACCTCAATGTGTGATCTGGCTGAATGTGTGTCATCGTACCTCAATGTGTGATGTGGCTGAATGTGTGTCATCGTACCTCAATGTGTGATGTGGCTGAATGTGTGGCATCGTGCCTCAATGTGTGATGTGGCTGAATGTGTGTCATGTACCTCAAAGTGTGATGTGGCTGAATGAGTGTCATATACCTCAATGTGTGATGTGGCTGAATGTGTGTCATCGTACCTCAATGTGTGATGTGGCTGAATGTGTGTCATCGTACCTCAATGTGTGATCTGTCTGAATCTGTGTCATCGTACCTCAATGTGTGATGTGGCTGAATGTGTGTCATCGTACCTCAATGTGTGATGTGGCTGAATGTGTGTCATCATACCTCAATGTGTGATGTGGCTGAATGTGTGTCAGCATACCTGAAAGGTGTTCATCGATGTACTTGCTGTCAACCAGACTTGATTGTTTGCAAGTAACTGTGATATTGCTGACTTGTGTAAACTTTCAATCCCTCATCTTTTAGTCAATTCAAATGTCACTGTGGAGATTCACAAACACGCTGTTTATTGATCTTGATTCAAATACGGAATTAAAATCAATAACTCATCTCAAAGCCTCCATAAATCCAATAAGCTGCTCAAACGCACCCTCAAGCTTTGAATTAAAGAACGTGTCTGTTTTAGGAGGATTTTTACGTCAGGTCAACCGTCTCTGATGTCCCTGTTGATCTATGGAATGTGAACCTTGTGAACTCGTCATCCTTGTGTTTTTTGTTTCGATATCTTTAGAGAAGAAAAGTCTCTTTTTTCAAGGTCTTGAAGATTAAAGAAATGAAATTGATTTTTGATAAACTCTTCACATGTTCAAATAAATCACTGTGAGTTTTTGAAAATCACTTTTGCAAAACAGTGGAAGGTTTATAAACATGGGATTTTTTCAAAACAATTTGGTTTTCCTGAATGTTGAGTATAAGCAAATGAGTATTCACGAATGAGGTTAAGTCGGTGTGATACTGGCAGGGGTGGCCCAGCAGTGCTGTAACATGCTGTACTGAGTTTAAATTCTGCCCATTTATGATTTATAGTCTGTTAGCACCATACCTGTGCTGGCCTGTGTAGATCCGGGGTAGAGTAGGTCTTCAGCAACCCATGCTGGCTGTAAAAGGCAACTATGTTTGTCGTAAGAGGCGACTAACAGGATTGGATGGTCAGGCTCACTGACTTGGTTGATGCATGTCATCGTATCCCAATTGCATAGATCAATGCTCATGATGTCATTCACAAGATTGTCTGGTCCAGACTTACTAATTTACAGACTGCCATCATATAGCTGGAATATTGCTGAGTGTGGTGTTAAACAACAAACAAACAAACATACCTGTGCTCTTTGACTTCATTGAGGTGATAAACATCTGCAACGTGGATCACCATGGCATATAACTGAGATAAAGTGTCACCTAGTGTTAACTAACTGCAATGCTGACAAACTGATATTTTGCTCATAAAGTTGTAAAAATTCCTTCCTAACACCAGCTTTACCTAAGCATGTGGATCTCTGTTCATAAGATGACAACATCCAACTTTAAGTGAGAAATGTCACGATCTGTCACGTTGATGTGGTGATGTTGTACCACAAGTAATCTGGGATCAACCCCTCTGAGCTGTTGAGTGCCCAGTTATAAATGGGGTGACGTCAACGTGGAGCTGGATCAATCCCTGGTGTTGAGTTACAGCGACGTCACAGCTAATACAGTCACGCTTGTGATGGGAGGATTGGTGTTGCTCATCCCTCAAGCCTGTTGATTGATGGGGCAGCGCTACTGAACAGGCCCAACTCTATTTGTCGGACCCCTCATAGGATGGGGGTCTTTGGCAACGCAACTGAACAGGCCCAACTCTATTTGTCGGACCCCTCATGGGATGGGGGTCTGTGGCAGCGTGACTGAATAGGCCCAACTCTATTTGTCTGACCCCTCATGGGATGGGGGTCTGTGACAGCGTGACTGAATAGGTTCAACTCTATTTGTCTGACCCCTCATGGAATGGGGTTGATGTGGCAACGCAACTGAACAGACCCAACTCTCTTTGTCTGACCCCTCAGGGGATGGGGTTGATGTGGCAGCGTGACTGAATAGGCTCAACAGTATGGTGTAATATGGTTGGGTTAGCAATCTTATTCGCTATGCAAAATTGCCTCCCTTGGCTTAGCCAGGATCTGATGGTAGAGGTTAGAATTTCAGGTTCACTGAAGTTATGCACCTTACCCTTGCATTTACAGGGTTTTCTCTCAGACCAAACAATGAGCCAACCTGGAAAAATCATTTCTTTCCAAAATGGGATTTTGTTTCCTCCCAATTTGAGAAAATATGAACTGTATTTTAACATTGTAAAACTAAGCATGAATGGTTTTTCAGTCCTCTTTCCTATCCTGTTATCGTTGGATATTCTTGGTTGTAACTATAACTACAATGTACATGAATTTGGAAATTTGTCACACACACACACACACACACACACAAACACACAGTATCCCTGCTCACACCTTTGTCCCCGATGGTTTCCATATATATTGTTTATCTATCCATTCCTTCTCTTTATCTCTACCCAATTCTTTTTTTTCTATGCTTGTCGTAAGAGGCGAACAATGGGATCAGGTGGTCAGACTTGCTGACTTGGTTGATGCATGTCATCGATCCCAACTGTATGGATCGATGCTCATGATATAAATCACTGGATTGTCTGGTCCAGACTCGATTGTTTACAGACACCCGTCATATAGCTGCATTAAACAACAAACCAACCTTCCTTCACTCCCCTTCTCCCATCTTCCATTTTATCAGCCTCTTTCGTTCTTTGTTTCAACCTTTTTTATCCTCACCGGACTTCCCTTCTCTCTATCCATGTCTCCTGTGTATATTTCCCCTATTCTTTTATCCCTCCCATTGTATGCTTTTCCCCTACTACTTATCTCCCTTTCTCTCTATCTCTTCTCTTCCTTTCCACTATCCATCGGGGGCACGGGTGGCCCAGCCGTCTAAGGCGCCGCTCTTCGCTGTGCAGAGTTGCGTCCCTTGGGCACGCCAGGAACCTATGATTGTGGGTTCGAATTCCGGTTCGCCCCGATTATGTTTCTAGGTTTGTCAGCACCATACCCATGCTTGTGGGTTTCACCGAAGTGGTAAACGTCTGAGACCTGCATCACTTCGGGCTTTCCTCCCACATTAAGCCGACACGCTGTAATATAACTGGAATATTGTTAAAAGCGGCGTTAAACCCAATTCACTCACTCACTCTATCCATCTTTCCCCTTTTCTCTATCTCACTTCTCTCTCCATTTGTCTTCTGTATTCCTCTCTATCCCTCTCACATTCTTTCTATCTATCTCTCCCTTCCTTTATGCCTCTCTGCCATTCTGTTCCATTTCCCATTGTTGTGTCCATCATCCATTGGGCCACATTGCAATCTTCCATGCTGTCACCACATAGCACACCAACTCACCGCCATCATGCATCCACTCCCAATCAAATCAACCCTGTTATGAGGGGAGTAAGTCACCATCACACACACAAAGAAGTAGACAGCAATACGGGATCTTATTAGATTGCTAATTATATTACTAAGTTGACGATGTCAGTGTCTCTGCCATGTGCAGATAAATGATGTGATTTAGAGAGGGCAGTTTCTATAATAGTCTGCCAACAGTGATAAATACTTGATAACTGTGATTAGTCTGTCAGTGAATGGCAGTAGAACATAAGATTATCATATTAGCAGATGTATTTATTAGTTTGTTTAGAGGATGCTGAAGAATGGACAAATACCTGAGCACAACATTTGCTTGTGTGGTCCCTGAGGCCAAACCAGTTTATATACTACACAAAAGAAGTTAAGGACAACCTGATTCTTTCTTATTGCTCGTGGGTTTCACCAAAGCGGTAAACCTGCATCACTAGGGCTTTCCTCCCACATTACGCTGACCTGCCATGATTTGACTGGAATACTGTTCATGTTCAAACTCACTCACTCACAAATGACAAAATCGGGTGTTCTATTACTTCTTTTGTGTAGTAAAATTAGGTCATGTGTTCCTGTGGCTCGTCCAGCCTCATCGTTTGGCTTAATGGATATCTTAATGCAGAACAAAACAGTACTCTGAATGTACTGACTCTCTTAAATGTCTCATGGAACATTTCATGTTTTTTTCCCCAAAATATCTTTGCAGTTTATTGATCTGTGTGTTCCTACAATTGAATGTTAAATGTTACAGATATTAACGAGTGTATTGAGAAGCAGATCAACTGTGGGTTTGAAAAGATGTGCTTCAACACTCGCGGCTCCCACTCCTGCATCGAAATTCCCTGCCCAGTGGACTACGCCCGCGACCCTACCACACAGTATGTAGTCAGTCACCACCATCACACAGTCACAAACACCTCCACCATCACTTGTCCACATTTTATTTACACAAGTAGCTTTCAACATTAGATAATTTTAAAGATATTATAAAACTGAGAAAACATGAAAAAAAACTGTTTTCTTCCAAAAGAATTTATCCTTGGACCATTATTAAAAACAAATCAATAAAAAGGTTGCCATATCTGGATGTGTACAAGTGAACACTAACTTTGGTTTGTACCAGCATCCTTCACATCATCACGAGTTTTGTGGAAGACATCCATTAACCGTGTGGGTACCCTCGTTGTGGGTTTCCCTGATTCAGTGTTATGATGATCCTTCGCCAGCAGAAGCAAACCTGTGTCATGGTTTGCCTGTCCCTTGATGTAGCTGTGATGGCAATGGCACAAAACAAATCATTGGAAGTAATTATTCGCTTTGATTGGAATTCATTGTTTTTCGATCTCCTCGTTTGACCTCATCTGAACAAGTTTTCAGGGACGGTGACATAGCCAAGTTGAAGTGTTGGCTCATCAAGCCAAAGACCTTGGTTTGGTTCCCCAAATGGGCATTATGTCTGGTGTCCACCTGTCTGGATATGTGAAAATATTGCAATATATACTCTCACTCACCGCTTTCAAGGGGGCACGAGTGGCCCAGTCGTCTGAGGCGCCGTGATTCACTGAGCAGAGTTGCATCCCTTTGGCACGCCAGAAACCTATGCTTGTGGGTTCGAATCCCGCTTTGCCCCTATCATGTTTCTAAGTTTGTCAGCACCATACCCATGCTTGTGGGTTTCACGGAAGTGGTAAACGTGCTGAGACCTGCATCACTTCAGGCTTTCCTCCCACCTTAAGCTGACATGCTGTGATATAACTGGAATACTGTTAAAAGCGATGATAAACCCAATTCACTCACTCACTCACTGCTTTTAATGTCTGTACAGGTTCTGTGTCCTGGAGTGTGTGAACCCCAACATCCCCTGCCCTCCCGGAGCGAAGTACGCAGACGTCATCCAGTTCCGCACACTCTCCCTCCCCAGTGGCAACATAGCACAGGATCTCATCCGACTGACGGCTTACAATCAGAACGACGAAATCCTTATTCAGACTACTTTCAAGATTCTTGACAACGATCCCAAAATTGAGTTTAAGATTCGACTAGAGAACGGTAAAGGTGTCGTGTTCACCAAGAAACCATTACAAGACAATCAGGTGTATCGTATCAAAGTGCGGGCAAAGTCATATGATAATCGGAGGATTCATATACAATATCAAACCACCTTCATTATACACATATCGGTCTCTGCATGGCCGTATTAATTTTCAACATTTGTTTTCAGAATGTTCCATTATGAGTTTTTTCGTAAATTCCTCAAACTATGAAGAATTTCCAGTTATTTCATGTGCCTTGTGGGTTTATACATGGGGAAAGTATTAGAATTGTAAATGTCATATTTGTATGAACTTTTAAATGCTCACATATCTTCAACATGAAATTTTAGGCCAGATGAATTTATTTTCTTGTCTATTTGAAAATATTAACAGATTTTTGTTTAAACTATGATGATTTTGTTTCAGGAAATTAACCAGATATCATTTCTTTTTTGTGTGTAATTTTGCATATTGACCCAGATATTTGGCATAATAGGAACAAAACTGATGTCGTTCTTGATTATATCTGTCATTTTGCATGTTTATCGAGGGCAAAGTGATCGTCTTTCAACACTGGACTTTTGATATCTTTGATACTGTTACTACCGGTATATACTGATGGAAGTAAGGTCACATGGAGGTGTTTTCAGATGAACAGAATAAGCAGCACGGATGAGATGATGAGACCAGTGTATTGCGTATTGCGTACACGACCTGTGTGCCAAGTCCAAGTACCTATTGTGGGATCACCCCCCAGCATGCATGGTGCCCACTTTCACAAATGCATCCCTGAGCACCCCAGCAACTACCAATATATTGTCAAGTGATATCAGGTCAGCCTCAGGGGAGATGCTTGAAGTTATCTCCCTTATTATGGTTACACAAGGTTATCTCCCTTTAAACATGTGCCCCTATTTCTGTTCATCAGTATATTTGTAACGATGTAAACATACAGGGTTACCAAGATGCCTTTTTTTTTAAAAATGAATGGTGCTCTGGGTATTAAGTTTTCATGTAAAAACTTAAACCTGATTGTGAACAAATTGTTTCTTTGTAACCCTATTTCAGTTGTTTTAAAATCATAATCGTTGGCAAAATTTTAATTTTAATTCTAATCATTTCTTCAATAAATTTTAAGCAGAAACCTTTCCTGATATATGTATTTTGATTTCTTTTTTAATGTCTGTTCATGGTATATGTATAAGATATAAGGTTGGTACATAGTGAATATAATAAATACTTGTCTTAGGCTGTTGAATATGTCTAAAACAAAATGATCATACTATTTAGCAGTGTTCCTCCATTTTGTGGCATGTTTCAGGTCTTTTCTCATTGCATATCATGTAGCTTGTAGCCCTCAATACAAACATTGTTAAACATGAGAGATTATCATTTCCCCTCAAAGGGACCGACCATATAAACATGATCCACCTGGAACCTCAAATGGTTGATCCCTAATGCTGTTTTTTTTTTTTTTATAAACACGAGTTGGAAACTGATCATCTCTTCTTTGACAATAATATTTTTAAAAAAGCAAAAACAAATGAACTTGTAAATTTTATTGAATTCAAAATGCATTAAAAGATGGCCATGGTATTTGCTACTGCCTGTAGCATACACGAGTATGTCAGATTGTGCACTAGACCAGCTTGTATTGCTTTCATACAAAGTCTCACAATGTAGCGAAGGTAATGACATTGCATATTGAGCATATATAGTACCCTCTTCTATACATGAAATGTATATTCTTGAATAAATAAAGACTTTTGTAGAATTTCAAATGAGTATGTTGAGATAACCCTGATATTTGAGCAGAAGATAGTTTGAGTAGAATCATAACACCTGGAAATAATTAAGCACCACATACAGGATACAATTTACTTTTGAGGAAACACAATTTTCTTTAGAAATATTGAAATTAAGTCATGTAGTTTTTCAATTGCTGTGTGTGTTCTTGTGACAATCTTCCATCAAAACGAGGTGCTAAACTTTCCAGGTGTATGAATGATGAAGCTAACGTAAAGGGGTTCAATCTTCAGTTGCACAACTATGATTAAGCACAGAAGTAACACAGTATTATGTACCTCGGTGTCAAAGCTCTCCTTACAGTAACAACACCTTGTTTGTCAACAAACTGACTGGACCAGGTACTCCCAAGCCTGAAGTGGACGCTGAAGCAAGTGCACTCTCAGACTATTATGGTGAATATTGTACATAAACGCCCGGGGCCACTTATTAAAAGCATACTTGAGTTAAATTTGTTGTCAGAGATCAAGTAGAAGGAAACATACCTTGTCTAAATGTCCATGAAACAATAAAACATGTAAATTTTCAATCTTGGTAGAGGGGTTAGTGGTGCAGGGCGCTAAATAATAGAGAATATGGTATGTAGTACTCTTTTGCTCACTGAACCAGATATCCCATGGGGATAAAAATAAATTGGTTAAAATGTACAGACACCTCAAAGTGAATTTAGACAAAATAATATTGCACAAGTACAAACATAGAATTCTTCCTGTTGACTCAACTGTGTTACTGGGACTCCACAAAACAACTGATATGATATTACAAGACCATGAGCACATTTGGCTTCTCAGTAATACCCAGGAGATGAATAAAGAGGGAGGGTTACTGTGATGGGATCTAAACAAATTAGTAGTACATAATTAGGAGAAGAAAAAAGAAGTCTTGGTTTTCAGGCACCGCCCGCATCATCATAAAGTCTGCCTCCCTTTATTTGTTTTATTTTTAAATTGAAATAAATAAGAATCTTTAACTATTCCGTGGACACAAATTATTTCTGTACCAAACTGGCCTTCCCAGGGAGGGTCATGAACACAAAGAGCAATGACGTTCTGAAGTTTACCTGCATCTTTCCCACTGCACTTGTTAGGGAAAAGAACCCGGAGCTCCAGCAGTTCAACCACTAAGTAAGAATATCAACGGAAACTTCTCAATGCATCTCATCCCTACACAGACAGATCCAGGTAGAGAATAGATCTTCGGCAACCCATGCATGCCATAAAAGGTGGTCAGACTTGCTGACTTGGTTGATGCATGATGTCAATCCCTGGATAGTCTCATACAGCTTGAATATTGCCGAGTGCAGCGTTAAATTCAGGTTGCTTGGTTGCTTGGTTGCAAATTTCAAATCTATTTTTTATTTCCTTAAAATTTTAAGTAGGTCAGGGAAACATGAAGGTGGGAGTTTTAAAGATAAATTTTCAACAGGTTTAAAAAAACAGATAAACAGTAAATATTTTACTTATTTATGGTCGGCAGAATAAAAACAACAACATTTTATTCATTTATTTTTTCTTTAAACATTTTTAAGTTTTGGAGATGGCAGAATCGTAAACCAAGAAATTCGGGCCTAAACTGTCAAATGTTCAATCATGTCAAGATGAAATCAGTTCACTGATTTTTTTCACACATAACTATTGAAGTGTCTTTTATTACAAAAGTCGTGTCATCTGTCACATGGACTTGATGACACATAAGGAAATACAAACAGAATTATTTATTTTATTTAACCCCTCCTCTGGATCCGCCTATGGTATAATAGAGTAATGTGGGAGAAAAAGATCAACATTGAGCAGATTATTGATGCTTACCACTTTAATGAAACTCACCAGTATGAACGGCTAAGTGCTCACAGACCAATGCTCATCATCAGGGCAAAGCTAAGGGACGCAACTCAGAAGAGGGAATTGTGATGCCTTCCATCATATGGTCTCTCAGTGAAGAGGTTACAATTGAATGAGTGAGTATGGTTTTACGCCGCTTTTAGCAATATTTCAGCAATATCACGGCGGGGGACACCAGAAATGGGCTTCACACTTTGTACCCATGTCGGGAATTGAACCCGGGTCTTTGGCGTGACGAGCGAACGCTTTAACCACTAGGCTACCCGATCGCCCCAAAGAGGATACAAATAGATGAAGGTGAAGTGTGATACAGCATAAAGAAAAGCAAAGGGTTAATCTTAAAACTCAAACAGAACTTGCTTTGATATGCTTGAAGGAGAACAGTTAACAAATAAATAAGTAAACAAGCCTTGGGTCAATAACAGCATGGAAAGGGTTAACAATATCTGTGTCATGATCAGCCTCACAGGGGTTAACAGATATCAAGAGACTTTCATGTAATTAATTCTCTGAAAACAAACATATAGGAAACATACAACAACAAACAGGACAATAAAATATCTGAATCACCAACAAAAACAACAAACAACATTTATTACCGGATTTCACTCTTGGGACATTTGCAGTCTTCCTTAATATCAAACTATATTGAAATGCTCAAAACAAACAATCTTAAAGATACCATTTCCATGTAATTCTCTGATTATCCTGATCCTACTAAATCTAGGCATGGTAAAATATGATCCTAGCAAATAACCCATGACATTAAAACGACTCCAATTTTCGCATTACCTGCTCAAAGAAACTGTTGACATTTCAAAATCTTACATCCATTATATTTGGCTCACGACTGACATAAATATTCAATGAATACATTGCATTTTCATAGCGTTTCAGCCTCGTTTCCAACACATGCCAGCCATCAGTATTGGTATTTATAACATACAAGTGTACAACAATGTTGCCAGCAAGTAGATGGGGTTACACATTAACACTATTTTTTGTCACAGGTGTTCATATCAGTGCAACACCTATCTTACAATAGAAGCTGCACATGCACAGGTATTCATTCAGATGAAACGAAAGTTTATTCTTCTCTGCCAGTGTGTAAAATAGTTACTGACCTTGATGTTCAAGATAGATGGACACTCGAGAAGGTGCATTGTACATCCGTGAAGATCCGGGGTAGAATAGGTCTTCAGCAACCCATGCTTGCTGTAAAAGGTGACTGCTTGTCGTAGGAGGCAACTAACTGTCGGTTGGTCAGGCTCGCCGACTTGGTTGATGCATGTCATCGTATCCCAATTGCATGGATCGATCCTCATGATGTCAATCACTGGATTGTCTAGTCCAGACTCCAATTACAGACCTCCGTCATGTAGCTGGAATATTGCTGAGTGCGGCGTTTAACAACAAACCAAAAAACGTACACGAGTGATCATCTTACTTGAACCTCTCAGTCTCGGTTAGTAACTGTTACATGTTACCTGGAAAAGGTACAATAAATCTCCGTATATCAGCTCTGCTGGCAGAATACAGTGACACCTTGGCAATTCAAACCTTCACGACTCCGCTTGAGAGAACATGTTTCTGTTTTTCTGCTGTCCTGCCTATTCTTGATCCTTTCACCATTGCCGACATAGTAAGAATATCATGATCCATAACAGGCCACCATGACACGGTGCCAAACTGAAGGTATTCTGCAACTCCGACATTTGTAGATCTTAAGGGTTATTTCACATATCACCTAACATTTCCCCAGATTAACATGAGCTAACTGCTGTGTGCACTCAGCTCACCTCAATCCATAGATCATCTCTACCAGCATTTGGAGGATTCACTAGTTCCACCACTTCAAGTGACTATAACATTACACAACACAATGAGATAGCTGTCAGGACCATTAATATAGATTTTTTTCATAAACCTGATTTCTAGTCACCATTAAGAAAAGCTTTTATCAAAATCCACCAACATGCCGTATAAATATGCAGAAGGGTCGGTCAGTTTACTATCTGGGATGAAATCATGCGATAACGCTGCCCTTTTGCTGCCTACATTATATATGAAGGAAGCAGAATTTGCCGACTTAATGTGAAAGATTTTATGTACAGAGTTCCTTCCAGTGTTATTCCATTCCTACAGGGTGTAGAACAGGTGTCATGAGCTGCCATGGAATATGACAGCTTTATGACATGCATAGACTATAAACACATTTATTTCCGGTGTATTCCCACATACCACTATGCAGCATACTAATGGAGTTATCAAGGTATCAATACCAATATTCAATATCACTTGTTCCAGCAGACTAATGCAATAATATATCCAGCATATTAATTTATCATATTATGCAAAAGAGTGAAAAACTATTTTTTGGCACAAGTTCCTTATGTTGATTTTATCATTTTTTTAAAAACCCTAAACGACACATCCCAACATTAGAAAACCAAAGCATGTCGTGACATTACTTGATCAGACAGAAATAATATATATATATATGTGTAAATAAGTAAGGGAACATAGAACAATTGCAAATATTGCTTCACTTCAACTATAAAGAATTTTGTGTTCACTGCACTAAATCTGATTATTTTCAGGGTACGAAATGTAATTCCTCTACAGCATATATATTACTTTGATATTTGGTCAAAATTGATACTGAACTGAAATGCAAATTAAAAAAATCAACCTTTCATTTCAAATAATTATCACATTACTACGGACTGTTATGCTACAAAGAGAACATATATCTCTTTCTCATACAATAAAATATGCTGTACAGTGCAAGTTGATGACTTTTGACTGTTGGTTATTTTGTCACATAACTCCTTTGGTTCTCGGTAGGGTGATATAAAACAACTATATCATACAAACATATTTTAGCACATGAGCAGAACACCACACCAGATTTTTCTGGTCAGTCCAGTCTGCAAGTTTAACATGCATTTAATATTGGCAAAATCATAAGTCAAGCACCATATAAACAAGGCCATAGCCATTTTCTGATACTGTAAAGAAAAAAAAAAAAAAAAAATTGTTTTTGATAATATGCTTATTTTTCTTTTGTATTTTGTTTCAACTTGTATTTCAAACTTTTAGGAGTAATAGACATTTTGTCTACCTCCTTGGCTGGAAAATACACTGATCTTATGATATGTTCTCTCTAACCATCTGCTTATGTTAATACTGCAGGGTGAGACTAGGGGGGTGATGGTACTCGTACTTGAGCCAGGGGAGATAACTCACATCTTCACTTCACTAACGTGTGTTTCCGACATGGAAGAGAAACAATACACTGTCTGCAGACATTATTTTATTTTTTAAATGTTGATTGTGTGGCATATCACCTTTAAAATCGGGTACTTAGGTCCAGGTCGAGCCTTGAGACACAGGTACTTTAATGAGGTGATGTGCCGGTACATTGATCCCCAACAAACCTTGAACACAAAGTCTAAATTGTACTATGCTTACTCAGTCAGATTTTCAGTCAAGGAGTCTAAAAGGTTCCATCCATATATCTAATGGCCTCAGTTTCCCTCAATAAATTGGGGATGTAAGACAAGTGACATGCAAGAGAAATTATCAACATGCACAGCTATCCTATGTTGCTTGTGTGAACGGACATATACAAATATCTGACGTACTAAGAGGTATCCAACAGGTTCTCCCAACAAGAAGCTAATATCATGGGAGTGACCTCCCCTTGTGGCAGTCGTTGATGACTAATATGATACATGAAGATGGAGCAAGTAGAAATGGACTGACACTCAACCAATGAAGACCTTGCTATCTAGCATATTTTACTAACAGTTAATTTGTTTTTAAATTTCACCCATCAATGACTACAGTGTGCACTCATTATTTTACTTAATACTTGCAATAAAATTTTTAAATATCTCTGATGTTATTAATGCACTTAATTTCAGGATTGAAAACTTTTTGATTAGGTAACAATGTAGCAATTTACATCCAAATGCCCAACAATTTATAAATCTAAAGTGTGTTGATAAATAAATACCTTATTCAAAGAAAATCAACTGGGGCAGGGTTAATTAACTCATGTTGACAAGTTTACTACCATTTAACAACCAATCAATCACTTATTTATCCGATTTGCCACAATCAGCATGCATCTGTGCGTTGGGTGGGGAGGTGCATGTCTGTGTGATGTGGCAGTGGGTGTGGGGACTGGGGGTGTCACGATTGTACTTCAAGCTTTTGTCTATTCACTGACACCTTTGTACATATCTAACCAAAATGTTTATTTTTTAAAAGTAATTCCTCAATAAGTAAAAATATTTTGTCATAAACTAACTTATAATATTTCATGGTGAAAAACACCTCCAAACAAATAACCCTTAGGAAGATTAATAAGCTACAAATCTATATCCAATGACCCTAAGTGACTACATGTACTAGTCTTTTCATGCCCACTCCAAAACAAGCAAAAATCAGCCATGATACATATTTTGGTACTTTTATCAGAAACATTGCATATGTCATGTGTGCTTGTTTGTTTATTGCTTAAAGCTGCACTCACTAATATTCCAGTTAAATTATGGTGTCCTATCTTCTGAACTTGTTTCATCAATATAAAAATTAAGTTTCCAGTTTTTTAAAAAAAATAAAAAATTAATAATATATTTGTTATTGCCTTGTCATTCTTACTCTTAATATTCAAATAGTATTAAGTTATTATAAAACATTTCCAAAGGTTAATAAACTGGAGAAGACAAAGATGATCACTGTTTACTTACCAATTTACCAACTGTACCAATTTACACAAGCACCCACGCTGGTCAGGAACAAAGTTTACAGTCAACAATAAATACTAAGAAAAGCAAACACAGAATTATGAGTGATGTCTCACAACAGACTGTAAGAACACAATAGACTTGGAATGTGGTACTACATGAAATACCAGAACTGCATTCTATACATGTTTTGATTAAGCCCTTTTACACATAGCGTAAACACCATTTTGGCTGATGCAAACTGTGTCTAAATCAAAGGAAAGCACGGCAGCGTCTTCTGTCTAAGACTACAAGACCGTTCTACAAAGTATATCCTTGCAGAACTATTCCTCCTCTATTGAATTAAAGGATAATAAACAAATGTACTGATTTAATATCACAGGAACAGTGGCCTCAAATCTTAGATGGACACTAGTACAGTTGTATCCATCCGTAATCCTGAGAAATCTTGATGAAGATCTTGCAGCACATATAAGCCTATGCTTCCATCCTGTTGAGTGAGTGTGTTTTCAAGGAACAAAAACACGTGAAGGGACACTGTCCATGGAAACACAAGAAGAGACTGAGCATATGGTGCAGAACCACACTTGTCGAGGAGATGCAACAGTGTAACACAGCTGTAACATTGTTGTACCATGGCTGTCAAACAGTATCTGATGTAACAATGTTGTACCACTACTGTAACATTGTTGTACCATGGCTGTCAAACAGTATCTGATGTAACAATGTTGTACCACTACTGTAACATTGTTGTACCATGGCTGTCAAACAGTATCTGATGTAACAATGTTGCTTGTGGGATAGCTGGCAGGATGGGAGAGTCCATTTCTCAATGAAAGGGGTGGAAGGTAGAGGTCAGTCTTCGGAGGATTCCTCAACATCGTAATCTCTTCCCTGCGGACAGAAATTTGTCAGTTGGTAATGTTGAAATCTTGTTAATGAGTGAATGAATCAAGATAAATGAAACTTTGAATGGGATTTCAGTCATGGTGTGATGATTGGTTGGTTGGTTGGTTGGTTTGTTGTTTAACGCTGCACTCAGCAATATTCCAGCTATATGACGGGGGTCTGTAAATAATCGAGTCTGGACCAGACAATCCAGTGATTGATATCATGAGCATCGATCCACGCAATTGGGATCGATGGCATGTATCAACCAAGTCAGCGAGCCTGACCACCCGATCCCATAGTCGCCTTTTACGACAAGCATAGTCGCCTTTTACGGCAAGCATGGGTTGCTGAAGACCTATTCTACCCTGGAATCTTCACGGGTCCATGGTGTGATGACTTTATGTGAGCAGAAAGACCAAGAAAATGTAGAACGTTCACCACTTTGGTGAAACTCACAACAGTATATAGCTTGGAAATCAAGGATCATAATCAGGGATTGCGAATCCTGGCACAACTAATGCGAATAACTCTACACAAAATTTGCTGTGTCTAAGGCCACTTTGAATAGAAATATGCTTAATAATTCAGACCAATTTTTCCTGAAAAAAATGGATGTCTCTGCAATGAGGTTGCCAGTCAGCACATTCTACCACAAAGCTGCCAGGGCAGAATTTACACAAATGTAATGAATATTGAATGTCCTGTGATTTTAGATCCATGGCAACTTAAATATAATCGGTAAGACAAAGCTAAGAAGGTTTGTACACAGAAGTCATCAGGTACTTACTTGTTCTATTTTTTCATCCAGCATTTTGAAAAATTCTATTTGACTAGTTGTAAGATTTCTGAAAAAATAAGACAAAGATGATAAAGACATGATAATGTCCACAAATGAACTAGGTTTACCGTATTTACCATAATTAGCACACTGCTACTATAAACACCATCTGCCCAACTTACAAACTAATCTGTCAGTAATCTTTGAAATCGCCTATGTTAAGACCGAAAATTACATGACAGTCCATTTTTTCATGTGCAAACGGCACATTATTTACTGAAAACTGCATCTCAGAAGGAATACAAAAATGTTCTAGTGACATCAATTTTTTTACTAATTTTGTTCACTAAAACAAATTTAACTTGTGTATGGTGCTAAGTGCTCCACATTAAGGCACTTTTTATGGCAAATACGGTATACAGAATTTGGACAAAATAGTGATGTTGAATGGAAGTTACAGTGATGATATGAAACTCTCCACACAATGCACAAATGCCAACCTATTTGTGAATACGTTAAGAAAGAATTTAAATGACATTAAACTTAATAATTGCTCTGAAATTAGAAGTAGCAATTTGTGAAACATTTAAAATATTGCAAACATTTTCCGAAAAGTTGTCCCCTTGGATCTGCTTCTGCCAATCAGACTATCTTGTGGACATTCAATCTTGTGGATATTCTATCAGCTGAGGTGAAATGAGGTTTAACTTTGCATTTAATATCATTGCACTTACATATAGAGACGTTCATGCATGCATGTGGGTTTGTGTGGCTGCTTGTACTAGTCCAGACTTATGTCATTTCGTTAGTTAGCCCACTGAGACACCATGCCGCAGTTTTACTTGGTTACCCCACTCGGACACATATACCGACTCTGAGTGACCACTCCTTGTTTTAGCCCCTTAGTGCCAAGTACCAGGCAGGGTAACAACAAGTATTGATCAAACAACAGACCTTGCTCTCCAGGCTCTCCTGTGTTATCCACGACACCACAGAGGCAGTGTCTACTGTGTTGGACATGGTTCTACATACATAGCTAAGGCTACATGGACATCAAACCTAACAAACAACAACAGGATACCAAATGATATCAAGATACAAGGCCAGTATCATGTGTACACAACAATATACTGATGGAAATGAATGAAGGAACACTTGGTTTTAGACACAGTAAAATGACATGCTGTCATGGGCTCCCAGCCTTGTCTACCAAATACGCATTGGAAACAATGCACACAAACACATCTCAACATTCTATTCTGACGTGTTAAATTTGTATGCGTGTTATTTGAAATGTACTGACAGCAAAGCTTATTTCCCTATAGTTTTCATTGATCCCTTATTCGTTTCCATGAGTACACTGCCAAAATTTCAGTTGAAAAAGAAAAGAAAAGAAATTGAGAAGTCAATCCTGTCTTCAATGTCACCTGACTGTTATTAAAACTGACTTACAGCTGCTTAATTATCTCCATCAAATGTATCAACGATCTGCATCCAATGTAACAACAATCTGCATCCAATGTAACAACGATCTCCATCAAATTAACAACGATCTCCATCCAATGTAACAATGATCTGCATCAAATGTAACAATGATCTCCATCAAATGTAACAACAATCTCCATAAAATTAACGATCTCCATCCAATGTAACAATGATCTGCATCCAATGTAACAATGATCTCCATCAAATTAACAAAGATCTCCATCCAATGTAACAATGATCTCCATCAAATTAACAACGATCTCCACCAAATGTAACAATCTCCATAAAATTAACGATCTCCATCCAATGTAAGAACGATCTCCATCAAATTAACAACAATCTCCATCCAATGATCAGCATAAAAAAATGTAACAATGATCTCCATCAAATTAACAACAATCTCCATCCAATGATCAGCATAAAAAAATGTAACAATGATCTCCATCAAATTAACAACAATCTCCATCAAATGTAACAACAGTCTCCATAAAATTAGCGATCTCCATCCAATGTAAGAACGATCTCCATCAAATAAGCAATGATCATCCAATGTAACAACGATCTCCATCCATTGTAACAATGATCTCCATCCATTGTAACAATGATCTCCATCCAATGTAACAATGATCTCAGTCCATTGTAACAATGATCTCCATCCAATGTAACAATGATCTCCAACAAATTAACAACAATCTCCATCCAATGTAACGATCTCCATCCAACGTAACAATCTCCATCCAATGTAACAACGATCATCCAATGTAACAACGATCTCCATCCAATGTAACAACGATCTCCATCCAATGTAACAATCTCCATCCAATGTAACAATCTGCATCAAACGTAACAACGATCTCCATCCAACGTAACAACGATCTCCATCCAATGTAACAACGATCTCCAACCAATGTAACAATCTCCATCCAATGTAATAATCTGCATCAAACGTAACAACGATCTCCATCCAATGTAACAACGATCATCCAATGTAACAACGATCTCCATCCAATGTAACAATGATCTCCATCCAATGTAACAACAATCTCCATCCAATGTAACAATCTCCATCCAATGTAACAACAATCTCCATCCAATGTAACAACGATCTCCATCCAATGTAACAATCTCCATCCAATGTATCAACGATCTCCATCCATTGTAACAATCTCCACCCAATGTAACAACGATCTCCATCCAATATAACAACGATCTCCATCAAACGTAACAACGATCTCCATCCATTGTAATAACGATCTCCATCCATTGTAACAACGATCTCCATCAAATGTAACAATCTGCATCAAATGTAACAACGATCTCCATCAAATTAACAACAATCTCCATCCAATGTAACGATCTCCATCCAATGTAACAACAATCATCCAATGTAACAACGATCATCCAATGTAACAACGATCTCCATCCAATGTAACAACGATCTCCATCCAATGTAACAAAATTCCATCCAATGTAACAATCTCCATCCAATGTATCAGTCTCCATCCAATGTAACAACGATCTCCATCCAATGTAACAACAATCTCCATCCAATGTAACAACAATCTCCATCAAACGAAACAACAATCTCCATCCAATGTAACAACGATCTCCATCCAATGTAACAATCTGCATCAAACGTAACAACGATCTCCATCCAATGTAACAACGATCTCCATCCAATGTAACAATGATCTCCATCCATTGTAACAATGATCTCCATCCAATGTAACAATGATCTCCATCAAATGTAACAATCTGCATCAAATGTAACAACTATCTCCATCAAATTCACAATGATCTCCATCCAATGTAACAACGATCTCCATCCAATTTTACAATCTGCATCAAATGTAACAACGATCTCTATCAAATTAACAAAAATCTCCATCCAATGTAACAACGATCTCCATCTAATGTAACAACGATCTCCATCCAATGTAACAATCTCCATCCAATGTAACAATCTGCATGAAACGTAACAACGATCTCCATCCAATGTAGCAATCTGCATCAAATGTAACAACGATCTCCATCCAATGTAACAATGTGCATCAACATCAAGAATGCTCTTCACAAAAGGCTCATCACCGATGTTTTCGTCTTCCCTAGGCTGCAACAAAGGACAACTTACTGCACATTTTGAGGATTGCCCGGTGCCGGCCTGTCCTTAAAGGATGTTCGTGTTCGACTCTCCTACAACAAACCAAAGTAATGCTTCATTTCTTGCAGAGCTTGTTCACCTACATCAACAGTTTACAGCATTTTATCTTTCCCTCACATCACTGTTAGTTCAGCTGGTTCCAGTTTATAAGATATGTTCTGGTTCAAGTTCATCAGAAATGTTCTGGTTCAAGTTCATCAGAAATGTTCTGGTTCAAGTTTATTATATGTCTGGTTCAAGTTCATCAGATATGTTCTGGTTCAAGTTTATTAGAAACAAATTCTTGTTTAAAATGTACCATCAAATACTACGCCAGACAGCTTCAGGGGAACAAAAAGGAGATAACAGACTTCTCAGTGTGAATGTAAATTTAGCAATAATAAAGTAACTAGGCATTACCAGTTACTGTATGTTGACCTCACAGTCGAGCTACAAACTGTAAATGCAGAGGTGGATGAAGCAGGTAGAAAAAGGGTGTGTGCACATAATACCCAAGTCAGAATAACTTGGCCTAGTGTGCAGTCAACATGCAAGATGTTGAGAAAAGGGAGCTGTGCACCCCTGCACCCCTCTGGATCCACCAGTGAACTGTGAATTGTGACCAAGTATATCTTACAGTCTTGAATTTTTATAATATCTGTATAGTAGTATGGACAAGACACACCAGCAGCAATGATTTTTGTATGTTTATTTGTTGTTAAACGCAGCACTCAGCAATGTTCCAGCTGTATGACAGCGGTCTGTAAATATTTGAGCCTGGACCAGACAGTCCAACGATTGACGTCATGAGTATCAATCCACACAATTGGGATACGATGACAAGTCAGCGAGCCTGACCACCCGATCCCGTTAGTCGCCTCGCACGACAAGCATGGGTTGCTGAAGACCTATTCTATCCCCGGATCTTCACGGGTCCTGCAGCAATGAACTCAGTCAGCCATTGTTACCACCGATCCCTTCTCACTTGACTTGATTTGAGAATATGTAGTTGTACACAACATAGACCTTAACTACACCAGTGAAACCTGTGAACAGTTAAGATGCTGACACACCAAGGATAAATGATTCTGTTACTGAGTGAGTGGGTCTGTTTAATGGCACTTAGAACCATATTTCAGTTATACCACAACATGTCCGCTTCATCAGGGAGGAAGGCCTAACATTTTGTTTTGGGTTAACAACAACAGACCATGCTCTCTTACCAAAAACTTGTCACTTTTATGACTGTCTTGCACATCTCTTGTATTGGAAACATTCACGGTTCCGTTATTTACAAAGTTTGTGTTTGCTGATTTGAGGGGGGATAATGTCAGCTTTTCTTCTTGTTTTCTCGCCGCCCTCTCTCTCTTGCTGCCTCCATTCTTGACTGTGTTCGTTCGAATAGGGTCCTCATTCTCCTTCTTGTCACCTGCAACAAAACACAAACATTGTGAAAATATAGTGAACACCTGAGTTAGGTCATATGTCTCTTTCAACAGTATTTCTTAGTGATTCAGCTTGCCAGGATCACCCAAGACACACTTTCCTACATACTGCCAGAATCAGAGCCATTAGAGGGTCTGCCATTAGGGGGTCTGCCGTTAGGGGGGCCCCTGCATGGCTAGGATCTGATATACTGGAAGCTTCACCTGTTCTCATTTGGATTTGCATGTGTTTCAAAGCAACAGTGTAAATATACTTCACAATTTTAGGTTGCCGACATTTCCGAAACAAGGACTGATGTCATGCAGATGAAGGATCATAATTTGAAAGATTTTGGATCTGAATTACAGCGGATCCTGGGACTGCTAACTGGGTCAACAAAACACCTTGTTCAGTGTATGACACGACCTGGAAAATAAGACACCTGTATCCACTGTTTGACAACCCTGAAAATATCATGACAAGATACATGTGTCCACTGTTTGAGACAATGCTGAAAACATTAGGACAAGACACCTGTGTCTACTGTTTGACACAACCCTGAAAATATCATGACAATATACATGTGTCCACTGTTTGACACAACCCTGAAAATATCATGACAAGACAACTGTGTCTACTGTTTGACACAACCCTGAAAATATCATGACAAGACACCTGTGTCTACTGTTTGACACAACCCTGAAAACATTAGGACAAGACACCTGTGTCTACTGTTTGACACAACCCTGAAAACATTAGGACAAGACACCTGTGTCTACTGTTTGAGACATCACTGAAAATATCATGACAAGACAACTGTGTCTACTGTTTAAAACAAACCCTGAAAATATCATGACAAGACAACTGTGTCTACTGTTTGACACAACCCTGAAAATATCATGACAAGACAACTGTGTCTACTGTTTGAGACATCACTGAAAATATCATGACAAGATACATGTGTCTACTGTTTGACACAACCCTGAAAATATCATGACAAGACACCTGTGTCTACTGTTTGAGACATCACTGAAAATATCATGACAAGACAACTGTGTCTACTGTTTAAAACAAACCCTGAAAATATCATGACAAGACAACTGTGTCTACTGTTTGACACAACCCTGAAAATATCATGACAAGACACCTGTGTCTACTGTTTGACACAACCCTGAAAATATCATGACAAGACAACTGTGTCCACTGTTTGACACAACCCTGAAAATATCATGACAAGTCACCTGTGTCTACTGTTTGACACTACCCTGAAAATATCATGACAAGATACATGTGTCTACTGTTTGACACAACCCTGAAAACATTAGGACAAGACACCTGTGTCTACTGTTTGACACAACCCTGAAAACATTAGGACAAGACACCTGTGTCTACTGTTTGACACAACCCTGAAAACATTAGGACAAGACACCTGTGTCTACTGTTTGAGACATCACTGAAAATATCATGACAAGACAACTGTGTCTACTGTTTAAAACAAACCCTGAAAATATCATGACAAGACAACTGTGTCTACTGTTTGACACAACCCTGAAAATATCATGACGAGATACATGTGTCTACTGTTTGACACAACCCTGAAAATATCATGACAAGACACCTGTGTCTACTGTTTGACACAACCCTGAAAATATCATGACAAGACACCTGTGTCCACTGTTTGGAACAACCCTGAAAATATCATGACAAGTCACCTGTGTCTACTGTTTGTCACAACCCTGAAAACATCATGACAAGATACATGTGTCTACTGTTTGACACAACCCTGAAAACATTAGGACAAGACAACTGTGTCTACTGTTTGACACAACCCTGAAAACATTAGGACAAGACACCTGTGTCTACTGTTTGACACAACCCTGAAAACATTAGGACAAGACAACTGTGTCTACTGTTTGACACAACCCTGAAAACATTAGGACAAGACACCTGTGTCTACTGTTTGAGACATCACTGAAAATATCATGACAAGACAACTGTGTCTACTGTTTAAAACAAACCCTGAAAATATCATGACAAGACAACTGTGTCTACTGTTTGACACAACCCTGAAAATATCATGACAAGACAACTGTGTCTACTGTTTGAGACAACCCTGAAAATATCATGACAAGATACATGTGTCCACTGTTTGACACAACCCTGAAAATATCATGACAAGATACATGTGTCTACTGTTTGACACAACCCTGAAAATATATGGACAAGACATCTGTGTCTACTGTTTGACACAACCCTGAAAATATCATGACAAGATACATGTGTCTACTGTTTGACACAACCTGGAAAAAAAGACACCCGTATCCACTGTTTGACAGAACCCTGAAAATATCAGGACAAGATACATGTGTCCACTGTTTGACACAACCCTGAAAATATATGGACAAGACATCTGTGTCCACTGTTTGACACAACCCTGAAAATATCATGACAAGATACATGTGTCTACTGTTTGACACAACCCTGAAAATATCATGACAAGATACATGTGTCCACTGTTTGACACAACCCTGAAAATATCAGGACAAGATACATGTGTCTACTGTTTGAGACAACCCTGAAAACATTAGGACAAGACACCTGTGTCTACTGTTGAGACATCCCTAAAAATATCAGGACAAGACACCTGTGTCTACTGTTTGAGACAACACTGAAAATATCATGACAAGACACCTGTGTCTACTGTTTGACACAACCCTGAAAACATTAGGACAAGACACCTGTGTCCACTGTTTGAGATAAACCTGAAAATATCATGACAATATACATGTCTACTGTTTGACACAACCCTGAAAATATCAGGACAAGATACATGTGTCTACTGTTTGAGACAACCCTGAAAACATTAGGACAAGACACCTGTGTCTACTGTTGAGACATCCCTAAAAATATCAGGACAAGACACCTGTGTCTACTGTTTGAGACAACACTGAAAATATCATGACAAGACACCTGTGTCTACTGTTTGACACAACCCTGAAAACATTAGGACAAGACACCTGTGTCCACTGTTTGAGACATCACTGAAAATATCATGACAATATACATGTCTACTGTTTGACACAACCCTGAAAATATCAGGACAAGATACATGTGTCCACTGTTTGAGACAACCCTGAAAATATCATGACAAGACACCTGTGTCTACTGTTTGACACAACCCTGAAAATATCATGACAAGACAACTGTGTCTACTGTTTGACACAACCCTGAAAATATCATGACGAGATACATGTGTCTACTGTTTGACACAACCCTGAAAATATCATGACAAGACAACTGTGTCTATTGTTTGACACAACCCTGAAAATATCATGACGAGATACATGTGTCTACTGTTTGACACAACCCTGAAAATATCATGACAAGACAACTGTGTCTATTGTTTGACACAACCCTGAAAATATCATGACAAGACACCTGTGTCTACTGTTTGACACAACCCTGAAAATATCAGGACAAGATACATGTGTCTACTGTTTGACACAACCCTGAAAACATCAGGACAAGATACATGTGTCTACTGTTTGACACAACCCTGAAAACATCAGGACAAGATACATGTGTCCACTGTTTGAGACTTCACTGAAAATATCATGACAAGACAACTGTGTCCACTGTTTGACACAACCCTGAAAATATCATGACAAGACACCTGTGTCTACTGTTTGACACAACTCTGAAAATATCATGACAAGATACCTGTGTCTACTGTTTGACACAACCCTGAAAATATCATGACAAGATACATGTGTCTACTGTTTGACACAACCCTGAAAATATCAGGACAAGATACATGTGTCTACTGTTTGAGACAGCCCTGAAAACATTAGGACAAGACACCTGTGTCTACTGTTGAGACATCCCTAAAAATATCAGGACAAGACACCTGTGTCTACTGTTTGAGACAACACTGAAAATATCATGACAAGACACCTGTGTCTACTGTTTGACACAACCCTGAAAACATTAGGACAAGACACCTGTGTCCACTGTTTGAGATAAACCTGAAAATATCATGACAATATACATGTCTACTGTTTGACACAACCCTGAAAATATCAGGACAAGATACATGTGTCTACTGTTTGAGACAACTCTGAAAATATCATGACAAGACACCTGTGTCTACTGTTTGACACAACCCTGAAAATATCATGACAAGACAACTGTGTCCAGTGTTTGACACAACCCTGAAAATATCATGACAAGATACATGTGTCTACTGTTTGACACAACCCTGAAAATATCATGACAAGATACATGTGTCTACTGTTTGACACAACCCTGAAAATATCAGGACAAGATACATGTGTCTACTGTTTGACACAACCCTGAAAATATCAGGACAAGACAACTGTGTTTACTGTTTGACACAACCCTGAAAATATCAGGACAAGATACATGTGTCCACTGTTTGACACAACCCTGAAAATATCATGACAAAACACCTTGTTCAGTGTATGACACAACCTGGAAAAAAAGACACCCGTATCGACTGTTTGACACAACCCTGAAAATATCATGACAAGATACATGTGTTTACTGTTTGACACAACCCTGAAAATATCATGACAAGATATATGTGTCCACTGTTTGACACAACCCTGAAAATATCATGACAAGATATATGTGTCCACTGTTTGACACATCCCTGAAAATATCATGACAAAACACCTTGTTCAGTGTATGACACAACCTGGAAAATAAGACACCTGTATCCACTGTTTGAGACAACCCTGAAAATATCATGACAAGACAACTGTGTCTACTGTTTGAGACAACCCTGACAGTATCTCAACAACCTGTTTTGTGAACAACATACCCGGCTACTGCGACAGCTTCCCTTGGACCTCAGTGTACAGAACTGCACAGTGTGGTATTCTGCTACAGACACATATTGCCATAAAGTCACTACACATGTTTATCACAAAGCATGACACACTGGCAAATCTCAAAGCTCATCACAAATTATTAGCCATTCCT